TCCCCTATACGGTTATTCTCAAAATAATAATACCCCTTTAGTTTATCATTAAACTTGTTACATCAGTGTGTTTTATTAGGATGTGATTGAACAACACAAAGAAGTGCATTGGACTAAACCAAAAGCAGGCTGATGATAAGGGATTTAAACAGTTTGCGGAATATTCATACACTATTGGTCATTCCAATCAATACGATTGCACAATTTTTTACTTTGATCCACTGTCATACTGTCTCAAACCATTTTCCTTGTTCCGATTAAAAAAAAAGTGTCCCAACAGCAGGATGCGTCCCATCACCATGTTTACACACTGAAATCAATTATTTTGATTTGTTGCTGCTGTTAAGCCTGGTTTATACTTAATGCATTTAACAGGGCATGAGCATGTGGCCAAAGGGTGTGTGCAAAGGTATAGGTGGAAAATACATGTAGGTAAGAAAGTTAGACTGTACATTAGAATTCACAGATTGTATCTAGGTTTGGTTTTATATACTTTAAATAGAGGTATGGAGGAAGTCTTTATTGCAGAAAGGATCTTTAAATAAGTAACATTTTCCAATGGAGTCAGTATTTTTACTCTTAAAATAAGATAATTAGATAATATCCACTTAATATAAGACAGTGTAATTGCTTTTTTCTTAATTGAATTGCAAATTGTCCTAATCTCAAATTGTCACTTACCTCCTCAATTCAAGAACAAATGCACTTATTTTAAGAAAAAAATGACTGATGTAGATTTTTTTTTGCATTGTTAGTATTCCCTAGAATACAAATCTGAAAGATAATGCAGGGGAATAGGGCTTGACTGGGTTGCCTTCCGAGATCTGTTGACATAGGATGCAAGATTGTTTGCAGAATCTTGCATAGGCAAACAGCTAAAGATGGACCTAAATCTGCTTTAAACATCCCGGCAACTTTTTATCTAACTTGACCTTGTTAGCCTTATTATGCTGTTTCTTCACTAATATTCTGGTCGTTAATGTTTCTTGGTATTGTGTAGTTTAAGCACTATTCCAGATGTTACTACGCCTGATTTTTTTTAGCATGATTATCAAAACAATCAAAATCAAAATCAAGGTAAGGCTTAGAATCACTGCAGAGAAATCCTGAGGGGAATACAGAGTAAACTCACTGAAGCTTGGATGTGACTGGCACTCCTTTTTTGCCTTGCAAATATCCTGATTAGACCAGGACAATTTGTTTGAGAGTGAAATACATTCAAATTTAGCAGGAAAAGTCCTTAACGTCATGCTGACGACTGATTGAGATCACAGCATACTTACAGTAGAACATCCACATCAGAGTCCAGATACAAATCTAACTGAGAATCAGTGTTTTAAAATTGTTGTCCACAGATTTTCTCAAAGCTGTCTGCTCTTTAGCTATTTGACAAAAGCACAGTGAACAAATGCTTCCATCTCTAGTTTTGTGAAGGTAATAGAGAGAAACCCCATAAAGCATCAACTTTACTTTAGGAGGTAGCTCGTCAACTCTCTTCAATGAGCTTCATCCTCTGGACAAGAGTCTGCTGTCTATCTACACCTTAAAGACTCTATGGGCCAATATCGCGTCTTGCAGGCCAATAACTACCTCCACGACTTCCAATTACTAAGGGGTGGACCTGTTTTTTTTTCGGTGTAAATTGCATGTTTTCTAAGTCATAACAAGGCTTTCATTTGTGCCACTCTATAAGCATGGAACTCAAGAGCTATTCCAGACATTTTGAATTGAGAAAGCTTCCTGGATGGGAAGCGAAACATCTTCAAACTTGGAAAACAAAGTCTAGTGGTCCTTTTTTAATTAAATTTACTTTAGTTTTCCTTCAGCTTTATTCTTTGGTCCAACTCATAAGATAAGAATAAACTACATTACTTGATATTTATAGCTGTGATCCTACAAAAAAGAAAAAAAAAAAAAGAAAAAAAACAAGGAACTAATACACCTTTTCAAAACCCTTTATGTGCATAAGGAGAGGAAATACGTTTTTTTTTCTTGATTGATATTAAAGATGGGAAAACTTTAGTATGGCAGCAATTCTCCAAGAATCCGAGCACAGGTGATTTCACTTGGCTAATGGGATAGGAATCCCTGATAACGAGGTCGGGCGGAGGGGATTACCTCTAGGTCTGTGCAGCGGGGAGGGTGCTGTCAGTTTAAAAACAACTATCATTGTCCTCATGACTTGAATATAAAGCATACAGGACTCAGTCTTTTTTTATGTATTTTGATATTATTTTTGTCTTTTTTAAATTCGACATGTTAGTAATCTGACTCACAATGTTGGTGTGTGCTGTTTTGAATTGGTATGAGCCTGCTGCACTGACCCTTGGTAAAATTCAATTTGAATTTAATCAGATTTTAGGCATGGCATTCTTATTAGATCATGTCTTTTTAATCTATAAGCCGAAAAGCCCTGAATCAGCCCCCAAACATGCCCTGCCTTCAGATAAATAAAAAAGGCAAAAATGGATAAAAGGCAACCCTTTTATCCATTTTACTAAAAGCTTTAAATAGATTGTTTCTATAACATGTAAAACGTTGCTGGAATCTGAGTAATTTTTAAAGCTTGTTTCAATTATAAAGCTTGTTTTTTTAAACCATCAAACTTTGGACGACACCAGTGATATTTGTTTGGTATCGTACATTGCTCCTAAAAGAGTGCAGCATGAGGGCTGTGCTGTAATCCCTTATTATCTGCACATGTCTGACACACAACACAAACACACTGTGCACACAATGAGCCCCGGCTCAGGTACTGAGAGGCTGCCTGAGGAGCAGAATGAGGAGAAAAGGTTTGGCATAAAAAGGCACTGCTGACATTGGTCGGGGGTCTTCTGGGAACTGTGGATGTCAGATTAGCGCAGGAAACTCAGATGCTCACAGGGGATTTCATCCGACTCATTATAGTAATTAAAAACCTCTCCAGTCAGGCCTTCTCATCCTGCACAATGAGCTTTATGGAAGTTGCAATGCTTGTTCAACCTCTGGGAGTTTGATGTTAAACATAACAGTCCTATTCAGGTCACATTGTTTTAAACACATTATACTATTATACTTTCATTGACAAATGTGGGGAAATTTTATTGAAGTTTCAGGTAAACACATGTAAAAGAAACCTAAAATCTTTTATTGCAGCAGCATAATCTCAATCTAAAAAATTTTGACATTTTCAGCCTTTCAACTGAAATCTCAGCTTGTGAAACATTCATTTTTAGCAGTTGACACATTTATTGGTGCCCTAAATATAAACATTTAACATAAATGTTTACATAACTTTTAAAAGTTCATCAGTTTCTAATTGGTAATAAGAAGTAATCTGTCTGTTTTACTTGAAAATGAAAAGATCAACTCATTAAGTGCAAATGTTATAGAATCGGCTGCCATGATATAACTTGCATATCATGGCAACGATCATATAACACTGCTTTACTTTCCTTACATGCTGGATCTTTGAAAAACTAATTTGAATCTCTTTCGCTTTTCATCCAAATCTTTCCTATTTTCATCTTATTTTCATCTTTGTGAAAAAACAAGCAAAAAAACCCTGATGAGAAAAAAATGTACAGCATAGTTTAACTGATCCTGATTTTGCAGAATGCTGTTAAGTTCATACCCTAACACCAACTTACCTGCACAATTTACACCATTTCTTTCCATCGCTGCATCATTCCACTAAGTCACTGTAAATTGCTGCTGCAGGCATCAACAGCGGGAGTCCATCCCCATGGTCAAATGTTCAACTTGACTTAACTTGAAATATTGCATTTAACTATATGTTACAATCCAGAATGCTTAGTATGACTTGGAAGTATATTGATATGTCACATATGATTTAATGAAATATCAATGAAAAATACAACTATTGCAGCGGTAAAAATAAAAGGTTTGGTAAACCAAATAAATACTTCAACTGAAACTGTTTTCTGGTTAAATTAGACTAAATTTGACTTTCAGCCACAAATCCTCTGGATGGTTCCAATTTCAATTTCAATCAGTTTATTTATATTGCGCCAATTCACAGCACATGTCATCTCAAGGCACTTTACAATTCAACCAGATCATACAGTCAAATTGATTCAAAGGTTTCTATCTAAGGAAAACCAGTTGATTGCATTGACTCATTGACTGGAATGCAATCCCTCACACTAAGCATGCTTGTTGCGACAGTGGAGAGGAAAAACTCCCTTTTAACAGGGAGAAACCTCCAGCAGAACCAGGCTCAGTGTGAGCGGCCATCTGCCAATGCCAGTGTAATAGGTGAAGATGGGGGCAGCACATTAATCCCACTATTAAGTACAGTAGAATGTTGGTGATGCTGTGGGCCAGTTTCACTTTAAAGTCCCCGGAGACCCTGTTAGTTTGCAAGGCTTCATGAACTGTGAGAATAAGAACTTATTGAAAGTGTCTTGTAGAGATGAGATTGACCCAAAAATGGGAATGGATAGGATTCTGCACAATTGTCTTTCTGAACAGTATAAACAGCAATGTGCTTATTATGCATCTCTCAATTTTGATAAAAAGTTTCTATTTTCCTAACATAAAATCCCCCCCATTTGCAAATAGATTTCCCCAAAGTTAAATTTTTAAAGAAATTTCCAATACAATGAACGGTTAATTTATTCCAAGGCTTTTTTACTTAACCAACCAGTAGTACCAATACATTTTGCTGTATTACAATCATCAATGTTCATGTATGTGTCTTTTTTATTAACATGTATGTGATGTTGGTTGCCCTAGCAACAGCTCTTACAAGCTCATGAGACAGCATGGGATTGAAAGCAAGCCCCTTTCCCTAAATAATCCCCACTTTCTCTTTCAGAGCTGCTGAAATGGGGGGAGGGTCGCTACTTTAAAGGGGATATGGGTTTTAGCGAGGGTTAGAGGCTCAGTGGGAGTGTTGAGCAGAGCTTCAGGTTTCAGAGATGAACGAAGGATGTACATGTTATGGAGAAAAGGACAACTAATGAGTGCAGATGTCTGTGAGTATAAGAGAGAGAGAGAGAGAGTGAAAGGGAGAAGTGGAAGGTTGTGAGTGGGAGGGTTGAGAGGAAAGGAGGAGAGTAAGAGAGGATGCAGGCTGGGAGTATATTGCAGTCTGAAGAGCTGAGAGTGGACGGCAGGTGAACGACGGATGAGGAGCAAGTGAGTTAGCAGAGAGGAGCAGCAGAGACAGAAGAGATAATCGAGCTCAGGGAGGAGGAGGGGGAGGCTTAGACGGTGAGTCATCAGTCCAGAGTGTAGGTCGCTGTCCGGACATCACTGGGAGCACCTGACGTTCAGCATCCACTCAGTGTGAGTAAGTTTGCAGCTCTGCTCCGTATAGAGCATCAGGCCGTCCTGATGATTCTCTGTAGTGTCTTCACTCGGATGATTTTTAATGCTGCTCCTGTTACCCAGCTGGGGTGTGTTATGTAATTTGAGGTGGTGTTTGTTCAGTGAACAAATCTGGGCTTTTGTGTGTCAGCTTACGCTAATGAAAAAGGAGCTTGAAGTTGAGAATTTTTCTGCCACTTTAACTCCTGCTGAATAAAAATTCTCCCTAATATTTCAAGAGATTTTGTCTCCAGAATGCCTGATACCATTAGTGCTCTGATTTGCAAGTTTTATTACACCAATATTCTTAACACAAATTATTCTCTAATTTGGCTGCTATGCACAATGTTTGTGTCTTTGTGTTCTCCATCCAGCATCAGTTTATTTAGTGTTCAGGGCAGCTGATGTCCAGTAGTATGGAAGTCCCATGTGGAAAACTAGTACTGGAAGATTTGGTTTTCTTTTATCTTGAGAACCGTCTCATATTCAGAAAGGCTCTCATTTCATTTGGATGCTTTTTTGATTCCATATTTTCTGGTTGTGTAATATGTTTGAAGCAGGATATTAATGATTCATGGCTGTTTTCATCACCTAAATCCAAATCTGAGTGCTCTCCATAAACGCTAATCAGATTTAAATCACTTTTTTTCATTTCCACAGCTTTAACAATAGCTCCAAACCTCCCCTCTGCAAAAATTCTTTGTTATCTTATTTAGTAACAATATGCTTTTGAGTCATGTTATTAATTTCTCAAGGGGTTATCACATGCTCTTAATATTACTTTTGCTGGAGTGCACCACACCTTTTACATGCAGAAATATTTTACACTTTATGTGCTACAGATTTTTCTCACATCAAAGACAAAAATATGTAGATTCAGTTTCTAATATATTACTAATGCATACGAATTATTTCAGGTCTGCATACATGCCTATATCTTTGTGTTTGAAAATAGTCTCAATTAATTAAACAATGTCAATGCAAGGACCGCCATTCATCAAAGGATTTGTGCAGGCAAAAGCCAACCTGGTTTAGTTTAGAACAAAGGATGTGTGACAAAGGCTTTTCCATTTGCAATTTGCAACTTGACTGAATTGAGGAGGAAAATATTTGAATAAACGTGAGAGCTATTTTAATTGTGTCCAGATACCTGAGACAGTTTTTTTTGTTTGTTTTTTAAAGCAGCTCTTTAGACTAAAAGAGATGTAATAGATTCCTCCTGGAAATGTTTTAAAATCATCTAGGTCATTTTATCTAAAGATATTTTTTGTGTGAAACCCACATTAATGAACACTGTTATTCAACTATAAAGGTCTATAAAGGTGATAAAAATTAAATTCAGACAGTCATCAATCAGATTTTTGTGGCTGATTTCTAATCTGCAATTTTCCATACGTTTCTGATTTCTCTTTTCCAACTAAAAATAATAGGAATTTATAATAACAGAAATATCTTTGTGCCTTTTTACCACAAGCGGTTATTTTAAAAGCAGAGGCAATATGACTCCACTGGAAGAACAGTTGCTGTTCTGATTTATTCTAAAACAAGTCACACCGGCTTTAGCATTTCCGTCTTTCATAACACTGCACAACATTAAGACAGCTCAAATATTGCAGCAATGATTTAATAACAGGTTTAAATAATCTGATGTAACACTTTATAAACAGTCCAGCTTGATGAAGATGAACTCACCTTAGGATGCATTAAGCTGAAATTGAAGTAAAGGCATCATCGATCCCTAATTAATTTAGCCAACAATTAGCTGACAACATTATAAAGCAATGGCATTTTATTTCCCAGCAGTCAGACAATCATTAATTATGAAAATATACAGGGTAACATTAAAGCAAGAGTGCTAAACAATATTCTGCCATAATTTAACAGTGAATTCTGCTGAAAGACTATTTAGATTATGGACTCAGTAACAACACAAACACTACATGTACACAACTTGATGTTTTACAAAATTAGCTTAATTGCCTTCATTTTTGGCCCATTCTTTTATATGCCATAATAGGAAAAATTGGAAAAATACGACTCTAAATGAATCCTTAAATCTAAAGTTTCTAATAGACTGCTGTCATTTCTAAAAGGATAAAACCAACTATATTCAACCTTCATGTCAAACTCTCACTTCTTTGCATTCTAAATGAGCAGCAGACATTTCACATGTTAGAGAAAATGCAGTTTTCTTTTATAAAGCTTGTTTTAATTTCTGGTGTTAACTCTATTTAATAAACCTCAGCGATTCTATAAATGTATGACTCTTCTTAACTGAGTATGTCCACAGCGGCCTGATGGGGCTTTCACTGTGCAGACTTTTAAATCTATGCCCAGAAGATCATTTTGGGTCATTCTAGTTCAAAATTGTAGGATTCCAGTCACCTGCTCTTTTCTCAGCATTTAGTTAACAATTTTAGATAGTTATTATTCGTTAAATAATTAATTATATGTTAATTTTATATTTTTATATAAATTAAATTCATAGTTTGTGTGCATACATTATAGAAGAAAGCACAAATGCCTGTTCTTGTGACCTTCCCTGTGATATTACCTTTTGTTGCTGGCTCTCAGACTAAGTGACCTTTTCTGACCAAATCTTTTCTTTATTCCGATTGTAGGAAACAAGATGGGGCTGACCCCCGACTTGCAGCACCACTAGAACCCCAGCTGTTACAGCCTGAATTGAGACACAGCACCTCCCCTCTCCACAAGGTAAGGAGTGGGGCATTAAGTTGCACTTTGACCTGCTAACCTTATCTAATTCCCATTTATGTGACCCTGTGTTTCTGTGATATTTGGTCAACAGTCTATTGATGTCCTATCTCATGTTCTCTTTGCTCAGGTTTTTAAGGTTATTGAAACTGAGCCATTTAAGCTGCATTTTATTGATCTGCTTTTTATTCTTGCATACAGGTGCTGGTCATAAAATTAGAATATCATGAAAAAGTAGATTGATTTCATTAATTCCATTTAAAAAGTGAAACTTGTATATTATATTCATACATTACATACAAACTCATATATTTCAGATGTTTATTTTGTTTAATTTTGATGATTACAAATGACAACAAATGAAAATCTCAAATTCATCATATCAGAAAATTAGAATATTGTGAAAAGGTTCAAAATTGATGGCCCCTGGTGCCACACTCTAATCAGCTAATTAACTCAAACCACCTGCAAAAGCCTTTAAATGGTCTTTCAGTCTAGTTCTATAGGCTACACAATCATGGGGAAGACTGCTGACTTGACAGTTGTCCAAAAGACGACCATCGACACCTTGCACAAGGAGGGCAAGACACAAAAGGTCATCGCTAAAGAGGCTGGCTGTTCACAGAGCTCAGTGTCCAAGCACATTAATAGAGAGGCGAAGGGAAGGAAAAGATGTGGTCGAAAAAAGTGTACAAGCAAGAGAGATAACCGCACCCTGGAGAGGATTGTGAAACAAAACCCATTCAAAAATGTGGGGGAGATTCACAAAGAGTGGACTGCAGCTGGAGTGAGTGCTTCAAGAACCACCACACACAGACGTATGAAAGACATGGGTTTCTGCTGTCGCATTCCTTGTGTCAAGCCACTCTTGAACCTCAGAAGCGTCTTGCCTGGGCTAAAGAGAAACAGGACTGGACTGCTGGTGAGTGGTCCAAAGTCATGTTCTCTGATGAAAGTAAATTTTGCATTTCCTTTGGAAATCAAGGTCCCAGAGTCTGGAGGAAAAGAAGAGAGGCACTTCATCCACGTTGCTTGAAGTCCAGTGTAAAGTTTCCACAGTCAGTGATGGTTTGGGGTGCCATGTCATCTGCTGGTGTTGGTCCATTGTGTTTTCTGAGGTCCAGGGTCAACACAGCCACATACCAGGAAGTTTTAGAGCACTTCATGCTTCCTGCAGCTGACCAACTTTTTGGAGATGCAGATTTCATTTTCCAACAGGACTTGGCACCTGCACACAGTGCCAAAGCTACCAGTACCTGGTTGAAGGACCATGGTATCCCTGTTCTTAATTGGCCAGCAAACTCTCCTGACCTTAACCCCATAGAAAATCTATGGGGTATTGTGAAGAAGAAGATGCAATACACCAGACCCAACAATTCAGAAGAGCTAAAAGCCACTATTAGAGCAACCTGGGCTATCATAACACCTGAGCAGTGCCACAGACTGATCGACTCCATGCCACGCCGCATTGCTGCAGTAATACAGGCCAAAGGAGGCCCAACTAAATACTGAGTGCTGTACATGCTCATACTTTTCATGTTCATACTTTTCAGTTGGCCAACATTTCTATAAATCCTTTGTTTTTATTGGTCTTCAGTAATATTCTAATTTTCTGATATGATGAATTTGAGATTTTCATTTGTTGTCATTTGTAATCATCAAAATTAAACAAAATAAACATCTGAAATATATGAGTTTGTATGTAATGTATGAATATAATATACAAGTTTCACTTTTTAAATGGAGTTACTGAAATCAATCTACTTTTTCATGATATTCTAATTTTATGACCAGCACCTGTATTTTCTACAACTTGTGTAACTAAAGCACACACACTTTAGTGGGAGCAATTATTATGTTTGACTGGCTAAATTAATTAAGGTCTATTTTTAGAGGGAAAAAGTCGGCCTCACTCTGATAAATTTTTACTCCAAGCATGATTTCATCAAAGCCCACAAATCACAGCTTATAAGAGTAATTGTGGTTTTATTTTCCTAAGAACAACTTCTTTCACCCATAACATCATCAGTCATGTGGAACCTAAATAGATTCATGCTGAGACAGATTGAGTTCAGAGTTCAACTGATTGTCAATTCCAAAAATATGTTACAAAAGGATGTGTGATGGTTTAAAATTAAATTGGCTCATAGCAGATTAACAATCTAAGAAAATCCTATCTTTAATTCAGGCAAAAAAAAATTTAGGGGAAAAAAATACATAAAGTAGAAGAAGTGATGCAATCCCTTTGGTCTTAGTTTGAATGTCAGAAAACAAACACTAAAAACTACGATTGTAAATAAAAAAAAAACTGAAATTTTTTAAACATTACTTTAAAAACTGATGTGTAGGTGGTAGAGTATAAACACCTTGGTTATCCCCTAGACTAGAATACCCTTAGTGCTCCTTAGGGACCCCATTCCTGCATGCTTTAGGTCTCTCCCAGCCACACAATGGGTGATTAACAGGTTTCTGGCAGAGGAGGAGCAGTTATTTGAATCAGATATAGAGCAACAGATACGCATCTAAAACATGCAGGGAAGGGGTCCCTGAGGAGCAGTGTTGGAACCCACTGCCAGGACTACAGATCAGGCTTCAGAGGTTCCACTTAAATGATCCACATAAAATAACGAAGCAGACTTGAGTCCTTTAATAAACTCAGGTCCTCTAGTATTTGCTTCAAGATAATGCAGATCCATTAAAAATATTTAATTAATAGTTATAATAGTTATGATACGTTAATAATATGTTCTGCAGTAAGCAGCATCAGAGCCCATTAAAAAAACAGAATCAGATCAGAAAAATGCTAACTTTTTTCTTTGGATTGCTCTGGGACCTCTTGTAATTATTAATAAAATGAAGTACATTAGAGGAAAAAGATGAGCATTATGTTCCTGAGATGGTTATACAACAGCAAAGTGTCTCCAGTCAAAATCCTTTTTATATCTATTGTAACACAGAGTACTTCTGCAGATATTTTATGCCCACAGCCATTACCATCTGTAATAGTTCAAAATGACTAAGATACTCTCACACACTAAAAAATTTATTTTTCTTTTGGGATCAAAGGTGTTTTAATTTGAACTTATCTTTTGGCACGTGCAATCGGCTATGGGGAGAAAATAAATTAATCCTGAGCAGCAATCCAAAAATAACTTCTATTGCTGTTATGCTGGTTTAGTCAATAGCAACCAGGGCTTTGGTAGAAATATTTAAAGACTCATAATGCATATACCAACTAGACATATGGTTAATCATAGGTTAACAAAACAAAGAATCACCTTATTCCATGGCCATATCACCCAACATACTGAATCCTGCAAACTCTGTATAATGAGCTGAAGATAAGTGAGGACCTGGACTGGGATTCTACAAATCATTGAGGGATACGATTTATTAAAACACTGATTCATTTGTTTAGAAAAAGTATTCATTAAACTAGCATTTTTTTTTAAATCATTATATAAAATCACTCAAATTCACTCAAAAAAACAAATAAAAAAAAACATACAGAAAAACAAAAACATGATGAGCTTCTGCAGCTGCAAACCTCAGGGAACAAAAATATTGAAATAAAGATTTTTACAAATTGTTCTTGAGCTGAGTAGATATATAGTGATATGCTGTAAGACTCGTAAATTAGCAAAGCCAGACTGCTCATTTTTATTATCAAACCAAACACAAAAGGAACTTCTAAGCATCTTTGACAGCAGAGGAATACTGTAACATGTCTTTGTGAGAGTAAACATTAATGTGGAACAAATATGTATGGAGATGTCATTTTTCAGTTTTACAGCTCCACGTAAATCCATCAAAACCGCTGATATGTCTAAGCTTATCTTTTGCACACTGAGTAAATGATATGTGGAAAATAAAACCTGCCAGGGGTATATTGGGAAAATAAATAAATAAATGGATCCACACTGTGCCTGGATCATAAGCGGATAACATCTCAGTTATGTCGGATTGGTTTTTCTAAAGGATTCTCACACTATCCTACATTTCAAAAAAAAAAAAGAAAAAAAAAGAAAAGGGATTATGATTGGTAGACATTTGAAACTGTTTTTTTTTTAACAGTCACTCTTGATCCATGCAGCACTTTGAAGGTAGCTCACACCTACTAGTCTGTTAGGTAAAGGGCAAATATGTGAAGGCTCTTCCTTATGCAGACTGATAGCAGTTATTTTTTTTTCCTGTGCAGTTAAGAAAAAGGAACAACTATAGAAGATAGTATTGTTCAAATTATATAACACGGCCTAAATAGCTGCTTGATTGAACGTGAGTAAAATGAAAAGACGGCACTGATATACGGTATAATAGTGTACAAAATCTGCACAGAGGATGGTATCAGTTTGACTACAGCCCTGTGAAAACCAGGTCAATCTGCAGTTAACCCAACCAGGTCGTACAGTCTCCGCCTAGTTGAACTACACTGCCAAACTGTCATGTTCACAAACTTGGACATTTGCAAGGAGACAAACACACCATCTGGTGTTTTCTTTAAGAGATGACATGTCAAAATCTTTGAATACATTTTCTTTTGCAAAGTTGAGGCATACATACGCCTTGGATTTTAACATCTGCAGTTGTAAATCAGGCTTTTCCAACCATTGTGGGGAAGTCCCTATAAAAACATGACTCATCTCTCTTTTATAGACTGATTGCACCTGATTAGTTTTTACAATCAATCTATATCAGATATTAGATAAACAAATTGCGGAAGCAGCTAAATATCTTTCCCATCAAAGAATAATATTCAGAATCAGAATCAGAAATACTTTAATAATATTATAATATAATGATATTATTATTATAAAAATTATATTAGAATATATTATAATATAAATTAATCATATAATATTCAACTGGATCCACTTCGGGAAGCAGCTCAGAGCCCTAATGAGCTATGTTAGGACATAGCGAGTCGCAGCTGAGATGTCTGAAAGGGAAGAGGAGGTGTTCTGCATTTGATTTGTGCGTTGTCATAATGACAATCCTATTAACTCTCATAATGAGAGGTCTCAGCTCTCACACCTGCTCTCTATGTCAGCCCTTACTCCCCAGGGACCCTCCCCCACTTCCTCCACCTTGTCCACTGCTGCAAATTGATGCTGCAGTACACTGAGTTTTATACATACAGTGCCTTGCAAAAGTATTCACACCCCTTGATTTCTTCTTCATTTCATTATATTTACATAGTAAAAAGCAATGTATCTAATGAGGATTTTCTTGTCAACATGAAGTAGAACCCAGTGCGAAAATTGTCTTAAAAATGGTTTTGCATAAAAATGTATACAGCCACTTTTATTCTAAAAACCCTGAAATTAAATCCATTGTAACCATCTGCCTGCTGAAGTCACTAAGTATATAGAGTTCCTGTGTGTTGGACCTAATTTTGGTATACAGTACTGTTAATCCAACTGTGAAGGCTTTGGGGATTGGTTAAGGATCATTAATCCTTCACCATCATGAATCCCAAGAAAAACACCAGACAGGTCAGAGATAAAACTGTTTAAAGTTTGTAAGGTATATTAGTATATAAATGAAAAATCCAAAACAAGTAAATCTCACATGCATTCAAAAGTACTTGTAGTAACTCTGGAGGAGCTGCTGAGATCCATTGCCCAAGTGAGAGAATTTCTTAATAGGATAACCAAATATATAACCAACCAGCTTCCAATTTGTAGATCTCCTCAAGTAATACAGGATAAAAAATTGTAAGACGATAAAAATAAACCTTTTTTTTTTGCTTATTTACAAAATGTTATCTAAAATGACACATCAACCCAAAACGCAAGATCTACTGTAAATAATGATGGTAGCACTACCATGCTGTCGGGATAGTCTTCTAATCACAGATCAACTGTAAAAAAAAAATCAAGAAAATAAATAAAAACAGGGATTCTGCGGACAAAACCTGTTATAATCTTTACTGGGTTAAAGGTTTGCCACCCAGCAGGATGAACCTTAACAAGCAGAGCGACAATGGAATATGGAGAATATTTTGAAAGCCATCAATCATTTTCCTTCCATGTGTCACTTTTTATTTACCTATCACGTGGATGTCTATATTTTCTTTGCAAGATAGTTTAGAATCTCAAAATTTCTAGTATCTGTTACATTTCTTCCTTCTTTTCTTGGTGGTAGAATATCTCTGTGCTTTTGTAGGAAGCAAACAGTGTGATTTTACAGCAGTTTATGATAGTAGAGAAATTGGACTCCACCTCCAGCTGACAGTCAGGATGCATGTGATCCTGATTTCATCCTGTAATGTTCCAAAGAGTAAAAGACTAGACGAGACACCTTTCACTTCAGGCAGAGGATTGCTTATCTAGATTTTTGCCAAGAATAATTGACTTTCCTCTGCAACCTGGCGGATAACACAGCGTGAATTTGCCTGAGGATCTCAAGTCTTTGTGCAGCCTAGAGGATGAAGCTTTAGTTCAAGATGCAGTTTCTTCTTTGAGTTTTCAGAGAAGCTCAGCAGTCAAGTAAAATTTATTGTTTTAAAGTCAGTTACACTGATGTGTTTGAGCTGCAGGATTTTAATTTACAGTGAGGCAAAGAGAAAATTATGGCTAAAAATCTTGACAAACAAAATCATCATTCAATGGTGACGAAGAAGCACTGGAAGAAACCCAGCAGTGTAAGTAACTTTATTTTGAGAACATTGAGAACAACAGAAATGAAAAGTAATTCCATGGATTACAAGTACAGCATGCCTCCCTACATACTGAATATATAAACATAAATAAGTGCATTTATTCTCTGTGAAAGATAATTTCTTCAAACTAGATGAAATTCTGAAGTTTTAAGGCTTTTAACGCTTTTATTTAAGACCAGCGAACAGGCAAAAGCTCTGAGCCACAGCTTTTCTACCCCTAATCTCTGGTTACAGCCAGAATTGTTTACTTTCAGGGTTTGTGGCAGACTATTGTTTGCTCATGGTGGAGGACTTTACTCAAACTCACACAAAGCTTAAACACGATTGCTCTGTACACAGAGTATTTGTGTCAGGTTTTAAGAGTTGAACCTTTCAGCTGTCTCTTAACTACACCCGGCTGATGCGGCCTTGCATGATAATGCAAGGCGTTGCAAGTGAAAGTTCCTCAGCTGCTTTGCATGAAGCATGTACAGGGTAAGGCAGCGCAGAGGAGATAGGACATTTCACTTTTGTTTCTAAAAGGTGAAATGTCGGCACAGATATTAAAAAAGGTTGTAGCAGTGTGAAAAACCATCTCTTTTTGATAAGGCACCTTTCATTAAATGTACTTTTTTTCTTTCTTTTATCCTTTCCTAAGTATTGCTACTGCTAACTTTTTTTACATTGCAAAAACAAAACTCATTGTATGTTAGTTAGATATAATGCAATAGACTAAAACACAGTATTGCATAACTGCTAAAGTGGAAAAGAAATTATTCAAATTCTTTAAATTCCTTCACAAATACAAAATCTGCATCGTTTGCATTTGTCTTCAGCTCACCTGAATCAATCCATTGGAGAGTCATCTTTGACTGTAATTACAGCTTTGTGTTGTTTGAGCTTTGTCTCTCTGAGCTTTGCACGTGCAGAGACGGAGATTTTTGCCCATCCTTTGTTTGAAACACTGTAAAAGGAGAGCATCTGGGAATGGTATTTTACTTTGACTAGAACATTGTAACACATGAATATGTTTTAATATGGTCCATGCCGCTATATTTTTAGGGTTATTGTCCTGCTGGAAGGCAAACCTCAGGCGTTGCCTCAGGTCTTTCAAAGCCTTTGATAGTTTGTTTTTTTTCCCATCAACTCTAACTGCCTTTCCTTTACTAGCTGTAGAAAAGGGTCCCCACGGAATCACGCACGCAACATTCAGACAGATGATGCATTCAGACTGCTAGTGCTGCCTTTCATGTTATCTACCTGGTTTTTGGCAAACAACATTTTTTCCATACAGTAATGTAGATTATTGAGGTACATGAATTGAAGCCCTTGCTAACCGCTTCTCCCACCGAGGTAGTGTATCACTGTTCATTCCTGTCCTTGACCCTCCAGCTGTCCTTTTAGTTCTACTTCCCGATTGATGGGAATTGATTCAGATAGTTGGAAAGATGCACTCCACAACTAGACTTCGTTGACCTGTCTGTGTGTGTTTTTGGATCTTTATGATGCTGTTTTTTCACTAGATGTATTCAAACTGAGTAGAAATTATACACAGGTTGACTCCATATAACTTTTATCTACTTTTTAATTAGCCTGCCACAAGCAATCCTGCAAAAGAAAAAAAACCCAAACACAACTTTTTAGGTGATTTCTGGTGGCAGTTGACCAGACTGTATAAATTCTGAAGTATTAGGGTAAAGGAGGGAGAATACCTATGCAGAATACATTTCAGATGTTTATTTTTCTGAAAACTATTTTTTTTCATGTATTTCTTGCTTTTAGTTGATTCTGTCTCATAAAATCCCAAAGAGTCAATTTTGTTATGCTTTTTTTTCAGTAGTATTAATATCAAAAGTTAAGGCACATATTAAAGTCACATGTGGATGTGACTGTTTCAATGTTTCAACTTTAAAGTAATTTGCAACAGAATATATAAAATCTTCACAATGCAATAACTTGGACTTAGACCACTTTACCAATCCCATCAGGGGCAATTCCTTTGAGCAGTAAGAGCCAATTATGCAACATTTTCTAAAAAAGGTTAGTAGCATTAATTTGCAAACATATAGCAGAAATAATGTTCATAACTCATGATTAGCAAGTAAAGGCAGAGCTTTTAAGATTAGATAAAATTTCAAATCCCTGAATCTTACATAATTCTGATCCACAATGGTACCATGACTCCTGTTAAACTCAAATTTCAAATCTATCAAATGAACTCAGACATTTCATCTCCTCTCCCCAGACCACAGATTTATTTGAAATGATTGAAAAGATGCAGGTAAGATGATGCACATATGGCTGTATTTTTTTCCCCGCCTCACTAAGCTGAAAAGACTAACAAATCAGTCTGTCTCTTTCTAATTCTGCTGCGTCTGTTGCTGGCAATGACACTCCTAATCTTTTCTTTTTTTGTAACTGAAAAGGAAATTGAGTCTTGGTGGTTTCAGGCAAACTGTATGTTTTTTCCTCAGCATCTCTATAAACGTTCTGGTTGTTGAGACATGGCTGACAGCAGTGTAAGCTTATCATCTCACTTCAAACACTATCTCCTGGTTTTCTGTAGGCTTTGGAAGGATGTTTTATGAAGTCATGAAATCCCACGCATAAGAGGCTAACAATTTTATGATGGAGCTTATCAAAAGACACGGCAGTTCTATGTGTTTGCTGTCTTTGCCCTAGTGATGGAGTACACACATAAGTCATCTTTTTTTGTATTAAAAATTACTGCAAAGCAAAGTTTCACATTTTTTAATTTTACTGTAATTTTTGTGCAAATCAATTTTGTAGTTTGTTTAGAAGATGGTAACAGAGCTGGATAAGATGCATTTTCCTCATTAAAATTTAGTCTTGATATGAACGCAGTTTCTTCTCTGCATCAAACTTCCCCATCTTATCTCTCTCTCTCTCTCTGTCTCTCTCTTACACACCCCTACGATTCACCCCCACAGAAACACACCCACACCTGAGAGGGAATAGTTGGGAAGTATTTCCACCCAACGCTGCATTTTTTTAACCCTCCACAGCTTATTTCCCACACTCCTGCAGTCTGTTTACAACACTTTATATCCACTCCCCACCCTCCACTGTCTTCCAGTCTTTCACTATCCCTTCTCTGTCTGTTGAGCGTATCTGTTTCAGTTTTTTTCCATCTGTCCCTCTTTGATGCTGCTTTGCTGCCTGCTCCTCCTGGGAGAACTCTGTTGTTATATAACGAATTTGATCCTTTTTTCCCAGTTTGTTGTGCTTTATTTTTAGACTATGATTATAACACTGCTCTTCGAACATTGTTTTTGGACATTTCCTTTTTTGTGATTTTTCTCCCTTGTCCTCTTATGAACCTTCTTACCTGTGACAGGGCAGTAGGATGGATGAGCAAAGGTGCACCTTTCCTCCTACTCTGAAGGTAAATTTCCTACTATTACTATTTTATTTTGTTAGAATCTAGATTAAAGTATATTTCAGTTAAATGCTTTAGAATAAGGCTGCTCAGTGGCGCAGTGGGTAGCTCTGCTGCTCGGCCCGGGATCTTTCTGCATGGAGTTTTGATGTTCTCCCTGAGCATGTGTGGGTTCTCTCCGGGTACTCTGGCTTCCTCCCAGAGTCTAAAAACGTAACTGTTAGGTTAATTGGCTTCTCTAAATTTTCCTTAGGTATGAATGGTTGTTTGTCTTGTCTGTCTCTGTGTTACCCTGCGATGGACTCTTAAATATACTATAAATAACAACAGCTATGTGGTTACTGTGTATTTGCATATTTTGAGATTTTTAATGAGTTCTTGTTTACAACTTTATTGTTTATTGTTTTTTTTACAGACTGAGGAGGATTACATTCCATACCCAAGTGTCCATGAGGTAAGAAAAAAAAAATCCTCCTATTAACATTTAGAAAAAAGACTTCCTGCTGATTTTCAATGTTTTTTTCTCTTTCATTGAACTTAAGTTTCTAATTTTCACTCTGATGTTTTTTATTGAAGAGAGCCATATCCGCCACCCACATAGTAGTGTATGTAAATGCAGTAACAACATCCACCCTTAGAGCTTCTGGCCAAGCATTTAATATTTGCTCGGGTTATCTTTTAAACACAATATAAAAGATATCTGAAAGAGCCTGGGCACCAGAAAAATATTGGTGTCCCTTTGTTTTTGCAAAAACTTTCTTCATCTCACCTGACCAAACTTCTGATGCATCAAAGAGTGAGAATAATTGTGAGAAAGGGACAGGCGTCAGCCAACACATTTCACATGATCGTCTTCACCTCACAAGGCTCAAGTTCATGTTTTAAATTCTAGACACAGCGAAATGATTATTTTTAATTAATGTATTTTATTATTTTTTTATATTTTCACAAAGCTAATTGCTGATGATCTTGTTGCCTATGTCATCTTGATGAAGTTCTGCTCCCTGATGCCTGACTTTCTTTAAAAGCCCATTTTTTGTCATAGTGATCAACAGGCTTAAAAGAAAGAAAGAGATTTTTTTAGCCTGCTGTGCTTTATATCATAACAAGTAGTGATCTTGTTAAACAAGTAGTGATCTTGTTAGATGGGAGCAACAAGTTTAAAGATGCCAGAATTATGGCTTTGTTTTACAGGACAAAACACTTATTTCACACAATAATATCTAAGACATGTTCAACCTTTCTTCTATTGTTTTTATATTCTCTTTGAAAGCTTTGAAAAAGCTAATATTAATGATAATGTCTCAAGAGACGTGTACTTCTGTTTAAGTGAAAACAGTAGCAAAATCGGCAGGAAAAGAAGTTATTATTTCCTCCTCAGTAAGGTGCACATCCATGTTTTTTCAGTTTTAACATTTGGAATAGAATAGAATTCAACTTTATTGTCATTACACTGTCACAACTACAAAGAAGCTAAATGTCTGAAATTTACCTCTCTTTAAATCAGGTTTTGGGGAGAAAAAGCCCCTTTCCTCTCATCCTGCTTCCACAGTTTGGGGGTTACTGGATTGAGGGCATGAACCATGAGTTGAGTGAAGCTGGAGACCCGGAGCACCACCGGCCTCCGTCACCCAACAGCCGCACTAAGCTGGAGTGTAACACAATGGCTACACACTACAGGAAACACTTCCTGGGCAAGGTCAGCTTAATAACATACCAATTGCTTTTGTCCAATGTGGTGTTGGTATAACAAGGATTTTAAAAAGTCATTTTCTATTCAGAATTACATAAATTAAATCTCATAAAAAAGATTAAAAGTGTTATAAATGCAAATGAAGTTAAAACATAAAAAGTTAAGACAAACTACTAGAGTTGTCCTGATCTGGATATTTTGTCTATGGGTCTGTTACAGATGCAAATCATTTGACAAAAATAAATCTCTTAATACTAAGCCTGAATTCCGTAAAAATTCAAAAAAAGCCTGAATCCAACCTTTAATTACAATCAATGCAATGTAAATGCTGAGAGAACCAGAGCTAAAAAAAACAAAACAAAAAACAGTATGACATTAGGTCTACCTCAATAACTTGACTGGGTAGCATTTAATCTAGACTCTAATTATATGCCTGGAGCTGTAGCCTTCAACAGGCTGACATCTTGTTCCAACCCCGTTTCTGCTGGTCCACCTCACCATGCTGATTCAGCATCGGGTCATTCAAGTCAAGGAAGTGCTTTAATTGTGTAGGCTTACTTGAAATGTGTTAATAAACAGGTGTTGGAAGTGTTGGCCTAGTGGTCAAAGCAGTACCCTTGTGCTCTGAGAAGGTTGTAAGTACCTGATTCGATCCCCACAGCATCCACTCTGGGTTCCTGAGCAAGACCCTTAACCCCACACTGCTCCGCGGGCGCCACACAATGGCAGCCCACTGCTCCCTAAGGGGATCGGTTAAGTGCAGAGAGTGAATTTCCCCATTGTGGAAAAATTAAGTGACTGACAGATTTTTACAGTTCTCCAGACTAACTAACTAACTAAAGTCAGCAGGAGACAAACATGAGTTTACCTTCAGTAAACTCATGTTTGTCTCCTGCTGACTTTGGTCTGATCCAGAGCAGTTAGGGTAACGTTAGCATGAAACTTGTTGGAACTCTATATTACAGTTTACTCAGTCAATAGCATGAGTAAACATTTGACATTTGTCTCTGCACTAGTTGGTTTTGTTTGACACCTTGCTGATTGGAAATTGGATTGAGTGAAAGTGGGAGTAGAAAGGAACAGCTTTTTCCCTATTTCCTTAGCTCTATTTAGACCTATCTAGATGTTTTCTATCAAATACAGTATTGCTGACAATATTAATCTTACAGCAAAATAATTTTCTCATAGATGTGAAAAATCGCCCCAAAATTATAGTTCATTCTAGCATAATCCAAAAACAATTGAAACAAATTAAACTAAAGTGTTGGTATCCTTAACAATCCCAAGCAGGATAAATTAAACATTTTTAGCTTGTGATTTTTTTTCAGGTCAGATTATGATGAATACCTACAATGTTCTGCTAACTCTGTATCCTCAGGAGCACTTTAATTACTATTCACTGGACAGTTCCCTTGGACATCTGGTGTTCTCCATAAAATATGATGAGATCGGTGACCAGGAACATCTACGCCTTATGCTCAGGTAACACTCACTATGCATATGTGACGCCTAAAGTTATAGTCAATAGCTGGAAGAGCTGCAGCAAATGCAGGGAAATAACTTTATCCTCTGAAATGCCCAGTACAGTGATAATGTGTGACTGGATGCACACATCCTCCCCAGGTGTTATTGCAGCAGTCATAAAGCTAAAGAGAGTGTCAACAGAAGTGTAATTTCCATGGCAGAGTAACAGATGGACTATTTAGGCCAGCGAGGGTGTGATAGAAAGGGAGACTGAAGGCAAACACATGGATGGGCGGGAAGTTTGATAATATCTATTGTTTTATCATACCTAATAGATTAATTATTGTTTAATGACCCCAACAGAACCAAGCTGAAAACCTATTATGATGTGATCCCCATATCCTGTTTAACAGAGTTTCCTAATGTGGTCCAAATGGCCAAGGTAGGATGAGATGCTCTTTGAACAATAACTGATCAGCCTCAACGGTCGTGTTTTGACATTTTCTTTAATTTCTCATCTTTACCAAAGCTTGTCTGTGAGGAAGTCAACGTGGACCGCTTTTATCCTGTGCTCTATCCAAAAGTAAGCTGGTAACCCTCGTCTTTTATTCCTGTATCTGTAACAGTTTAAAATCAGAATAGTTAAGGAACATATTTGAGGTTTGTTTGAGAAGTGAAATTGGTAGGCAAACTACTTACACCCAATGGACTTTTCCAAATTCTGTCATGTTACATCCCCAAAGCTTGTCGTACTTCACAAAATGTTCTATAATAAAAAGAATGTAATCTTAAAACAAAGTAATAAGAACCCCTATTAGTTTTTTCTCTTGTCAGATGGGACCAAGTTTGAACATTCTGGCCTAAATGCAAAGTTCTATCCATGGCAGTAAAACTAAAAACAAATAATAATAAAAAAAACACTGCAAACTTTCTATTAACATTATTAACACTTTCTATTAACACTTTATTTTCTGAAACACAATAGTAGAGGCATCATGCTGGGGAGTCTACTTTCCAGCTTGGGCAGGGATGCTGATGGTTTTGGGTTTACCCCAGCATTTTAAATTCGAATTATAGAGACCCTCTGTAAACTACCTGCTAAAAATTTCATAAAGTAGCAAAATTCTTATGTCATTGGAGGAAAATAAGCCCAAATTAACATTAAATAAAATGTGGGAAACTGTCTATGAATGTTATCCGTAAAAAATAACTAAAAAAAATATTACAGCTAATTAAGCTTGGTTAGCTTGTATTACACAGCCAAATAAAGCTCAGAAAGAAAATGATTCTTGAAAATATCTTTCTGCATGTGTTTCTGCAGGCTTCAAGACTTATTGTCACATTTGATGAACATGTGATCAGCAACAATTTCAAATTTGGAGTCATCTACCAAAAGTTTGGACAGGTGAGTTAGCGCGTTTTTATGCTGGTGGTCCTTTGCTACAGAAATGCTTAGAATTTCAGCTGTTGGACATGTTCATCCTATGAACAATGAATATTCACATTTAATAACATTTTTCATTTCCTCTAGGAAGCTGATATCGTCCAGCTTTTATTGTAATAAATTTGTGTTTCTATAAAAGTAATTATCTTGCCTTTAGCTCATCCTCTTATTTTTTTTCAGCCAATCGGTGCCTTTGTGTACTCTTGTCAGGTAGCAGAGCTGCAAGGAGATTAGCGGAGCAAATCTATATGTTCCAATAGCTCTGTTTATAAATGCTTAAATGCATGCCCCTATAAAATACTATGAGAAAAACCAAAAAGGAGTCGTTTTTATTTTGAGAAAAATTTGCAGGTTAAGTAGACATCCAGGGACATAGAAGAAGATTATATAATATTTCATCGACTTCTCAGGTATTTTTCTATCCTGCCTGTTTTAAGGCTGATATTTTTTAATAACATAACCATAATCTCTCACTAACTTTCTCACTAACAACTTATAATCATCTTTTTTAGCAAGGGTGATTGTAGCCACAAGCCTCCTGATCTTTGATTCCTCTAAGTAGTCTGCAATATTAAAGGTCTCTGGGTTATCTGATAGACTATTACAAAGCAGCACATTATTAAAAATAAAGAGAGAAAATGATGTATAGCTTCTATTTATTCCCAAATGGAAACCAATGAACTGTCATTTGCTGTAATGTTCATCCATATTTAATCAATTTCCCTTAAATAAACTCTAGTGTAACCTGTTGCCTTAGGACGGTATGAGTTTCTTAAATGCCTCAGAGGTTTTGTCAGAGATTAGTGAATATGGGAAATAAATCACAACACTAACTTTATAATTGGGCAGGTTAGTGAGAAAGTTCTGGAGAAGTTAAAGGCATAGTATTTGTTAATCTCCTAAAAATGGAAAGCATATGGTAAACTGAAAACCTTGAAAACATGGTCACCCACCTCGGCTGAGGAAGGGGACTATTACTCAGAGGAACATCCAAGAAGCCTGTGGTAACTTTGGAAGAGCTGCAGAGATCAATTGTTCATTATGGAGAACCTGCTGACAATTAATAGTCTCAAATCTTGCCTTAGTGTTAGATTGGAAAGAAGAAACATGTCTTTTAAGTTTATCAAATCTTCATTAATGCGGGTAGTCCAACTTAACCATTCGATTTTACTTAAAATATCTGTTTGATACATTTTGTACAGAAGAAGACTTATGACAAAACAGCATCGAAGTGTTAAGAAAAAGACAAAATTAAGAAAAAAATGTACATTTTGGAACAATAGCTAAAAATTTCTAACAATATTCCAAGATTTTTAAAGGAGAAAATAAATAACCCAGAGAATTTTAATCCAACAACTTCCTGGCGAAGATTATACCCAGCTGAAGGTGCAGAGAAAGAGAAATGTGCTTCGCTTAACTGTGTCCTGCAAGATAAATTTAGAACTGAGGTGCACCTTTGATTTCCACCAAGACAAACCAGAGCTACAGTGAAATGATTCAGTCTAAAGCAGATTTACATGTTAGAATGGCCCAGTCAAAGCCCAGTGCTAAAAAAAACTGCAATATTTGCTGCTATGTCACTTAAAGGCTGATCCACACATATTCAAGGCTAAAGATTTTCATTGAACTTAATATCCAGAACAATTTTAGTTTGCCACTTGCAACTGGTCAAGTTCATAGATATGTGTGATGGTGATGTCACAGCCTGTTAAAATGTTTAACCCTTTAAAGCCCGATCCAAGAATAAAACAAAACAGAAAATTACTTTTTTTGGTTTGAAGTCCTTATTTGTCCTTTTAACAAAATATGTAAAAAGAAAAAACAGAAATAAATTTTTGATATTAATAATTTATTATTATGCGATAAGTCAAGATTATTTTTTGTGTATTCTTCTGCCCTCTGTTATCAGGCATATCTGATTCTGTTCAATAGGATTTTGAGCAAAGTTTTTACCATTAAATTATGCAAAAGGTGTCAAACGCAAAACATTTCATAAACCGTATGTATTAAATATGATACATTTGGGATTACAGGGTTAATGGTCTCAATGTATGTTATTTCTTTGATTGATTTTTTTTTTGGCTTCAGACATCAGAAGAGGAGCTGTTTGGCAACAGTGAAGAAAGTCCTGCCTTCGTAGAGTTCCTGGAGTTTCTTGGAGAAAAGATTGAACTACACCATTTTAAAGGGTAAGAGTCAAACAAAGCACTAAACTCTACCATCATCACAAAGACACAACGTCATCTCTTATTGACATCCAGTCATGCACACTATAGGCATAATAGTCATGCTTCTGCAGTGACGGTGGAATATCCTGTTCGACATGCTTCTGTTTGCTTGCAGTTTCCGTGGAGGGTTAGATGTGACTCATGGGCAAACTGGCACAGAATCTGTCTACTGCAACTACCGCAACAAAGAGGTCATGTTCCACGTGTCTACGAAGCTGCCTTACACAGAGGGGGACACCCAACAGGTAATTCAACACCACAGAACAATGACACAGCTTTCATAATTCACAGCAAGCAGTCAGACAGGTTCCATCTGAGCCTAACAGTACTACAGCTTACTTGTTTATCCATGCTGGGCTAGAGAACAGCAGTGCTTAAAAAGACTACATTGGTTGTAAACATGAACTGTTAATGTGTGCTTAAGTGAACTCATTGTTCTTTTTGGTTTAATGCATCCTTCTGTTTCCTTAAACAGTGATTAATGATTGCTACTGTACGTCTAAACAGTCCATGATATCAAGCTTTTACAGACACAGATGGGAACGTCTGTCTTTACATGCTCAGCTTCCAAGCCAGGTGTAATGGGTGTTATATGGATATATGCCACGTTGACCTCAGACAGTTAACTGTTCTTTAAAACTAGCAGGGAAACAGTGCCTCTCTGTGGTGCCTTACAAATCCCCTCACTGTAAGCAGAATGCATATGATACTTATTGTCCTTAATCTACCATTTGTGTTTTTAACTTAGGTTTTCACATAAAAAAAAATAGTCATTTGTTTTCTAGTTTTACATGTATGGATATATTCAAGTTATGATAGCGCCTTGTCTCTGCATCAACAGTAAAGGCATTTTTTGTCATACTTTCTTATCCATATAAATTTGACAAATACACAGCCATTGATCTTTTGCTTTTTTACAATATATTTAAGCATTGTAATACAGATCCTAGCAGAACCTTTTCTCAACCGCCTTGAACTTCTCAATAGTTTTACAACAGCAAACCTCATTGTATATCATTGGGATTTGATGCATTAAATACGTGCAAAAAATTGAATAGCTTTCAATTTGAAGAAAAATGTTACATGTTTTCATGCTTTTCTTGTTCTTCTTATTTAGCGGAAAATGTTTAGGTGCATTTTTACCACTTACTGCTGAGTGTAACAGCTTCGTTAGGGGTTCTGGATTCAACTCATACATTTGTTTTTCTTAAAAGTAAATTAGTTATTTGTTTTTGCAAATTTGCAAAGTTTTAACTTTGCAACTTGTGTTCATAAGTTATGCATTTATTTTCTCGTAGATTAAACATCTGATGGCACATGTACATATGAATTGACAAGAGAAAAAAGTGTACAATTACAAATTCAAACACCTTTGCGCACATTTTTATTGACAGTTATCCTACTTCATACATGTCTGTCTTGCAATTATATTCTCCATCTTTAACTACATCTGCAACCTACTAAAAATTACTATGGGACTTGTATCTACTTTTCTGATCAATGCAGATTTTAGAATAAACATGGTCCTATCGGAAAGGGATTTTGGTTCACATTTCATGGCATCTTTATCCCTGACCTGCCTGTGTTCCTTGGTTTTCACTCTCTGTTCTCTAACAAAACCCTGAGACCTTTACAGAATAGTTATTTTTATGCTAGACACATTGAAGTCTTCATCTATAAAGTGACAAAATGAGATAGCAAAGTACTGTACTAGACTTGCATTTTCTCTTACATATTCACACAGAAATGTAACCATAAAGTTTTCCTGCTGATCTTCTGTTTTAGTTGCAGAGGAAAAGGCACATAGGGAATGACATTGTTGCCATTGTATTCCAAGAGGAAAATACTCCCTTTGTGCCAGATATGATTGCATCCAACTTTCTTCATGCTTATATTGTGGTCCAAGTGGTCAACCCCTGCTCTGACAATGTAGTCTATAAGGTAAGTCCTCCCCACCCTTCCTTTCCAAAACTTTAAAAAGGAAGTTTGAGCAACTGATTCTTCTTTGGCCTTTATGTTTGTTGCTAGGTTTCAGTGACAGCTCGGGATGATGTTCCTTTCTTTGGCCCAGCCCTCCCAAACCCTGCTATATTTAAAAAAGTAAGAGAAACACAAAATTTAATTATGATAAAATATCTTTGCCTTTTTTATTAATTGCAACTGCTTATTTTCTCCCTCTGCTTTGCTTTTCTTTAGGGTCCTGAATTTCATGAGTTTCTGTTTACAAAACTAATTAATGCAGAATATGCATGCTACAAAGCTGAGAAGTTTGCCAAATTGGAGGTGAGTTTTGGGGCATACCATTACTTGGTTTTGTTGTTCCTAAAAAACAATTTCCTTTCTGGTATTTGTGTGCTTGGGCGTCAGGAGCGAACACGATCGGCTTTGCTTGAAACCCTTTATGAGGAACTCCATCTGAACAGCCAGGCCATAATGGGAGTTGGAGGCGAGGATGACAAACTGGAGAATGGGAATGCAGGAGGAGGGGGCTTCTTTGAGTCCTTTAAGGTAACCAGAGACTCACATACAGAAGATTCAACACATCCTCGAACCGGTACCTTAAAAATTTATAACTGTTGGAATTTAGCAAATCTTTTCCCCAGTTGAACATACATCAGCATGGATTTTGTAAGATTTGAAAGTTTTCCTTTTACATTTTAGAATAAAGAATACATTTTCACCATCCATTTTGTATTGATCTGCAGGCTTTGGAATTGCTACTGCAATTAGCTATTTGCAGACAGCTCCATGTTTCTCATTATTTAAGCCTAGATAACCTGCTACTGCCTGTAACTTTGAAAGCAAACAGAATTAAGCAGGCCATTGATTTCCTCCATATTTTATACCACATGAAAGGAAAAACTTGTGTTTCTAAAAACGTCAGTCTATTCTGATGCTATCGGTTTTACAGGTATAAAAGTATAAAAACAATGTTACTCACAAAACACTGACTTTTTGTGACCTTTCTTTTCTACTTTCTGTTGAATTTTTCTTAAGAGACTTTTCTTTGGCAGTCAGGGTTCTTCACATTGCTCACAAGCTGAGCTATAAGAGCTTTATCACCGCCTCACAGTCGGTTTGAAATCTGAATGAAGCGGATTTCTGCAGCTCCGTCCTCCTCTTTGCTTCACAGCTTTTCTTCCTTGTGCATCACAACAGTAACTTGATACTGTTCTGTCTGCATGCTGCTGTGCCGCCACCCCTCGCATATTTTTCATGATGCTGTCATCTCTTTGTGTCACAAACTGGGGGTGAACAGATACATTTCAAGTGGCTTTACCTCTCCCATCGGGTTACAACCCAAGACGTTACACTTCTTTTGGCTACTTGGTGGTTTGACGTCTCCTTACTCTTTCTTTTCCTGCCACTTAAGTAAAAGCAATGATTCATCTGAACCACACAATCTGCACACAAACTCTGCAGGGTTCTCTGTAACTTTCTTTCCTGTCAGCAGTAGTCAGAGATGTGGTGCCTGTTCTTGTAGTGGTCAGAGTTCAGGGGAAAGCTCTAAGGCTCACCTCGGTCATGCAAAGAGGCTGAAAGTGTCAGTATCATCTCAGTGTATCTCCTCCTCCTCGTTTCTTTCCGTAGCGGGTGATTCGCGGTAGGAGCCAGTCAGTGGATGCCACGAGTCTAACTCTCAAGAAGCAACACTCAGTCTCCAATAACCTGAGCAGCCACAGCCCTGCAGAGAATCCTAAATTCCCTGGGATAGTAAGTAAAGTGCCTCTTTTCGCCCTAAGCAAGGCGCGCCTCGCTACCTCTGCCTCCTCCAGCCCTTCTACTAGAGTATTGCCTTCCTTCCTTACGTGCTTGCAGCATTAACTTCTCACACTGATGTGCCATGCCCTCGGCCAAGAGGAGCAATAACGGATAGCTTTGGTCTGGAAGCTGACTTTCCTGATAGTAATTAGTCGCACACTGTCTGCAAGATGGAGTGGGAGGATTCTGACTGGATTCTACACTAATGGTGATGGTTTGGGGTTAAAGCTGGTGTTTGCTTCTGATTCCTTTTCAAACCTAATGCAACTGCTTTCTTATTATAAGACTAACACAATTTTTTAATATGATCCAGTATTTTGTTGTTGTGCTTGTTATGTGTATGATACTTTAAGCATCGGTCTTGAAGGGATAATCACTAACAAATGTTAAATAAAGTTAGGAGTGAAAGTTTTTTGTTACTTTAATTAACTAATTGCAAATTGCATCATAATTGTTCTAATTCTTTAATCAACAATTGTAGTTTTTTTTTTTTTTTTTTACATAGTTTACATACATCCATAATGGGCCTACCTGTTTTGATAATGTACGGTTTCTTAATTATTTATTTGTACCCTATCCTTCCCTGGATTTGACAAAAAAAATTTAATGTTTTTATTTTCTGGGAATTTTGCTCAGATCCACACAAAGTTCACCCAAATGTATGATTCCCCTGCTAATATTTTGTTAAATGTTCCTTAACAATAGTACATCCAGTATTCCATTTTTTTAGCTATCAACACCACCTTTAGAAATTAATCTCAAGATTATTTATTAATACTATTTAAATATATGGTATAGTTTTTTTCAAGTGTGTTATTTGTTGGCAAAAAACAGGCTGTTTAGCTTGAACTTTATCAATAGAAACGTAGGAAGCCGGTTGCAGAGGCCTAACAAGTTAATCAAGGTTAAACAAGTTTTATTCTCTTAAAACAGTTGTATTCAAGAATTGTTCAAATGCATCATTAAAAACTTCATAATAATGTAACATTCATTGCCATCATGGCTGCATGCAAAACTTTTGTCCAGAGCTGTATGCTGTTCATGCTATTTTATAAATATGGGTTAATAATCAAAGAAAATGTATACATTCCATTGGATTTATTTTTAAAATACAGTAAAACTAACTGATTTCCTGTAATGCAATTACAAAACTCTTTAATGGAGTTTACCACGATAAATGTCCTATGTTGTTACGTAAAGAATAATTTATCGAGTTCATGTCTCGGCTGTTTTTTTAATCTCTTCATCATCGTCTTCCTCGCAGGCGTATGTGGCTTACATAACCGGTTCATCATTTCTCTCTCCCATTCAGCTGCCTGTGTTGAACCCATGGAGCCAGACTGTCTCCATTTGTATTCTCTAGTTAAATATTGTTTGACTGACATGACTTACTGCATGAAATCTCACATATCTGTATGAATCTCATGTTTTCTTTTCTCCTCCTCCTTCTTTTTTTGTCATCTGTCATTACCATCATCTCCTCCTTACTCTTTCTTCTTCTCTGTCTTTTTCTCTTTCTTTTTCTCTCTCCCTGTCTACCTCAGTCATTGCTTGTCCCAGGCAAAAGTCCCAGTAAATATGGACGCCGTGGCAGTGCCATAGGGATAGGAACAGTAGAAGAGGTTCATGTCTAATTACTAACTACCTTCTTACTTATGTCTTTTTTCTGTCGCTTTTATGTGTCTGCATGGCGCCACTGCATCAAGGTCAAATGAGTTTTCCTGCACATTTCAGCAGCTCTTACCATTAGTTCCTTTTTGTGAAAAGTGAAAGCCTTTACAATTTGCTAGAAATTTGCTATCTTAAACTATTTACTAATGACACACTTCAGTCAATCATTTTTAGACTCTTTTTTTTTTTTAGGTCTTCTATGCTTTAATGCAGCAGGTGCTTATTTTCTAGAATGTTTTATGATAATTATCTCCTTTGATTATTTCCAATTATTTAATTCAATTAATTTAATTCAATAAGCCCCCCCCCCCATGCAGAGGTTATACAAAGAAAACTGAATTGCTAATCTCTAAAGCCACATTAAAAGAATATCTTTGTTTCTAATTTGAGACCTTTAAATTTGAGACAGAATGAACAAAGCGTCTCTGGAGCCTTCAAATCCACCTTTTATCTCCTGCTTCAGGGCGCTCTGCACTGACAGGGGGGGGGCTGTCACCTGCTCTTGGCATGACATGCGTATTTCTCCTTTTTCTTTTCTCATTTTTGTACCAACTGAAAAGCAAGTTATCCTACATATTATCCCAATAACTCAGAGAGATGTGGTTTCAAAATCCTTTTTCTTTTTTTTTATTTATTAGCCTAGTTGGATCGGGACAGAACTTGCAAAATATTCCCAGAGTTTGACAATGCTTTTCTGCTCTCCCTGCCAGTCTTTGATTATCCCGGGAAAAAGCCCCACAAGGAAAAAGTCAGGTCCTTTCAGCTCTCGCCGAAGCAGTGCTATTGGGATTGAAAACATTCAAGAAGTCCACGAAAGAAGGTGAATGAAGAGTTTAGTTGATTTTTCACTTTGCCTTGAACTGTTCTACATTTGATCACATTACAACCAGAAACGTTAGTTTTATTATTGTGATTTAATGTTATAATTTGTGTAACAGTGAATAACTTTTAAGTGGAAGGAAAATGATACATGGTTTACAAATATTAAAAACTAATGGATGTATTTGTATTCATCCGTAATACTCTATTGCTCCTAGAAAAACCCAGTGAAGAACTGCATCCAGAATTCAGATATAAATGTTCTTGTGCTTTTAGTTTCATCTTGTAAAAAAACTCAGTTGTTTCACTAATGCCTCTAAGGTTGACTAGATAAAAGTAGTTAATAAACAACTTCATCAAGACCAAGGATCAGATCCACAGCTCTGGGGATTTTAGCACTTTTATGAGGCATTGTACACACATCACTGTGGGTTGTTTTGTGGGTAGGTAGCATTTTATAAGCATTGTGGGAAATATGTTATTTTTTGGTATATTTCTATTGCAGCAGAGATGCATCTCCACACACTCAGAAGACACCTGACAGTGGCCACGTTTCTCAAGACCAGAAATCTGACAACTCAGATCAGAGCTCTCCTGAAGTCCTCACAACCACCAAGAACAGGTAAGAGAGACCGACTGAAAAGAAATAAGATCAATGAGAATTTATACTGTCATGTGTTAAATTCAAGCAAGGCAGCACCTTCTTTTGTCGTGTCTGATGCATTTGAGGTCAGAATTAGCTGACCTCTATAGTGGTAACCCAGGGTGTAGCTCTTATTTCTGTGGCAGGACCCCTTCCATCCCTGAGGGCCAAGACCTCTCTCGCTCCTCCTCCAATGCCAGCAGCTTTACCAGTGTGGTAGAGGAAAACGAGGCTCCAGAAGACTATGACACTGGCATGGTTGGCACAAAATTTCTTTTCATAAAGTGCAAGAAAACAGAGCATGAATTTTAAATAAAACATATATTTTCAGTTGCCTCTTTCCGTTATGCATGATTCCACATGTCTGTTATGTATCATTCCCAGGAGAGTCTGTCTTCAGCTGGAACACCTCACAAGCGAGACTCTCTCACCTACAGCACCTGGTTGGAAGACAGCATGAGCTGCACCAGCAGCAACAGTCGTGGCAGCTCTCCAGGTTTGTAGGCATATAATACTTGTTTTACAATTTCTAGAAAACATGCAACACTATCACATTTTTCTGATTAATTTGCACCCTTTCATGAATATGAAAGTATGTTTTTTGGATCAGCAACAAGTTCATTTTGGATACTATTCTGTGTTATCATAAGATAAGATAAAACATCGGCTCAACAGTCAAAAGAAGGTGAAAAAAGGAGGAAAATGTGCATGGAGTGTATACAGTGCGCAGACATTTATACAGTGGATCGAGAGAAAAAAGAAACGAGGCAGAGATTTAAGGTGACTTATATACATTTAGGGTGACTGATTCACATTTGGATTTGGCTTTGATCATTAAAGTGCTACCAGGTAAAGAACAACAGTGAGGTGGTGAGATAAGTGTAATAGCTGAAGTTTCCTATTTAACAGGGTTATTGCACAGGCTATTTAACAGAGAATTGAATTGTTATTGCAGATTAGTTATTGTGAAAGTTATTGCAGTTATAGTGCCACATTGTAAAGTCTGATGGCAGCAGGGATGAATGGCCTGCGGTAGGACTCCTTTTTACAAACAATGTGCAAGTCTTTTACTAGAGGAGCTGCTCAGCTCCTCTACAGTCAGGGGCAGGGGGTGAGAGGTGTTGTCCATGATGGATGTGAGCTTGGACAACATCATTATATCAGCAAATATCACAATTTAAAAAAATCCTAGTGAGTCCTAAAGATTATGTAGCAAAGAGAAGAACCTTTTTCACCTGAAACACAGACAATGTTTTCACAGAGTCCCTCTTGTGGCATCATTATGAAAAGTTAGCAGGCTTCAAGATAAATTACTAACTCTGATTTCCTTTTAGAACCTGCAAAAAAGGAGAAAAATAAGGAACATTTTTTTCACAGCATAGATTACAAGTATAGAGTAGAATAGATAGATTTTTTATTGTCCTTCAGTGTGGAAATTCAGGTGTCCCAGCAGTAAAGCAAAAGGCAAAAGGAAGCATGATTATTCATACAAAGATTAAATAAATCATATCTCAGTCTTATGTTTATATTTGACCACCATGTTTACAGTTTATCACTGCTGCACTTTAAGAAATGGAAATGTCTTGAAAGCTGTACTGAACGAAATTTCGTTTTGTACTGTATACACCCTGTGTGTACAAAATGACAATATAGATTTTCTAAGTCTAAGTCATATCTACATTATACAAAAGAATAATGGACTGTGCAGAGAGGGATAAAAGGGTGCAGCTGAATAGGTTAATTAAAGAGAACTGTGTAAAATACACATATACGAATGTGCATACTAAACAGCAGACTATTTACAAGAAATGAAACTGAACAAATAACAGCAGGAATGCAAACTCACTGGGAGGAAGTATCTTCAATAACGATAATGACTGCAAGCAGTCTGTTGCTACAGTTATGGATATTAATTTCCAGTGTATCATTTTTCTACATAAGGAGAAAATGCCAAGATATGAAAGTTTACTGCACCTTCCAAACATATCTAGAAGCGTTGAATTTTCACATTGTGCAACTTGACAATAAACTCCAATATGTTTACTGAGATGTTATGTCATGGCTTTTAATTTCATTAATTTTGAATTTTTGTTTTTAGTAAAAATCAGAAACACGGCATACATACATATTCATATTCAACCCTTTTTTACTTCAATACAAATCAGTTGTTCTGTGAAGGAGCTGTAAATTCTTCCAGGGGTTTGGATCTAGCAGCACTATAGTGAGCTGAGAAAGTAATGAAATAATTTAGATTTTTTTATTCTGAGCAGGGATACTTCTAAAATATGAATATTGTCATGACAACAGAGGAGGTAAAAGATGATTGGGACATGATAGAGTTAGATTTTTGGTATTTCAACTGTAAGAAGCTGAAAGAAGACAGAAGATGTCTAATATTCATAGAAACATTTCAGCAGAGACTGCAGTCGCTTTAGCAGTAAAAGGTGTTTCTACAAAGTCTTGACTCAGGTGACTATGTATTTGCCAGCTTCTCATTTTTTAAAGAAAATTGTCAAAAATACTTGCCACTTTCTAATTTGTGGGTAATTGTTGCAAAAAAATCACAGTAAGATAGCATAGACTTTGCAGTTTTGTTGTGTTTGAAGGTAGTAGTAAATAAAAAATGGCGAATAAGAACAAAGTGAGTTTTTTTTTTATTCCTGTTTTCTTGATCCTCAGGGCATGGTAAATCTGATCGAGGGAAAGCCACCGATATTCGAATCAAACTAGAAAAATCACATGACCATCAGTCATCAGTGAGTCCCCCTGTGATTATTTTAGATTTTTAAACTCCATATTTCAGCTCCTTTCTGTTGGACTTTATTTGGTTTACATTTGTGCTTCCCTTTGTGCAGAACTGCTAGCCCTGCCCACAGGATTTTATCCTGAATCGCCATCTTCAGGTTTGACTTTCATTTTTTTCACTCTTATGGTTTAATTTAACAATCTTACTACAACCAAATAGACATATTTGGATGAAAACACGAGCTACCAAATGAAGCCTTTGAACATGTTTTATGTTTTTGACCAGATGTCTGTCTTCTTCCAGAAGCAGTCCCATAAGTCACTCCTTCTGAGACCCATGCTTTTGACATGTCGAGTGAAGAGGAGGAGGATGAAGCTGAGAAAGGAGCATCAGATAAAGCCTGCAGTCGGCTGCTCAGGGAGGAATGCATCCAGAAACCCAGAGGACACAAGAAAGGGTTATGCACAATAAGGCGCCAGCTTTTGGTTTCATTGCCTGTTCCCACATTTGTTGCTTGGTTGTACTTTTATTTTTTAAACCGACCCTTGGTTGTAAAAGTGCTTTTTTTTTTCATCTGAAAATATAAATGTTTGATCTTTTAAAGATGTCACTTGTTGAACTCATGTTGTGCTGGCTGTTTGAAAAGTACAGATTGTATAGGTGTCCTTGTGATGAAACCTTCCGCTTAAAGATTATGTCATAAATCTATTTAAAATCAAATTAAATCATCACATTTACAGGTATATCATTGAAATTGAATCAATTTGATTTGTCACAGTTAAATTAAGCTTTTTCTCTCAGCCAAGCATGCAGTTACAGTAGCCGAATGTGAAAACATTACACATTGAACCTTTAACACACTCCATCTTCAGTGCATGACATACTGGTCACCTAAAACATATAGTCTCCGGCTTTACCACAAGCCCAAAAGGCAAAGATGCACTAGAGATTTTTTTTTTTTTCCCATGAGAAGGAAGAAGTCATGAGAGAAATATGGTCTCAGAGCTGCAATGTGTAACACTGTTATTCGCCATTTGACAAAAATCATAAACCTAAAATCCTGGCAGCAATAAGGAGTCTTTGTGACTTCTGCTCCAGTTCTGAACATTTAAGTGCCAGCCTTTTCATTTCTCCAAACAGTGAAATTACATTAAAATACCTGTAAACCACACTTCCCTTAAATATTTGATCCACACTTAAGATGTAAGAGAGTAATGCAGCTGTCTAAATGCCGCCTCAGTGGTTTGCCTGCCGACTCAACTGCAACTATCTTTGCAGCTTGGGCAATAATTGTTTGTAGTCATAAACACTGCCAGAATTATTTTCCCCCTTTTGTAGACAAAATTTAACCTTTTTAATTTTATTGTTGTTGTTTTTTTTAAATGTAGCGACTGAATTTGGTGCTGACTGCATCCTCTGATGCTTGCAGCATCCTCATCAACGTTTCGTGCATGAATAATCTCATGGGAAAATATGCTCACTTAATCTTTACTGTGTTGCTATAAAGGGAGCAAACATTCGATTTTTTCATTTTCTGTGTGCACCAACTGGCTTTCACACTCAGGATCTGGAGGACATGTTTTCACTCTGTTTATGTTAGTGCCCATAAGGGTACTTTTTGTCTATGAAAAAAACTGTTTTAATGATATTTGCCTGTTTTGAAAATCATTGGTGTTTTCATGTTTTCTGGCTCTAAATTTTGGGAAATGTTGTCCTTTAAGCAAAATTTTTGGCTTAATTGAAATGCCAAAATTGAAAGTTTTTTTCCTAAAAGGTTTATCGGAAAATGTTTCACCTGTTAAATTGATAAATTTATTATATGGCAGGTAAAATTTAAACAGGAGAACATGTTAGCTGCACTAAGACACTTTCTCCGATTTCCATTTTTTCTCCAAGTTGTGCTTTTTAACAACAAATAACAGCTTACAGGAAATAAGCCTCTCAGCAAACAGCCTTAGAACTTAAACATGTCTTTTTTTTTAAGTATGTGTTACCTCAGTTTTCCCCTCCACATTTTTATCTACCAAAGCAAATCAAAGTTATTAAATTAAAGGCTTATCAAACTTTATAACAAGTGCTTCAAAAACAGGAGATGATTATTGGTTTAATCGCCTATTGAACTCAGTCACTCTTTGTATAACAAATATACAGATATGGTCATCAGTTTTATTATTTTTTTCCTAACTTCTCTTCTTCTTCCCTAACCTTTGTTTTTATTTATTTATTTTTTCTGGTAAGTGGCAGTTCTCTCTATGGTGATAACACTCAGTGTCTTGTTATGCAGCTTGTTTATGTTGCTTTTTCCCTAAATATGATCTTGACCTGTGACATCTGGCTTATTTCAAGAGTCAGATCTTGTTGAGTGCAGTAAGTTTGCAATGCAAATATGATCAAATCAAGTATATTAATTTGCTTTAAAAGTTACTAAATCCAAACTAAACAACTGGTGATGTGTAAATATAATATTAACTGAAGAAAATATATGTATAGCCAGTGGATTTTAAACTGGAAGGGACAACACAAAACAATTACTGCCAAGGTTAAAAGTGACTGTTGTTTTATGTCATGTATTCTTAATTTCAGACTTTATTTTAAAAGTTTTGTAGATTTTTAAAGGTTTTCAGACTAAAAGGGAAAATATCTCTGTACATCCCATTGATCATTTCAGTTGCCTTATGTCACACAGTGATGGTGTAAGTCGAGCCAGGAGAGCCAGTAGTTAATTCATCAGAATTTCCAATATAATGAATGTTTTGTTTTTGCTTGTTTTTACTGTAAATAAATACCCTCAGAAGTTCAAAATCTTCTGCACATCGATTTTTTTTTTACCATTCAAAAGAAAAAAATCCTTCTAAGGCACACTAAAAATCATTGTTATTAAATAAGAATAAAAGACAAAGGGGGGTTTATTTCCCTGTATCATTATAAAAGCCAATAAAAGATTATCCCAGAAGTCAGTGACTTGGTGATGCTCCGCTGTAAGACATTATTTGCGTGTTGTTGTAATTGAAGGCAAGTGACTTACTTTATTTGGGGTATCTGATGTATAATTACAGAGCTTTCTGTGACTGAAACATTTACTGCTTTTGAACTATTAGATATAAATATGCAATGATGTTAGAAAAATTTTCAGGTAATGCTCTTTACTTAGCTGCATTTATTTATTTTAGGAATAACTCTTTTTACCACACTTAAGTCATGCATTTTAGGAGTGGGATCATTGATATTGGGGGGTTACAACACATCCTAAAAGGCCTGAAGTCACCAGACCCGATTTACAATCCGATCCAACTTAAATTCTGATTACATGAGGTTGTGGAGCTAAGTCCCTGAATATTAACCTTCTTCAGATCCCAAACAAAATACATATGAACAAAGAAGTTCCAACAAAGTTAAAAGGTTGTTTGTGCCACTCCATTAGCCTGGAACTCAAACCCTACTCCAGACATTTTGAATTGAGAAAGCTTCCTGGATGGGAAGTGAAACATCTTCAAAATTGGAAAACAAAGTCCAGTGTTTTTAGTTTTTTTTTACTTTGTTAAATTTGTTGGAATGACTATGACCTGGATGAATGAGAATTTTCCCCAGTGGAGAACAAAGAAGTGGAATGTATACCACACACAATGAACAAAGCTGTCTTAATTTCCAGATTTTTGTAAATACTGACCTGGAGAGCATAAGAAAGAGATCCGATAATGGATTGTCAAGAGAGAATGAGCAATAAAAATAAAAAATCAGGAAAAACCTTTTTCTATTTGCTCCAAACTTGTAAAATGATAAGGGATGACTAACGGATGCTCTTTTGAGAAAAAAGTTTGTTCTTCACACATGTTTTGGCCGAGGTGCCAACAAATGTGTCATCCCCTAACTTTGAATGTAGTTTATACCAGGATGTAAATATTCACTGCACAGCTTTTCTTCCACAGATGGTAAAGGAGATAATGATGACACTGTGCCATGGTGTATAATAAAATAACTATCTTTAAGGACCAAATTATGACTCATTATCATGGAGACGAAATAAAAAATTAATACAAAAGTGAAATTTTGTCTCAAAATATAACTGAATAGCAATACTCAACATAACTTATTTGTACATAGTGTAAAAATAAGTAGCAGTCTAATGGTCAGGGCATAGAGCTTGAAATCCTGAGGTTCTGAGTTCGAGCCCCACTCCCACAGACTGCCACTCTGGGTCTCCAAGCAAAACCCTTAACCCTTGACTTGAAAAAAGGTGCACTCTGTGGCATTTAAAATAATTATTGGCCAAAGAGCTAAACAGTATGAGTATTCAAATAGAATGCATTCTGCCCGGCTGTCTCACTGTGTGGTGTGGAAGCTGCAGCGCCTCAGACTGGAAGAAGGTGAGAAGAGTACGGTGAGAACAGCAGAGAGGATCGTCCTCTTCCCTCCATTAAAGACATTTCATCCCAGCACTGCGTGTTCCGAGCCTGTAACATCAACAATGACCCTTCACACCCCCACCATGGACTGTTCTCCTTGCTGCCCTCTGGAAAGAGGCTTCGAAGCATCCGATGCAGGTCCCGCAAATTCCATAACAGTTTCTTCGCCCGTTGCCATTACTCTGCTAAATGTTATGTAAAATTGGTTATTTTATTTATAAAAATAATATTAAAAATTATAGAACTGTAAACATACAGTCATATGTTTATATTACAAATTTTTATGTATTTATTACTGTTTTCAAGGCTGCACTTTTAAAAATGAAATTCTATAGAGCTGTTTTAAACGGAATTTGTTTCTGTATACACTTGTGTATACAAAATGACAAAATAAATCTATCTATGTCTAAAGCTAAAGAAAAAAAGTTTAATTTTAGCAGGCTTTCTATCTGTTTTTATGGAACATCTGGATGTAATATCCACTACAAGAATATTTTGAAAATATATTTTTCTCAGCTTTAAGTTAAAAATCTTGGTGTTTTTTTTTTTATTTTTATTTATTTATCATTTATTTATTTTTCGTTCATTTGAAATCAAGTAATTCAATTTCTAGTATTTTGAGTATTTTCTAGTCGCAAAAAATACTGTGGATCTACATTACTGTTATATTTTAAAATATTATTTTCCTTGTCAGCAATATAAAACAAATTCAGAGAAACCTAAAGTCTAAAAAAATATTTAAAGCTCTCGTATTTAAAGATCTCGCAAAAGATTTGCGGGATCTCGTAAAACTTTATTTTTTCCCTGCATGTCCCTTTAGGGGCTCCGTAAGCAGAAATCTATTTATTTTAAATGTTGCTCGCTGTCTGATTAAAATAGTCCAACAGTTTCCCCGGAACCTTTGATCCCTAGGAGAAAGAGGAAACGCTGCATTAAAGTGTTACACATACCGGAAATTAGTTTCCTAAGTCACATTGAGTAAAAATCCACCGGTCACGGAAACATTTGGTAATGTAGTTTTAATTATTTTCTTTGTGTTATCAGTGTTGGCCTTCTCGTTCAGTTAAATCGGGTTTTGTTTCTCGTGTCTGTTAATATTTGGCATTATGGGAATTTATATGTCTGCGTTCACAATAAGCTGCAAAACTAGCAGAGAGGCATAGTATAGTTGATAAAAGACTTCTGCTTTCTGTATAATTTAATTTATTTATTGTCGTATTTTGTGCTTGGTATCACCTACCTGATATTTTTTGCAGTATTAAAGGACGTCCATTTCTACCTGTGTGTCATTTGGCTTAGTGGTCTAAATGTAACCGCACTATTCCAGCTTTTCTGTATATATTGCATTATCTTGTGTCCGTCAGTGTCGCCTCGATTTGATTTCTCTGCAATCTGGCTTATTTCATGCACAACCTTCATATCAAAAAACAGCTAACCAAATATTTCGAGGAAGAGAAATGTATTAAAACCAAGTGAGAGCTGGATCCAAAATGTGCTGGCCTTCTCATGTAAACCAGATGCACTCTTAATCGCCCTTATTGAACTATTATTTTTCTGACTGTTGATAAGTAATTGTTCTGTGTGTTTGGATGTTTCTTTTGTCTAAAACACTCGAATCAGATCAATCTTAAGCACATTCTTACTGAACATCAGGACAATCTGAGGAAGGAAGTTCAGCCATCTGTATCATCTGTGTTGCAGCAGGGATATATTTAATGCAGACAGGATGATGCCTTTTAGGATCAATTCAGTTTTACCTCTAATAACCTAATAATAATTATTTTTACTGTTCCATTGGTGTATAATTCTCTTACATTTGAGTCTAATTCAGCTCCATCTTCTTGTTTTCAGGACCTTTGATGAGTCACTCCAAAGCTGATGACTTCTTTATCTGATCATTGAAAATGTTTGCCTTGAGGATCGTCCCACGACTTTCTCTTCTCAGTAAAACCTCTTGTATGTATCAACAAAGAAAAATTATATATTTTACTATTCATTTAGTATATATTATTCTTATGTTTGATTAGAGAAAAGGATAGCACAGGGAAGCTGTATTTCTTTGTTATCCTCTGTAGCTAATACCTTGTAAGACCTTCACACTTCAGGTTTTTGAACATTTATTGGAAAACCATTATAAATTATTTTTTTCCTTCAATTTCCAGATGGACATGGCGGGATTCGAAATGCATACGTCTCATCAGTCCTCCCTTCTTCCTGCTTATCACTACAGCAGAAATTACGAAATTACTCAACAACAGCAGACAACACGTCTCCCCCGCGATGGGTCCAGCTTGAGCCAGAGTTGGAGGAGGCTTTGGTACCACGGAAGCTATCAGTGAGTCCTCTGGAAAGCTGGCTCTCGCTACGCTACTCCTTACCTCCCCTGCTGGAGTCTGCCCAACCACAGGGAGACATAGAGCTGCTGGAAGAGAAGTTGCTACCACCAATCTCTGAGCCTGTTTTGGAGGATGGGGAGGGTACAGCAACACCCATGAGATGCAAGAATGTTTTAGAGATCAGACGGCGGAAGATGAACCGGCATAAGTACAAGAAGCTGCAAAAACGGACCAAATTCTTGAGGAGAAGAGTTTTGGAAGGCAGAGGGAGAAAGAAGCAGGTGAGCGACAAACAAAAAAAAAAAACAATGTTTGAATGAAACTCTTATGTTCTTAGCTATTTTTTGTAGACTGTTGGTTTTTCTAATGTATTCTTATCAAGATGCTTTCAAGAGGAATTCAAATTATACATTTTGACATGTGCATGTCTAACTATGAGTATATTGTTTGCAGAAAAAATTTGAGGAGGATCTTAAAAGAATATGGATGCGAGCTGGACTGAAGAAGGCTCCGGAGGGATGGGCCACACCTAAAATCTTTATTAAACAACAGGGGAGCAGAAGGAACTGAAAAACACTGAAAACAAATGTTATTTCTGTTTAGCATCCCCCCCATTGTCTGACCCTGAACGCCACTCTTCATTGACCAGTGGAACAACTGCTCTTGGCCCGCCTCATCTTCAATCAGTATGTACAATAAAGTTTTGTGGAAAGATAATCTGAATAAAGATTTCTCTGCCAAACTTCAGTCATACTGTGATGTTCATCATTCCTTTTCTTTACATGCATACAATCATTAAGAACCCTCATACTTTTTTGTATTTTGTACCATTACAACCAGACTGTTAACTATATTTAATGCCATTCAGCAACACTAGGATAACTTTGATGTGGAAGAAATAAGGTTGATGGTGTGAATTTATTTTTTTATAAAAATGTTAAAAGTCATGACTAATCTATGTTCAGTCCACATTAGTCAAAATATATTGAGCCAGCTTTTTTTTTATCAGCTTTGCATATTTAATATAACCATCACTATCATGGAGGAAGTGGACAATAAATACCTTTGTGTTCACCTAGACAACAGGGTATTGTGACCCCCTTGTGTCACAATAAATTATGTATCACAGAATATAGTGTAACAATGGCTCTGTTCTGGGACACCCTCTTTGACCTCTAAAAGAGCTTTTACAAAAAATAATTGTTCAAAGAATAAAAAGCATTACTGACGGCCGATAAAAAAAAAAAAAAATATCAATTGGTCTTACACCAAATGAGAGTCTTCAGTCAGAGACTTCTTCAGACCTACTGTAAGGCAAACCCTACTGGAGATCGCTTTTGGACAACAACTGTTGGTACTCCTTGTTTAAGGAAAGGGAAAAAAAAAAAAAAAAAAACAGTAAGATGGTTAAGTTGATGGGAAGATGGATGGAGCCAAATACAGGAGCATTCTGGAAGAAAACCTTTTGGAGCCTGCAAAAGGCCAACTGGGACGGAGATTTCTTCCAACAAGGCCATGATCCAAAACATAAAGCAAAATCTATAATGGAATGGTTTACAGATAAACATATCCATGTGTTAGAATGGCCAAGCCAGTTGAGAATCTTGAAAGAACTTAAAACTTTACTAAAGCTCTCCATCCAACCTCACTGAGCTTCACCTGTTTTGCAAGGAAAAATGGGCAAAATTAAACCAATAGATATACCCAAAGCAACTTGCAGCTGTTATTGCAGCAAAAGGTGGTGCTACAAAGTCTTAACTCCAGGGGCCTGAATAATCTTGCACACCCAATTTTTTCAGTTTTTTAATTACCGTAGTTAAAGTGGAACACATCCCATATATTTTGTTCAACTTCACGATTGTGTCCCACTTGATTCTTCACAATAAATACAATTATATATCTTTATGTCTGAAACCTGAAATATTGCAAGACGTCAAAGTTAAAGGGGGCTGAATACTTTCACACTGCACTGTATGTCAGGACTCAAAGAAGACCGCCTTATCCCCAAACGAAGCAGTCCTGAAAAGCATTGTCTGACTTTTATTTGTTTATTTTCATAGAATGTTTGTTTATTAATACTTAAGTGAGATTTAAGTTATTTCTGTGACCACTGTTGTTTTTTCTTTCCTTAAACGAGAGGTACAAACAAAATTGTCAACGTATCCATTGTTCTACCTGCAGCTTTCAACAACCCATACAAGAAAACTATCAGTTTCAAAAACATTTAATTTACCTTTGAAATCAACAAAGTATACTTTTTTTTTTTAATTGAGCTGAATTTAGTCTAAAACATTTACAAATTCTTTGCAAAATAGCCTAAATTCAGTGAGACAGGGTGAAGTCCTTCTCTGAACAGCAGTAATTTAATAGTGTGGCAGATTTTCCATCAGGACTTTGGCTTTGCCAAAATGTTTTAGATGTGTTGTGCAAACTTCTTAACATTTCCAGATAATAGATGTGCGCTGTTAGATGTTTAAAGCTTGGTATAAATTGTTATGACCTAATCTTGCCACATATTCATTAAAAACTAATCCTGACCAATCTGTCATAGACTCTGCATACCATTGAAAACACCAAACCAAACTACCACATATTTGCACCATATATTAATGCTCTGAACTTCCAAATCAATTTGTTTTTTTCACCATGTTTTTTCTTCTTCATCACTGTTTACATTTGATCACTGCTGACCTTTATGGAATAGAAATGTTCATTTCACTGCTAAGCAAACTACATTTTATTTTGTATACACTCTATGTGTACGAAATGAGAATAAAAGTCTGTGTCTCTGGGGCTTCACAATGTTCATTTAATTGCAAATCTCAGGTTCCTTCAAAGATAAACTTTATTTATCCAAAATTCTAACTAAAGGGGATATTAGCGTACATGAGGCTAAAAAGATGCATGTAAAAAAAAAAGTATTGTTATGAGCTATTTTTGTTAGTGTACCTGCTCAAAACCCTGAAAAAATATTTGTAGCAGGAAGTAATTGTTTAGGTGATACACACTAGATGGCAGTATTTTACCGTTACATAAAATAATTAAAAATGACATGCGTTTTTGTGGTTCTTGGGAACCATCAAAGAGAATTGTGCTAATTCTTAGAAAAATAAATAAATAATAGATGTTGAAAAAAATCAGAGAAGCTTTTTTTCCCCTTTGATCTTTAGTCCTGAATTCCGTCTTGCTTCAATAAAGGGATACAGTGGGAAGAAGTTTTCCCAGAGGGTAAAACTTTTTTGATGGAAATATGCATAAAAATAAACCATTAAATAAAGCATGATTATAAACACCTATCAGGAAGATTTGCTGTGTATATATTTTAACAGACTCCACGCAGATCAATGACAGGGAACTGTCCTGGAGTGAATTCATATTTGTGTATGAACCCAATATCTAAAGAGCACAAAAGGAAATACATAGATGCCTTGTAAGATTTAAGCTGTTTTCATGTCTTTTCTGTTTAGCTAATTTCAGACTTTGTTTTTATTACTACATCCATTAAAAGGGCAGTCTGCATGTCTGTGTGAAGCTTAGCAGCCCAAAACTAAAAGCAGTGTTGAATTTCATGGCCTGGTGGAGGTGGAGCTTCTGAAGACTAAAGACTGCAGCAGCACGAAAGGACCTCAGCAGCAGCTTTGCAAACTTTTCAGGGGTTTAATAACTGATGTGAATATCACCACCTCTGACGGATCCACATATCTGAGAAGAAGATGCACCTTGATATGAATCGCCTGCAGAGTAAGTTTTCTGTATATTCTGTCATTTAAGAGCAATTCTATCTATCTATCTATCTATCTATCTATCTATCTATCTATCTATCTATCTATCTATCTATCTATCTATCTATCTATCTATCTATCTATCTATCTATCTATATCTATCTATCTATCTATCTATCTATCTATCTATCTATCTATCTATCTATCTATCTATCTATCTATCTATCTATCTATCTATCTATCTATCTATCTATCTATCTATCTATCTATCTATCTATCTATCTATCTATCTATCTATCTACCTACCTACCTATCTATAATGATGCCTTTTAATGCTTTAATCAGCCAAGTTTGCCTTTTAATGCTTTAATCAGCCAAGTTTATAAGTTCATAATAAGTGGGTATTTACCCAGACGGCATGACTAACCCTGAGGGTCACACATAAACTTGTGTTTTGCGTCTAACAATATGGTGGTTAGGAAAGCTGAAAATAATACACAGGAGGTTTCCATCACCTGATAACTGTGATTTAAAGCAACATGTTTAATTTCTATTTGCTCATAGAAGACCATAGTTTGATGTGTTAAAATCCAGCAGCTAAACATTGCAAAATACTAAAAAAAAGTGTAGATTTCTTTCTCTGGTTTATCAGTTATGGTCAAATACAAACTTTTTTTTATATTGTAAGCCATATGTTTTGAATCCACTTTGTTTTTGTAAAAGCTTGTGATTTATTTGGCATGTTTTTCATTCCTATTGCGTAAGCTTTTTTATTTAGCTTCATATGGTCTTGATCTAACAGAGAAATGTGGACATTAGGGTTTAAATTGATTTATTCGGTTCCCCTAAATAAACCTTATTTAGGGGAACCGATCTAATCAACCCCTACTGTCAGTATCCATCTTGAAAAGTTGTGCAGAAAATAGGAACGTTTTTCAATTAAGTTGTAAAAGCAAGCACCACTTACCAGAGCTGAAAAAGACAAACTTTGTTTACAAATAGAGGATATTAAGAGACTCAATTATTTGTTCAACCTTGTATTGTTATTTTCATTATTCATAAATGTTAAGATTAAATATAACTTTGTAAAGTTTGCAGAATCCTTGAATTCTGTTTATTTCTCTGGAAAATACTATCCTCTACTGATTTTCTGTTTTGAGTAGAAAATGGATCCTGTTTTTATAAACAGAAGAGAATTGCAGCCTTCGGATTGGCTGTACTGGCTCCATCCTGTTCAGGCAGTTTACAGTGATCTGAATGTGGCATTTTTTAATGGCTTCAGCCCAATGTGTTTCCAGTTAACTGCGGTCTAAGAGCAGGAGTCAGCACAATCCAGCAGCCCATCATTATACGTGTCAGTAATGAGCGTTTTACCACGAGTGGGACGTTTTGGGTCTGGGGCAGCGTGGAGCAGGGGGAGGGGGCTCCATCCCGAGCATGTTTATGATGGTTAGGCCTGTTTTAATGATCAGCCACAAACAGCAGTGGGGTATGGAAAAGATGAGAACTGTTGTTTTGATTAGAACAAGCATGGCTGCATGCAGCTTACTGTCGGAGGCAGAAAATGACAGGGCTTAAAGAAGGAAGAATACGTATGTTTAGAGTCGGAACAAACCAGTCACCTTTGAGCCCACTTTGCCCATCTACAGTAAGAATGGCCCACGCATTGCAGCTTGGTTTGGTTTTAATCTAGTTACACCAAGATTCATAAAATTATTAGCACACTTCTTAACAAAGTGGCACAACTGCCTGAAAATAATTGAAATAATCATACAATTGTTTATCTATCTTACTACTTCAATAAAGTTAATTCTATACACTTTACAATCAGTGCACATATTTCTGATATTTATTTCTTTAAAATCTGGAGATTGTAGGTTATATATAATAGAAATTAAAATTCAGAATATTGCATACAGTTAGACAAATGAAAATTCACTAACCAGTTATCTAGCAGACAGACTGTATGGAAAGACAATGGCATCATAAGACCCTTTTTACAAAATGCTGGATCCCAGCATATCGTTAGAAAGTTGAGGGGAAGAAAAAAATGCATGGATGATTGCAGCCTTAAGAAGTAAACCTTACAAATAAATAAACCTTAGAGTGTTTATAGTTTTCATTTGTTAAATGGGATATTCTATTTCAAAGATTTCCATTATTAAGCTGACTGTGCAAAAATATTTGACTTGCTTAGACTTGTGACTACATGCGAAATAAAGCAAGCACAAACAAAACACTCATGAGTAACAAATGTTCTGCTTACTAATCAATTGAATATTTTTTAGACTGACACACCTCACTTATTAAACCTTATAAGATTTCCTTTCTTCATGATACGGTTTGGACGCCAGCAGTCCTTTGCTAAATACCTATTATTATCACCGGCAATTCAGTAGCACACAGTTAAGTCCTAAAACAGTCAGATGAGTCAATAGCTAGCATGTGTTTTATAAGAGACAATTACAGGGGCTGAGGCACTTTATTTAAATGTTTTCAACATTTGACAGGAAAGTACCCAACAGTGAAAGAAAAATAAAAGTCACTCAAGTTTTCCAGGATGAGTTGTCCTCTTTGGAATCATTGTGGCTGAAAAAGCTAGAAAAAAAGGACCTCACAATAACAGAAGCAAAAACCATTGTAAAATAAAGTTTTATATGCAAAATCCACCATATCAGCATATTCAACATACTGGTCACACCAAAGTCACCAAAAATGATTCTGAAATGCATGAAAAGGCCTAAAATGATCTAGCTGTTGTTCTTTAAGCCTTGGGAGTGTCTAGACTGCCATATAAAACGTTACAATGAGGCATGACAGCTAAGAGGTTAAAGAAAACTCTATGAAAAAAAAAAAGAAAAAAGAAAAAAAGTATAAATATATATATATATATATATATATATATATATATATATATATATATATATATATATATATATATATATATATATATATATATATTCATAGATAGATAGGTATCTTTAAAAAGTAACTTTTTTTTATCCTTGTGAGCAATGGTAAAATAGCAGCAGTCTGCTTTAACTCAGCCGATTGGAAGCAACAATTGGGAGTCAGGCATTGATTTATTACTTATATACATTATATAGACCACTAAAACTCCAATCACTAAGATATGGAATCTTGCAGCTTATTAACAAATTTTCCAATGCTACCTGGAAAAACAAATAAAAACAAAACTTTATCAGTTTAGAAGTCCAATTCTTAAATAATGTCATTAAAAATGAGGTCAAAAAATGTATTTTGAATTTTATTGTCATTGTTCTTAGTTTAATATTTCTTTCCTCAGTTTGATCTGAAAAACAAACTTTTAATAAAAAAAAATGACAATTTTTTTTTCAAAACTAGAATATTTAGTTATTACATTTTAAATCTGCCCATAATCAAGCTTTAATGAGCCAGACTTTAACTACTTACAAAATTCAAAACATTTAATAGTTGCTTTACCTTTTTTTAGTATACATTGACAATGAGAGCTTCCATAAAACTCTCTTGCTTTAACTTGTTGTTTTTATTTCTAGTCAAGAGGAAACTCACAGGTGTTTGGTCAAGTTCCCAGACTTTGAAGACAGTGAGCTGAATTTAAACTTACCTCTCCGTCATCCCTCCAGGATCATGGCCCTGCAAAAACCCATCAGTAGCCATGATGAATAGAGCCTCTGTATGCTTTGGCAACATAGTTCTCTACTGCCCTTTCAGTAAACAGACAGCCAAAAAAACACTGAGGGAAGAATTATTAAAAACAGCAACGGGTGTAGGAAAGTCACCAGAAAAAGAAAACACAAACAAAAAAATTTCCATTAACATTGTCCTACACCATTGTGGAAAATTATTTTCCTCCCTTAAGAAAATCTTTGCTTTCATATCAGTCAAAGATAACTTGAGTAAATGCAAAGACTAGTTTGAAGAAATATACATGGCCCTATGTTACAATATGAATTAATGGATGATTGCATTTATTTCAAAAGTTGGATTCAGTTCTGCTAGACATTCCTAAATGCTGCCTGAACTATAGAAAATAGAAACTCCTTAAACAGAACGTGTCTGATAAGCTGATTTTATATAAATATATCAAATCATAACAAAATCAAAAAATCAAAAACAAAGTAATTGGCATCTGGAAAGAGTTACAAGGCAATTTCTGAGGAGTTCTACTTCTAGTAAAACCAAAAATAGAACCATCATCCACAAAAGGAGGAATCAAAAAGTGACCCTTCTAAGGGTTGGCCTTCCTGAATTATTCAGGTCACAAAAGAATTCAAAGTAACATCTAAGGTAATTGTGTTATGAAGCAGGAAAATTATTCAAAGCTCACCAGCAAATCTACAAAATGTCAAGGTTTTGGAGGGGTTTTATAAAGTCTGGAGCCAAATCCTTCAACATGGCTGGATTAAAAATATCATGTTAACAAGAGTGGGTCAAAATCTTTCAAAGGAATATAAACACCAATGGATAGTTATTGCAAATCCTTTATAGCAGTTGCTGCTGCAAAGGGTAGCTGGGTCAGCTATATAAAAGGCATTCACATTTAAAAATAGTTGTCAATCCATTAACTTTTAATGGATAACAGATCGATTGAAAATTGCCTTTTGTGCTGTCTTTGTCTGATTTTACTCTTTGATAACTGATGTTGAATTGATAAATGTGTTAAAAAAAGACCTAATTAGAGGCAAAAAGTTTTTCAGTGAAAATGGAAATAATACAGACAATTAAATGAAAGGAGCAAAAGCTAACCATTATGTCTTTGGGTTGTTTTTTTCAGTTCTTGCTGTGCTCTTCCTGCAAGGAGGTAAAATACTCATGTTACTATGAAGTGTCTCAATAAAATACCCATTTATACTGGAGTTTTTGTGCACTATATTTATTTAAATGTCTTTATGTGTTCTGACAGCTTGGGGTCAAAACAGCAGCAGCAGCGGTGGTGGTGGTGTGGTGGTGGAGACCAAGAACATTACCCTCCCTGCAGGCTCCAGGGCCGTGCTGCCCTGTCAGAGCCCCCGCATGGTGTGGACCCAGGACAGACTGAAGGACCGTCAGAGGGTGGTGCACTGGGATGTCGTCTATAGCAGCCCTCCATATTCGGTGGAGCGAGTTTTGGACATGTCACCTGGAGCTCGTCGGAGGGTTTACAACGGCTTTAATAAGGGCCGCGTTTCTATATCAGACTCTGCTTTCACTGATGGAAATTTCTCGCTTTTCATCAACAGTAAGATTATTTAGATTTCCTGTAGCAATAGTGTCTTGTGGAATTAACCATATAGTCCATGTTTGTGTAACACAAGGATAAAATAGATAATGTCACCTAAACTGCAGCTCCTCCGACCTTACCATCTCTTGACTGCTTTTCAGATTTATGCTCTTTTTTTTTCCTTGCCTGCCTGTTTAAAGCTGTCTTGTTTATCCTCAGAAGTCTTCTCTAAAAATCTGTGACATGAAAATATACTTTAGTGAACTCCCTACTTATCTATTGTTTTTCTTTTTTCATCAGATGTACTGACAAGCGACAAAGGAGTTTATACTTGTAATTTGCACCATCACTACTGTAAGATTCACCAGTCCATCCAGATCCAGCTCAATGTAACTAAGTCAGGTAAGGCTAACAAGTGCAAAATACTTTAATTTATTGGCTTTGATGCATAAGGATTTTTTTTTTCCAGCTCGGAAAGAGAAACGCTACTGGGATGGAGAGAAGACTGTGCTTGTGGTCCTGTTGGGAAGCTCAGTTATGCTGCCCTGTGTGAACCGGCTTGCCCTGTGGAGAGACGGAGTGCAGGAGGACCAGCAGCAGGTGGCCCACTGGGACTTCCAGCCTCCTGGGGTACGTCCCAACAAGGCGGACCGACTGGTGGACCTCTATGCCTCTGGAGAGCGAAGAGATTACGGGCCACTGTTTGCCCAGAGGAAGATGAACGTGGCAGAGGATGCTTTCACATACGGCGACTTCTCACTTTCCATCTTTGACCTGAAGCCTGCATATAAAGGCCTGTACTCCTGCCACTTGCACCATCACTACTGTGGTCTGCATGAGAGACGCGTCTTCAGGCTCACTGTGGGACCTCCGGTTCCACTCGAACCCACAACCGCTCCTAAAATCTATGTGAATGACGAGCAAGAAAAAAGTGAGTCTGACTTAAAAGGCACAACAATTTCACTTGAATTGTGATTTTCTTGGACATAGCTGATTGTTCTGTGCTCTTAGGTGAACTCAGACTGTGTTCCTGGCAATGTTTCTCTTCAGGCCTCCCTGTTTTTCAGTTTGAGTTAAATAGGGAGGAGGCACTATAGAAGGAATGTGGGGGCCAGTTGAATGAGGGAAAGAGGGTAAAAGAAAAGACAAAACTTTCCGTAGCTGGATGACCACTAATTCAGGATTTTTCTGGAATGCTTTTTCTTTTGCTTTAAACTCCTTGCAGTGGAAGTGGTATAATTATTCCCGCCAACTCTTTTATATTTTACAGCTCTTTGTGTAGCTGCACACACTGTAACTGCATCAGTTTATAGTAGACAAAAATGTAAAACATTTTGAACTACAGTAGGGAGGGGATATCTTGCTTTTTTTGTTCTCCTTTTACCCTGATTTTCCCAAAAGTCCCTTCCCACTGTCTAGACTGCTGTGGTATCTGCTTTGGTGTTTATTCTTCCTAAACCAGCCTCTGCTCTGCTGCTTTGCTGATGTGTATCAGCTTTTGGCAGGGCCATGTTTACTAGCAGCCTGAGGAAGTCCTCCTACATCTGTTCAACATCTGGCCCAGCTGTGACATAAAAGAACAAAGGTAGAGGGGTGAATGTATGTCAGGCTATTGATTTTCCTCCCCCCCTCGAGAGCTGCCATCCCGTTTAATTACACCGCACATTATTCAGAGAAGAAATGCTCACATGGAATGGTAGGATCAAGCTCATTTCAGTACATTTCTACACGCTATCCAGCTTCTTTTGTCATATTGTCGATCTTGTCTTGGACTGAAATCAACGCTTGTGTTTTCTCCAAGGTTTTGAGTGTTTTATAAGATAAAATATTATGCAAGCTTTTTCTTATTATGATCCAATTCCTCCTGTCAAGCAACCAACAGATTAAGAAAGCTGTTGACAACTTAGATAATATCTCAGTCTTTTAAAATGATGATGCTTTTCTTCGCTTCATTGAAATGCAAATGATTCATGGCCCACTGGGCGAAACGAAATAGCACAAAAAAAGAGAAGGTATTCTGTGAGCAGCATATGTGAAATACCTATTGACACGAACAGGCTTGTTTGATCCGTCAGGATGATGTTAAAGGGCTGCTGGTGTAACGTGGCTCTGGGCAGGTCGGTTGTCCTCCAGAGAGAGAGACAATGACCTAAGACATGTTTCTATTTACATGCATATTAGCTACATTATACAATGACAGCTGATAATTAGTCTAACCAGAAGGGGGTGCGTTTCTCCTTTTTTTCCCTCCATGATGCAATGTCTTTTTTTAAAGCATGGCCAGAGGAAATGAGTTATTCATTTTTTCCCAATTTGATTACTTAACTCTCTCTATATTTCAAAGGCAAAAGAAACAGATCTGTTCCACCATCTACTGATTTGTTTTCAACACAAAAATACCTAAATTTTTTTTTAACCAGTAGGCATGGCTGTTTACTTCTCAGCAATTAGCTAAATAATTTACTTTTTTTTCTACACACCAACTGGATTTTAGTGTTTGTGACAAGATCTGAAAACCGTACTGAGTGGAAAACTAATCCCGACATGCAGACAGACCACATTAGTGAAATTTCCTCGGCTTGCAAACACGTCTCCTCTTTTCTGGTCAGTGTGTGTTTTTACTGAGAGAAAGAAAAAAATAACAGCTGCATGACATCAGGTCTGGAAGTCATTACAGCCGAGCAGCTTTCTGACATTTCACTCTCTGCTTTCCCTTCTGTCTTTCTGGAAGGAACAAGAAATAGCCTTTCCATTTTCTTTCTAAAGGTATTCTAATGTTTTTCACTTATTTTCACAGTGCAGCAAAAATTCCTCTAAAGTGTATTTTTATAGGATTCTTTTAAATTTAACACAGTCTAGTGGAAAATTATAAATGAACAAACAAGATACATGATTTACTTGATTTTCTTAGAAGTATAGATAAATAGTTTACCATGCATTTTCATTTAGCTCATCTTAATCAATACTTTGTGGACCTACATTTAGCTGTTGTCACAGCTGTAAGTCTTTTGAATGGGGTCTCTACCAGCTTTTCAAATTTAGGCTTTCTCTTTGCACCCTACTTGTTTTCTAGTTTTTATGATCTCAGTTTTAAAGCCTTGCCACATATTCTTCCAAGGGTTTAGGTCTGGATTTGACTGGGCCTTACACAGGCTTTGATCTAAAGCATTTTATTGCAGCTCTGGCTGTGTGTCAAGGGGCATCGTCCCTGCTCTGTTCTTTTTTCCGGCTATAAGAGTTTTTTTTTTCTGAGAATCCTTTTTCTTTTAGGTTCCTTCATCTTCACCTCATCTCTGAATAGTCTACCAGGTTTCTCTGTGTTAACAACAAAAATAATAAGTAGCACAAGTTCTAATTTCTACCACAAATAAACTTTAACATATGGTTCTTGTTTGGTATCATCTGACCAGAGCAGCTTGGTTCAGATTTTATCTTTACTAACTTTTACACGCCTTTCTACTTATTAATTGACATCTGGAGGAAAGGCATGCCACATATTTCACAATGTATTTAGGTTTCAGATTCTGACACTGAAAAAAAAAGAGATCAACCATAGGGACAGGAGATTGTTACTATCATCACTTTATTGAAGGCTAATAAACATAATTTTACATTCCCTTCTTTAAACGTGTTGATTTTGTCCCTTGTTTGCTTCCAGAGCCGGAGGAGGTCTCAGGGGAAGATGGTCCACGCGTGGTAAACGTCTTCCTCCCTGAACAGCGAGGTTATTTTGTCCAGCATTTGGGCTACTTCCTGGCAACCTTCCTGCTACTGGCCTTCATTGTCTTCGCTGTCATCATGCTGACTAGGCGACGGAAGAAGAGAGGTAATTTGTTCCTTTAGCTGCTGTATTTAATTTGACAATTTTAACTTCTTTCTTCCGTATTATGAAGTGCATTTTCATTACGATCACTGCTTGTCTGTTTTAGGACTGGAGTATGAAATGGGTAGATCTGTTAGGTGAGATATTATTCTGTAAAACATATCAATATAATCTCCATTTTATGTTGCATCACTAATTTTGGTTATCCACATGCAGGGCCAGCATAATCAGTGGAGGTGAGATGGCATTAGAATGCACAGAGCTGAGGACTTACAATCAGGAACCTTTGAATTCAGGTATACTTAACCTAAAAACAACAAATGACAAGTAGTTTTTTATACCAATGCAATTTTTTTTGTCTAATTGCCCATTTTTTTTGCTCCCAACAACGCAGATTACAAAAATAACCTACTGAAAGAAAGAGATATGGTTAAAGAGTGTAATAAGGGTGAGAAGTTCTTCAGTGAAATTCAATGAATAGACAAACTAACATGTCATAAAGCTGAAGATTTTGCTCCAACTCTTTCTCTTGCAGAATTCGATGGCAGGATGTGAAGTGAGTGTGATATTTCTGAGATGCTGCTGGCAGGTCCAGGGCAAAAACCGGAGGCGTAGAGGATGACAGAGAGAACGGAGGAGAAAATAAAAAATAACACAGGAAATCAAGGAGAAAACACAAGAGGATTACTCCCTCTGCTGTAACATGAGAGAACAAAGCTTTTTCAGTTAAAGGCTTAACTTTTTCTTTTGACTTTTTCTTCCTTACACGTATAACTTGCAATTTCATCAGCATTACTATAGATACATTTTGTCCATATACCTGTATGTTTCATTTATTTCAGTTTTGAAACATTAAGTTTATGGAAATAAGTTCCTAATGTTAATTTTTTTTTGCACAAATTCAGTTTGCTACAACATATAACTCAAGATATTTCAAAGGCTATTTTCTTAATATGGGCAGTGTGGCTCTCAGCCCAGGGTGGGATCTATTTTGGAGCGATATGAGGACTTTGTCAATTCCACCTAAATGAGTTTTCTATTGCTTGTTTTGCTTGTACAGTCCACTGTGTTGTGAAGGCATGCCAGTGTCGTGCAACTACTTCTGAAACTTTGTTTCCGTTAATGTAAAAATAAAATAAATAAATCTTTCTTTCTCAAATGTGGCATCCTAGATTTTCCTATGCACTAATAACAAGCAAGACCACCATGCCTCACTCCAGGGTTTTATTGTTTTAATGACCTAGAATGCTTGGTTGTCCACAGTCCATTTTGTTGCAATTGCAACTAATCGTCCAGCCCTAATTCAGGTAAATAAAGCCAACTTCATTAAGAAGTTAAATAATCTTAGCATTTTAAAGAATAAGCTCACCTTATTTTCTTCTCCTACATTATTTTGTTTAAATCCACATACAGTCATATCTTTTTAATTGTTTATTTTATTTATAATGATTATGTCATACAGCTCATAAACTGTCATATTTCAGTTTTTTTGGAAAATATAATTTTTTTAATTAATCCAATAAAAATAATACATGCTCTCATACAAAAACTTTCATACAAATTTTAAGGAACACAGAAAGATGGGATTGAAAATATCCCAGCACACACGTTCTGCAAGTAGGAAAAGTTGAGTAGAAGAAAAATGGTGGGGGAAAAAAAAGCAACAGGCAAGAAAAACAAAGCCCATATGGTGAATTTGGAGGAAATGAACAAGATTTGGACTGTGTCCACCGGTCAGGGTCAAAAATGATCACCCAGAGAAGTAGCCGTGTCATGGGCTGCAAATGTGAGCTTCTTTGTGCTACTGTTGAACCAAACACAACATCAGGACTGTCTGAGATGAGTCGGAAAAGGACAAGACCCTTAACAAATCCTTTCTCAGTTAAATCAAAGTTAGCATTTCATTTGGAAATAAAAAAAAAGCATGGAAAAAGAGTGGAAAGGCACAAACCCCAGTAACACGAGGTTCTGCTGTGAAGTTTTTACACTTTGGGTTAAAAGCCATGGACCAGAGAGCTGAAGACATTAGTCTGGTAAGCTCTAATGAGATGCTGATTTCCATCCATCAATCCATCCATCTTCTCCCACTTATTCCATCAGGGTCACTATGGTGTGGGTATCTATCTCTGGCAGTGTATAGGCAGGGTACACCCTGAATAGATCACCAGTTTGTCACAGGGCAACACAGAGAAACACATACAAACATGAACACACACACGCTCACTGCTAAGGACAATTTTTAAAGATGCCAATTAACCAAACAGTTATGTTTTTGGATTATGGGAAGAAGCTGGGGTACTTGGAGAGAACCTATGCATAATGCCAACGTGCCCTTAATAAAGTACTTCATGCAAATATTGCACAGTGAATGGGATACTTTTGAGTCAGCTGATATATCTGCATTAAAACTTATTTCCATTGACTATATTAAGCATTTATATTTTCTGGAAAAAAAAAAACAATGTTTTTAATCAGTAAGCCACCATGTATGACTGTGTAGTGAATCTATATGATTTCAAATAATATATTAACCAAAATAAGTTGAAAACGATTTCATTTAATTATAATGTCTCTATGTATTTAAAATCTTTAAACAATGATCTATCTGTGAGCGTTATTAGTCTGAGCTCCCCTCCCTTTGTTCCCAGTAATCAGTGTGCAGCAGAAAGCTGAGGGTTGTGTAAGGCATCCAGAGGCGCAGCTCTAACGCACCACTAGATGGCAGCACTATCTAACCAATCAGACCAAGAGCAATATTCCCAACTCCCATATCGCAAGGATGTGGACTGTCCCTTCCTGTTTTAGTGCCGAGAGAGCCACCGTAGCGCCTCAGACAGTAGCAGGAACACAGGCGCCCAGAACGCGATTATGTCCGGATTTTGGCTGCGTTCGTCGCGCAAACGGAGCCGCATTACGCGCCGCGGGCAGCAGAGCTTCCTCTGTTAAGGAGCTATGCTGTTATGCTGATCTCCGGGTAGCTGGTAACAGAGCAGGCCTATTTATTGCGCTGCCAACCCTTGTTCCTTTCCTGTGTCAATGATTGTCCTCTTCTCAGTCTCTCATGGCGGAGACTAAAATAATATATCACATAGACGAGGAGGAGACTCCTTATCTGGTCAAACTGTCCGTTTCTCCAGAGAAAGTCACTTTAGCGGATTTTAAAAATGTCCTCAACAACAGACCCGTCAATAGCTACAAATTCTTCTTCAAATCCATGGATCAGGATTTTGGGTAAGTGGCCATCGTCGGTAATTGTCATTATTATTATTGTGTTAATACTAATAACCAGCTCAGGTTGTTTAGTTTCTGGGGCCAGACATTATATCAAAGGATCCAGGTTGCAGCCTTGTTACCTGCAGGTAAAGTGGAGCTGTGTGTGTCTCCATGTTCCTCCTGGCACCTGCTCATTATTCCAGGCTGCCCTGCGCGCAGCGGAGGAGGCACACGACCTGTTTGAAGTGATACCAGATCCGTCCGGAGCCCTAATGACGTAGCCCTGCACTGTTCACACTCACTCACACCAGATCTCACTTAAGTGACAATATTCCAATCAGCTGCAGCAGCCTGACAAAAGGTCCATGCCCAAGTTCTCAGGTTTCACAATATTTGGCCTTTCTTTCACTTTCTCCTGCGCGTTTTTTTTGGTCACACTATGTGGTATTTCCCCCACAATATTGCCAGAGAGGGGTTTGTTTTACTAATTAGTTATTCATGTGTCCTATATGTGAACAATAACCTGGCATCACATTTGTTTGCCTAAAATATTTTGAATATTTTCTGTTTTATCTTTATTTTTAAAAATGTGCTTTATTACAGCAATGGTTTTTAAAGCTGGATCACACTAATTTAAATATCTATATCCAGTTTTCTTTGAGAACCGACCTGCAGCTTCTGATTCTCACACTGCATATACATCGTTTGATGTAAAAACAAACAGATTTTGTTTTCAATTTCTATTGGAGCATTTATTCTAAATATAAACCTGTTTCAGACAAGAGTGATAAACACTAAAATAATCTGTCCTAAATTAAATGTGTGCCAGTTATTCTTGAATTGTATTTTGCTGTGTGAACCATAAATAATTTGTAAACTAATTTTGTCAGCTTTAGTTTATCAGAGCTGACAAAAGTTTTTTTTAATCTTTGCAAATTATAAAATTGGTTAAGATTGTCAATATTTCCGTTTTTAATTATTTGGACACAGTTTGTTTTTTCACCAGGACTGTTAAAAATGAGTGCTTTTAACTCCAAATGTGACTGAACCAGGAAAATACAATAACATTTCAAGGTTATAAACATTTCTTCATTAAATATATACGGTATATATTTTTTTCTGAATCTGAAAAAACAAGTGCATGATTTTTTTTAGTATGTTAATAGTGTAAAATATTGAGAGATTTTGATGTATCATTGGATAGGAGGAACAAATGTAAGTTTTCATTATTTGCTGAATGGTATAGTCTAACCTAATCTCATGATTCAAATGGTACAAATGCATGTTTGTTCTTTTTAAAGAAAAAAAAAAGTGTTGGATGCGCATCCCAGCTTTCTGCTTATTGTCTTTTAATGCTGCTCTGTAATCTAGTTACACCCTAAACACTATTTAATAGAGAGGAACCATTAAATGGATATAACATGAAGGATCTTGAACAGACACATGAGCAAATATAATGTAGAATCTCCAGTTTTGTAAAGCCCCTTTTAATTTCTCTTTATTAATCAAAGAAACATCTGAAATAAGCTATAAGTATATATATATATATATATATATATATATATATATATATATATATATATATATATATATATATATATATATATATATATATATATATAATTTTATTTTTATTTTTTTTATTCTTTCATTCCTTTAAGGTCTCATCAGTTCTTTGCAGGAGCAAATTTAATATCACTCTGCTTGGAAAGAAGAGTCACTTTAACGGACTGTTTTATATTTTTCTTAAAGCGAGAGTAATAAGTGATCGCTTTTAGCAATTAACTCTGCTAGCAGGGCCAGCCTTACTAGAACAGCTTCTGTGAAATGTACACCATTACCTTAGCTCTGGAATTTCTTAAAGAGTTTCCCAGGTTTTCTAAATCCTGCTTAATCCATAATAGAGCAGACAGATGTTAAATGCTTGAAGAGATTTTTTTCAGGCAAACTTTGTTGTGTTCAATTTAGCGTTGTTTTTGTTTTTTTGTCTGAAATTTCTTTCTTTCTGTCTGTCTGAACCACATACATGTTTCCACATATCATAGAAGACACAGATTCCTTGAAGATAGTTCTTAAGCTTTTGTGCTCTGCTGACTTTTTATAACACCTCAATAATACAGAAAATAACTTTTTCCATGCATATAGGTAGGTTGGACTATTCAGTAGATTGTCCTCCAATTTTCTGACTTTTTTTTTTTTTGCCTTGATATCATTAATGTTCATGAGCATCCTTCATAACTTCAGTAGATGCAGGTTGCTACGACAACAACAACAACAAAAATCTGCCTTCTTGTCCTCCCCCTGTAAATTTGTCATGGTTTTCAGGAATAATGCCAAGTCTCCAGTTTGCTTGGTCAGCCAACAAATGACATAATGTGTCCGTCCAGTTTGAACGGTCATCTGTTGGCCTGGCTCACATTTATATGTGGCATTGGGATCACGGGCAAGATCGAAGGAAATGATCCCACTGAGCCAAGCTTCACTCATTTCCACATTGCATTCTGACCCAGAGAGGGAAACTGGCTCTTCCTGGTTGGTGGACTGCTTTGTCCCCGGCTCTGGCTTCCTGCCTGTCTTGCATTGCAGGCTGGGGTTCTTGCTGGGCCTCAGGTGATCGACAAGCAGATTATGGAAACAAACAAAGCATATTTGCTCACTCCACATACTGTAGAGACATGACTCCATTTTCCTGAGCACCTTGCTATGAATGCCAAATGTTCTTGCAGGATTGTGCAGTGAGCGCTGTATTTCCACACTGAGCCGTTTTCCACTGATCAGAAACGCATCTCAGCATTCTCTGCTGCCTTTCAGTTAAGGGTGAATATTCAGCCACTCTGAGCTCCTTATGGCACTGGCACAGTATAGAAGCAAAGCCAGTCAAAGGCTAAGAAAAAAGCGGCACTTTGTGGTAGCCATACTGCCTGTGCTGCATCCAGCCAGACAGTATGGCTGCTGGAGAATTAGCAACCACGGAATAAGACTGCAGAGGAAGGAGGGAAAACATCAAATCCCTTGTAGTTATATTCAGTGTTTGAAATGTAAATGAGCAGTCAGTGCACGGTCCTCTGTAGTAGACCCCCTGTTGAGCGGCAGGGGAAAAAAAGCCATTTTCTTAAAGGATTTCTGGACTACATTCATGCTGTCCATATCAGCTCTTAAAGCAACGGCCACACAAATTTGATAAACGCTTTTTTGTGCTCCCTGAGCATATAAGCTCACCACGGCGAACATGCCATTTCAGTGGCATTTACATCAACACATCAGAGAACAGCAATATACACAAAACATTTTGTACAGACTTCATATTTTGATGTTTTCGCAGTCCCAGTCCTTTATTTGTCAGTATGCATGAAACAGAAACAAATCAAGCTGAGGTTTTAGTGGAACAACACCTCTTTTATATTTTGGAAACTTCAAGCGTGTGTTATGGAGCTTTTCCACCTCTGTCGGTGGTGAGTGGGTTCGAGACCTCACTATAATTCAAGTCACTGGTACTGAGGAAGCAGCCAAGCTGAAGGTCTGAAAGAAACAGGCTTGTTTGTGAATCAGAAAGTAGAGGGGCTAGAAGGGGGGTCTTTTTTTTTTATTTAGCTGAGACTGTGATGCCTTTGTAGTTCAAAAAGATGGGATTCTGCAGTGTCTTACACAGATGCACTTTGTCTCATTTGTTTTTGCTAAAGATGGTGACAATTATAAAGGATGTCCAGCAGTTTGCTGTCATGTTGCACTATCATCCATTGCCATAATAGTAATGTAATCACATTAGTGTTACACAGAGATGCCAAAACCATTGCATTTTTGAAATTGATACAGTGAACAATGTCATTATATAACTTATAAGTACAGATGCAGCAGCTCTATGTATATAAAGTGATTTTAAATGATTCATCTACCACATTTATTTTAATTACTCAATTTTTTATTCCATTTTCTTTGTTTCATTAGTTTAAAGGAAATGTATACCCTGTCCTTGAATTCAGTGCATTTATTTATCTGCCAACTTAGGGAAAAGTGTGGGATTTGTTCCCAGATTTTTAGTGCATCTCTATTGATACAGTTAAAACTAAAATAATTTGCAATCCTTGCAGATTTATGTGTGAATTGATTTTCTGTCTACCATAAAGTTGCTGTCAGGTTGGGAGTCACCAAAATATTATTAAAAATGTAAAGAAAGTACAGAAATATTTGGATGAATATCAGATTTTTCTATTTTGACTAATAATAACATGTTGATAATATATCCTCAACCGCAATAAAAAAAATCTATTACATTAATCATACTTTTCTCATAATTGCTGAACAACTTATTGCATGTTTCTGCTGATATTTAAGTAAGTCTGTAAGGCTGGAATGCTGTTTTACCATCACCTTAATATTTAACTACCTCCAAATATTTCTTTATAAGATGATCTGGACTCTAAATCTTACTTTATTTGCAGTCAGAAAGTTAGTCAAACAACAATATTAGTTAATATAAAAATAGTAATAATTTGGGCCTAACTGCCCTCAGAATGGTAAAATCTTTATTCGATAGTCTAATGTAGGTGTGATAAGTTTCTAGTCATGATAAAAAATTTTAATATATCATCTAAATGTTAAACTAGTAACTGGAGGAATTGTACATTTTTATCTTTCTTTTTTTTTCATTGGGACATCAATAAAGAAAAATTTAAGAATTTTATTAATTGTGGTTACTACAACTTGTTTAGGGATATAAATCCTACTTTTTAATGTCATTGGTGTGCTGAAGAAGCCACATTTAAATGTGCATATTCTATTATTTGTTGTTGTTGAGCTGCAACTGTGTAAAGCAGTCACAGCAATACAGTTACAACTCTATAGGTAATGACGTAACGGTGTTCGTTATCACAATAATATCACCCAATATTGTGATAAGAAAAGTGCATATCAACCCAGCCCTACAGGGGTCTGCAACTTTTTAAATACTTTTGCTCTTGGTCCAGTGAAATTGACCTGGTTTTGAGCCGATAAAAACAAACAAAAAAATTAGCAAAAGTACATCAATATGGGATGTTGATTTATATGATATTTGTGAAAAATATAAAGGACAGGAAAAATAAATTAAATTGAATATTACTGGTAGTTCTAGAGTCATTCTCTATTGGAAATTCTCTTCCATTTAATAAATTCCATAAAATTAGATTTGTTAGAATAGATAGATTTTATATCTTTAGTTGGTTCTTTACTATTTTTATTATGAAGTTATGAAGAGCAATTGCTGTAAGTCCAAAGAACAGTTTGCCACCCGGGAGTTTCAAACCCCTCATCTAATTAGGCTTCGGTTTATATCTGTTTTTAATTCTTTGACATAGAATTATTCAGCTTTCCTGTTTATGCTGTCATTACCTTCAGCCTACCTTAAACTGCCGACTGCTGCTGTGAGCTGATTTCTACCTCCTCCTGGTATTTGTTTCAGGCTCAAAGTTACCCACCATGTTCTCCTATCAAAGCCCAAACAAACACATTTAATCTTCTCCAGCCCGACAAATATCTGCAGCAGAATTTTTTAGAGTTGTTTTGGGTTTGTTTTGTGTTCTCAACCTGCAAAATCTGTTAAAGGTGTCCGCCTTAAGAAGTCAGAGCAGCAATGACAGCGCTGCACCTCCAACTGCATGCCTCAGTACACATGGTTTGTTTGTTTTTGTGTGTGAAACATTTTTAGTGTCTGAGCATGTTTGCAGTTTAAGAGGGCAACACGAACCGGTCCTGATATCAGATGAAGGTTGTTGAAGATGTAATCTGGTATTGATTGAGTGCTTTTAGCACAAAATGTGTCATGGCAGAAAAAACAAAAACAGCTGGTCATCTGTTTGAGTGGAGTAGCTCAATCCTGACAAACGAAGGGAAGAAGCATGTCTGCCATGTTATTTATACAGACCACTCCCACATCCTCACAAGTCACCTTATAGCTTTAGAGAAAAGGATGCAAGCACTTCCTACCTAGCAAGCCACTGGTCTAGGAAATTTGGGCCCTTGTCTCCCTCCTTTTTCCTCCTGTTTGCAGCCGCAGTCTTCGCTTAGCAGCTCCAGCCACAAGGCTGTTATCTCTGTCCACCACTCCCTGCTATACAGCTCCCACAGCAGCACACACATTCAAAAACCCATCTAACTTTTCTAATCATTTTAGTAAGCAGGAAAGTTCTGGCAAACATGGAGTTCTGGAGAAAAAAAACAAGCTGTAAAGTTGCTGCCAAGACACCCCTGCTTAAAACCTTCTTAGGATTTCCTGCTGCTCTCAAGTTGTGCCTCTCCTTTTTTATAAATCCTGTTCAAAGCAAAGTGACTAATGTGAAATCTCCACAGAGTTTTAGAAACACTTGGTTGTAACAGATCAGGCAAAAAACCCTAAAATAAAATAAGATAAAGACATGAAGGAGGAAACGAAAACTAGCAAATATATTGAGACCTTAGTGTAAGCCAGTGCATGTCCAATCCTTCATGTGTGTGACACAGACCAGGCAGGTGTGGCGACAGCTTGCTGCTGAACTGTGTCCCAGCAGGTCGAAGGGTAACTGTCAGGTATTTTTGTTGGAAATTTACTGCAGAATGCACTGAGGGAGCCTCTCATGCCGGATGACTCTATTAATACCCAATGGTGCTCCCTGACACCCTGCCGCCACAGCTCTGTCTCATCCATCTATCCATCCATTTATGACTCAATGAATACTCAGCAAAAATCTACCCGCAAGATTGAAATGATACACTTCTACAAGATAACTTTTCTTCTCACCTTCTGACATTATTTAAGTCACTGGTTTTCTAGTTTTATCTAGGATTAAACCTTAAGTTATGTGTATTTGCTAAATGTTAGAATAATGATTGAGATGGATGGTATAAAGGACTTGTTTGCCTGTCTTGAAATTAGGAGGTCTTTCTATTTGACAGAAAAGCCTTTGAAGCTGTCCTACTTTGGCCACAAGTTGATTCTAACTCTAAGTTGGCCGATATGTCTTTCAGTCTCACCCAAACTCATGTAACTGAGTCACGTTTGTATGCCATATTGCTTAAACTCTGCAATCTTTCTATAGGACTGAGGTCAAGCCTTTGAGAAACACTGAGCTCTCAACTGTTACCATTTAGGCGGTATAATTTGGATCTTTGCCCCTTTGGATGAACCAGTTGTGCCCAAGCTGTAATCGGATGGATGACTTGAGATGGTTCTGAAAGCTTTCTACAGAATGTATTTTTATTTTCATGCCATCTATTTTACAAAGTATGACTATCCTATCCTACAGAACTGGAATGGTGTGTTAGGCTTACATGCTTCCCCCTTATTTCCTTCAAATTCAAATTTAATTTCAGTTTGAGAACCAGCAGCATCAAATGAGAGGGTGTCTTCCAAGAAAGAGACTCTATAATTGATACTTTTAAACTTGAATTAAATATACAATTACCCACATAGATGAGCCAAAGCGCCTTCCCTGGAAAGGTTTGACGAATACTAAAGATTAAGCTGTAACACCACAGAGTTTAGAGGGAGTCTAATGTTGGCTCTTGATATTTGACCGCAGCAGTAAAGCATGGCAGTGGTAGCATCATTCTGTGGTGCTCTGTCACCGCCAAGTGCTCAGGTCTTGGAGTAAATATTATGTGTGTACAGGGCAATCTTAATTTTAACATTAAAATTCTGAAATAGCCTTTCTTCAATGGTTATGAAAGCTTGTTGCTACAAAAACACCATGGAACGTTCTTATTACATTTGTCCTGTAGGTGCATTTTTATCCATCTTCATTGGGCTTTCCTTAATTAAAGAAAAGTTTTACAGTTTATAATTTCTAATGTATGACAAACTAGGGCCTTTTACTTGAAAAATGTGCCTGTAAGAGTTTAAATGTAGCCCTGCACCTGCCGGCGGTGCAGTAAAGTAATATGATTACCTTACATTGCATGGTTGAAGTGATTGTGTATCTTAGCCTGACCTCATGTCTCTCCCCAGCGTTGTCAAAGAAGAGATTTCCGATGACAACGCCAAGCTGCCATGCTTCAACGGGCGGGTAGTGTCCTGGGTAAGTGAGATGGATGTGACAGCCTCACTGCCCCACTCTCCCTGTCTGTTTACTGTGAGGCCTCAGCTTTATGTAAAACGTAGATCATTCAGGTTATGAAATGTAACACCTCCTCAGAGGCTTTCCAAAAAATTATCTCAACTTTCAGCTGTAGAGTTCAGTTTAAGTGCTGCCATTAGATATAAACAGCCTTCCCTTTTACATTTCATGCTGTAGCTCTAATCTTATCAGCTAATGCTTTAGTGAATTAAGTACCCCTTTAGTGTTTTGTGGTCATGGATTATAAACATAGTCATAAACCAGAGCTTCCCTTTGGGAAGAAGAAAAGGCTTGCTACACCGGTGAGAGGAGGATTTACATCTTCATCATTGTTTTGTCCCACAGGAGAAAAGACTTAGGTTAAAGCTTTACTTTTTAATATCGATCTGAAACCAAACTCAAGGATGTATAATATAGTTTGACACTCTACTTATTCAATCAGCTTCATGGATTTTTTTTGTGTTGCTGTTGAATTTAATTTTATTTAGTTACTTTCCTTCATTGATTTCTGATGAGGACACCATTATTCTGCTACCCTGGCTCCATAGGGAGGTCAAAGGTCAAATTTAACCACAATGTCGTCTGTCACTTGTTAGAGACTGCCATAGTCAATAACCGTTAACTAGCATAGACGGCCACCGACAGCAGCGCATCAAGTATCGACTCTACCCTGAATCTTTGCATTTCAACGTCAGATCTCCTTCATTTATTTGACTTTATTTATGACAGGCCACTATGCTGCCACTGAAAGCTGAGTATTTGATGTGCTGCACATTGGCAGTCTAGACTTTAGTTTATATGCAGAATATTGATTGGTTATTAAAAGCTCTCAAGTTAAATTGAGATAAAACAATAAAAAAATATGTACAAATTCAAGTAAGTAAAAACTACACATAAGTACACTGGCTCTACCCATAAGCACTGCCAGGAATGAGTAATTTAATAAAAAATACTGCAGTTTGACAGTATATGCTGTGAAATGTAAAACCAAAATATGAATTATATGACATGATTTCTTATATTTATCACTAAGTAAACCTTAGATATGTTGTTCTGCTCCCGAATAGACAGTAGTGACCATTGTTTGTTGTTAAACTGACGAAAAAATTTAGCAGGTTTTAGTAAAGTAGCTAACCGGCAATCAGCTTCTTTACTTCTATGCTGCTAGAAGCTTGTCTAATGTAGCTTTGAAACAGTGATACCTTAATAAAATGATTAGTGGCACTTCTTTAGTTTGCACACCATGACAACAATAAACAGCCTAATAAGCAAGTAGAAAGTGGGCAGCTTAACATCTTGGGGTTTGGCATATTAGAATAATCATAGTTAAAGTTGCTGATCTGTGCATTGTGCTGGCTTCTTTTGAGTCTATAGTTTTGAAGCATTATACTGTATTTATTTTGAAACATTAAATAGATTGTAGCAATAGTGCTATTATAATTTTTGGCTACTATATATGTTACCTCAGTAGCTAAACTGCAAATCAAAAATAACTGATCATTTCTTTTTTTACTCCTCCCCAGCTGGTCCTGGCAGAGAGTGCACACTCTGATGGAGGGTCTCAGTGCACAGAGAGCCATCCAGAGCTTCCCCCTCCCCTTGAGAGAACAGGGGGTATCGGAGACTCACGACCCCCCTCCTTCCAGTAAGTAGGCTACTTGCCGTGTGTCCTGTGTGAGGGGTTACACGCAGGCGTGCTGGCAGATGTTTTCAAGCATGCAGTCACATGTGGTGCCTGAGCTGTTTCTGCTGCAGCCGGCCCATATGTGCTAATTAAAATTCATCATCATCATCCTCATCGACTCGTATGGGAAGTGTAGGTTGTGCTCATGCCGAGGTGTGATTATATCACAGGATGAAGTGTCCTGAATCTGCAATAGGTGTGAGAATTTCTCCCACTTGTTTGGCTGCTCCCACCCACCCATACACTCATGAAGCAGGGAGTTGGTCTACCCATCTAAGTAAACATGATGCGCTCGCCGTCAGTGCTGCCGATGCTTGAAATAGCCCCTACAGCATAAACGTCTTCAGGCAAATACTTGCTCTCAGTGAGGCCTATTGTGTTCAGTCACTCAGAGCATTCATCCGTGCACTGCTAATAAAGACATACAGGCCCCCAAAACACATGCTCCAAAGGTTAGAAATGGGGATTTGACTGCAGCCACCTCGGCTTAGATGTTGACTGAAACCTGACAGATTATAAAATATCACACCAGCCGCCAAGTAGAGGTCCCTTGCTAAATTTAGCTGGGAGGGCAGTAGAGGGGTTTGTTGCCATTACAACACTGCAGGAATAAGACTGAGACTCTATATTGAGAACATGCAATCTGTCATGTCTCAGTCTATGTCTTTATCCACTATTTGACATCTCAGCTCGCTTTTGCCCTCTATGGACTGCTCCCCACAGCCTGGCTGTCAGCCTTCCTGATGATTTTATTGTTCCCAGCCAGCTTTCACTGCTGCCACCTTGTGGAGTGAACCTGTAACATGCTGCCATACACCACTACCCCCTTCCGCTAAGCCTCATTTCCCTCCTCCCCCCTTCCTCCTGCGCTCTCCCTTTCTTTTTCTCTCTTTGAGGCATACCGGCAGGCCTTTCTCTCAAAGGACCAGTGTGGTGCGTTACCTATGCCAAAGCTACCTTCTTTCTGAAATGAATCCTGCCTATTCTACCCTTTTACCTCTCTCTATCTCTCTCTAGAATATTATTACCACTTCATTTCTTCTTTGTGTTTTATTCATGCATTCCATGTGTTTGTCTGGATGAATAGCTTTATTTGAAAAAATCGGTGTTTGGGGCTGAGAAGGGACAAGCAACTGATGTGCCTCCGCTTGCTAATCCGGATTAAAGCACGCATCTTTATTTCCCAAGAGAGAGGCAGTGACGACTGGCAGCAGTCTAGAGATGGAGGGGCTGGAGGGGGGCAGCATTTGTTCACCTCTGTAGCAGAGCCTCGCTTCTGAGATAATCTCCCTAGAGATCAGCGGCCATCGACACCTTTCGCTGCTATCTAATCGTCTCCCGATGGATGGGGTGCAACGCTCTCCATATTTGCATGCAGGCACTGACCTGTGCCAGGTGCACCCATTAGTCCTGTGCTGTAGTTGTGTGCAAACACACCCCATTGAGCTCTTCATTCCGCTAAGTGAACACAGCAGAAGCAGAGTACTGTCTGGCCTGTTACGTCTAATTTGCATGGATTATCCACACACCACCGCTGAGGTATGAGAGGATATTGTTTTTTAAACAAGGCTAGGTGATGTTTATGCCACATATATGAGTCTGTCATTTGAGAATAGATGCATGTATTCAACTTTGTGGCTGTTCATGCAGGTGTTTCTCACCTGTCTAAGTGTGTGTGACAGACAGAACGAGTTGAGCTGAGTTCTCACCAGCTTCAGGTTTCCAAGGAGCCCAGTGGCTGTTGAGTCCTTTAACCCCTGGTGCCTGAGGCCACTGTGTTTCCAGCCCTCTGACAAAAAAAACAATCTGCCTCGACACTCCTCCTAGACCTCAAGGACACAGGCCAACTCATTGCTTTGCCCACAGCTGATCTACCACTTCGTACTTTTTACACGACCTGTCAATCTAACCTCTCTTTCTCTCGTTGAATCATGCTCAAGGCACCATCTGGGCTTTTCAATAGGCCTCATTAATGCCACCATTGTCCAGAGCGGCTCCCTCTCAGGCTATCTGGTCATTAAGGACGCTTAGTGCAAAACACATCACATATCGTAAAATAACATATCTGCTACGCTCCCTTCTCTCCCCCACAGGAGTGAATTTGAAACAGTATAGCAATATGAGTAGGATATCCCCCTGAGCCAGGATGGCTGAGGAACTGATATGGTAACTGACAGAAGGATGCTGTAGATGGAGATTCTGGAAGGGAGTGTAGAGCTGGCTGGAGAGTTACTTCAAACAGTCTTTGTGGCAGTATTGTTGAAAAAAAATCCCCAGAAGTTTTGCTATGTGTGTGTTGCAGTGCCAATGCAGTGAGCAGCCGTGACGGCCTGGACACAGAGACAGGGACAGAGTCTCTGCTGAGCCACCGCAGAGAGCGTGAGAGAGAGCGAGCACGCAGGAGAACTCGAGAGACTGAGCGTAAGTATCAGCAGCCAAGACTGGACTGGTTTATATAGTTAAAAAATAGGATTTTTTTTGGTGTGCTCACCTATACTTACACAAATGGAGCCTTTTACCTTTTGGCATTTTAAATCACTACCTGTAATTTATTTCTTTGGTATTTGATGTTGTAGAACAAAGCCAGTTTGCCTGAGCCTCCAGACTACCTATCTATGTAAAGCTGTCCTTGCCAGTTCTGCTGGTTTAGGTTTGCATTTGTGCCATAATTGTCCCATCATTACCTCGGAAAGTGCTCCTTAAGATGTTAAAAGCAACTTGGTGCCTGATTCCAGTAGTCATTGGGCAAGATGGAGGGAAGACCCTGAACAGGTCACCAGCCCTTATAGGGGTGACAAAGAGTTACACAGTACAAACGACCAGGCTCTTATAAACTTACATTTATGGGGTACTTTGAGAGACCAGTTTACAGTCATAATTTTTTAACTGAAGGAGGAAGCTGGAGTACCAGGGCAAAGCCTAAACATACACAGGGAGAGCATGTAAATGAACCCAGTTTGATATTCAAAGTAAGGACCTTCTTCCTGCTAGGGTAGGGTAAGTCATTGACAGGTTCTCTGCATTGGATGTGTTAAGCTTTATCAAGTGGTATCAGGTTAAATAAGAATCAATACAAATGCCCCTTTTTTTAACCTTTATTTGTAAAAAGAACCACATATGATTAGCTTCCCAATGTTCCACACTACGCTACTTTCTATTGGCCACACAGGATGCTTTGAAATTAAATGACAATTTAGGCCCTTTTATGAGAAAACTGATGAAGCACAAAGAGCATTAATACTTTTACAAAACAGTGTGTGTCGTGAAAGAAGCCTCCTGGCATTGAACGGTTCATCTTGTGCAATCACCAGGGCACACCGAGAATCACATCAGAATCAGAAGTGAATGAGTTCACTGTCCTAAAGTTACTGGAATTTACTGCCTTGCCCGATAATCCTCTGCTTTCTCTATGTGTGTCTCAGGATTATGAACGGAGGGTGATTTCCTTCTGCCAGTCACACTCAACTCTGCAAGCATGGTTAGATGCTGTCATAGAACTGTTTTTGGGGAAATCTGTGGGAGTTGTTTCTAGAATACCGACCACTCTAAAATAGTCAGTTTGGAAAATATATTCTCAACTAAGGAGACAATGTAGTTAAAACATGTTTTCATGTCACAGGTTGGGCTTCTCCTACTCTGTGGTTGCTGTTTATAGCTGAACTGGATCTCCCTCTCCCTCTGTGTCTGCTTCCCCCTGTCCTCTCTTTGCAGTGAGCCTGGCTCCTCGCATCCTGCGCTGCTGGCTCATTAACCGAATACTCATTAATTCATGTGGTGCAATTAGTGTAACAGAGCTCAGCGTCAGTTTGGGGTTGTAGGAAGGGCTTTCATATGCTGAAATCACGTTCAGCCATATTCTTAAGTGTTGTTTTTCATGTTTTACCGTGTTTCAGCAAAAACTTCCCTGCATTTTATTTGAATTTTATACAACGAAGAAGAAATGCAGAGGATAATTGTAAAAATGGATAGAAAAAAACTTTCATCAGTTTTTATTAAAAAAAAAAATGTGGCTTGCATTTTTTACACTTTGATCTTATACCTTGAAAATAAAATGCGGTGCATTCAGATATTAGCTAGTCCACATGTGTTACTTATTGTAAGATCTTGAAAACTAAGAGAAGGTCTCCAAAGTGTTTTAGAGAAACTTACTGAACAAACAGCATAAAGGTACACACCCTAGGATAAATTTAAAGCAGGAACAAGTCATACAATCAGTCAAACATTTATGAAAAAATTATGAAAAAGACTTGCTTATCCACATCAACTGACAAGCTAGATAGGTAGTACATTACTTAAAGCCAAGAGACTCATGGTAACTCTGGAGAAGCTGTAGAGATCCACTGCCTTGGAATGTATCATTCTGCTAAATCTGATCCTCATTAAAAAGTGGTAAGACCTAAAACCACTCACAAAGGAAACCTTTAAGTAGTTTTGTATACAGCTTATCACAATCCATTTAGAGGAAACAGTAAATACATGGATGAAAGAAAAGTCCCATGTCAGATGAGAGCAAAATGTGTCTTTTATCATCTCAACATGTAGACATCCACTCCACTGAAAACATGGTGCTGGCAGCATCATGCTGTTGGTATGATTCTCAGCAGCAGGGACAAGGGAGATGGTTCAGAATTGATGGGAAGATAGATAGACTTGAATACGTATCGATCGTGGCAGAAATATGTTAGAGGCTGCAAAGGGATGTGGACAATAACAATACAGCTAAAGCTGCAACGGAATAATTGGGCTGAAAACGTTAATAACCTTTACTGTGTTTTGTTGCTGTAGAAGTATATTAGCTGTTTGCTATGGCCTACACGGGTTTCTCATGTTGTACAATTATCCTCTCCCACATGGTCTTGGTTTGTAGAAAAGAAAAGAGTTGGTTTATTCCATTCGTGTCGTAAAAGCAAAAATACAAAGATTCCAGTTTAAGCAACTTTGCTTGATAACATCTTAACATTCAAGACATGGTAAGAAAACCGCATGGCTCCACAGCTAAAACAACATCTACCGGTACTTGTTTCTGTTAAACACCTTGATGTCTTAAAGCCACAGTGCACAAATATCTAAGAAAGAATTAGCTCTTTTTTTAGTTTAAAATGTTAAACTCAACTGACACAAATGAAACTCTAATATCAAAAAGAAATACTTGTTTACTTTCTTTTATAATACGGATCAAATAAAGACAAAGTCTTAAATAGTACACAACATATAAATGAATACTAAATGAGTTTGCCTTATACACTATGTTACAGTCACATTCCAGCCCTAAATCTAATTAATAACATGTTGTAAGCCTTGAAAAACGTTATTCACAACTGCTGTATGTATAACCTGGCTGATTCAAAGCTATTTTACAGAGGATAGGCCAAAATCTCCTTCTGTAGAGCTATAAAACAAATAGAAACACCTCAATTCAGGACCATTTACACTTCAGATGTTGTTCTTATTTAAAAAATACAAAAATAAAATTTTTTCTTCATTCCCTTTAGGAAGGAATACTTCTATAGGGGCTCTTTATCTCAAATTTTTTTTCTTCTTGTTTAAAGGTTCCGGATTTGGCAGCAGATTCCTTATCACTTTTGTTGGAAGTGCAGTGAGCATCTGCTGTTTTGTTTTTTAAATGAAAGATAAGCAAGAAAAAAACAAACTGGACATCTTCCTGTGTCCTCGTATCATATAAGCCCCTCTTTCCGTCTTGCTGCCCCTTATTGCCTGTAAGTTTGTTAGAGCTAATTAAATGAAACCAGCAGAGGGAGCCAGGATGGCCCCTTAGGGCTCACCAGCAGCTCATAAATCTGGCGAGCAGGGTCTGGTGAAATGTAATTTAATTTGGCTCAGTGTAGAGATGTGAAGACATATGAAGAAGGAAGTCACGGGGCCCCGCCTCACTGTCCTGCTGCCTCCAGCATCGTGATCATCAGCAACAGCAGGAATTTCCCTGACACATTATCCTCATGCTTTAGGTGATTCCTCCTCAGATTGAGTGATCACTGTTTTACAGTGTTTAACCACAGTAAACATATCCCTTCACATCTGAAAATGAAAAATGCAACAGCTGACATTTTCACAGGTCATCTACATGGTCTGGAGAATACTCATATTTTACAGTTGTGAAAAAGTATAAACAAATAAAAAAAAGTTTGGAGAAATACAGTTCAGATTTATTTCCAGAATTATAAAGATGCTTTTATTTTTGCTTTACCCTTTTCTGATGTTCTTTTTTCTCTTCTTTTCTGCTTATATCTTTTGAATCATTCCTTTCTGCGTCCTATCCCCTTTTTTACTGTCCTACCTTCATTTTGTCTTTCATTCCCAACTTAAATGGCATTACTCTTCACCCTCGTGTTCAGACACATATTTTGTTTCCTTCTTTGCCTATGCCATTGCATGCTGCTTTTCTTCCTGCGATTCCATGTGTTCTTCCTCTTGCCCCATCTTGTGACCCTTCTTTCAGCTTTCTTTCCCTCCGTGTGTCCCTCCTTCCTCTTTTTACTCCTCCTTCCTTCCATCTTTGTGTCTTTCCTTCTTTCTTTCCTGTCCCTCCTTCATTTTGCCATGAATTATTTCCCTCCTCTCCCAGTTTATGCCCTTACTTTGTTCCTTTTATTATTCCTTTCTTCCAGTTTCTGGATCTTACAGGTGTTTGTTTTTTAAATTATTGTATTCTCTATTGGATTCTATTGGACCGAAAGATAGTGTGAAAGCACCGTGAGTTTAGGATGTGTCTTATCCGAAGGACAACGAGGGATCGGGGGGAGAATGAACCTTTTTAAGAGAAAAAAATGGTATTGAGAGTGTTTTTGTCACATTAACAGTAATGATTTTCCCTCTGCTATCTGGATTGAGGTCAAAGAAGACACAGCAAAGCCAAAGTACTTATGCCAGTATTAAAGTATTAACAGGAAGCAGAAAAAAAATTGCTGTTGAAATTAAACCTCTTTTTTTGTTTTTAATTGAATATTGTGTTGATTGTGATTTTTAGGATTTATGTGGTATGTAAATATTTCCACTAGAGTTGTTTTTACCTGAAGAACGAGGGTAAACGATACAAAGTGGTCTTAAATCCTGAAACCAATGTTCTCTGATGGTGCCTGGGAGAATCCTGTCATCTGATTGGTTAGAGGTGGATTAGTATGAGGGGCTACTGTATAGTTGCGTGACATATGAGGAGCTAGGGAGGAAGGGAGGAGAATTTATTTTTTTCACTTTGTCACTTTGGGATGGACTGTTGATGAGGTGAGGTCTCGTCTCGTTAAACCTTCAGGGTTTATTTACTGTGATAGCATTTTCATTATTTAAGAGTAATTTTTTTGTAACCTGTTAATCATCCTGTTTTATTTTAATATATATCTTAAAATTATGATTTACATTTTTAAAGTTAATGTCTTAATAAAATATCAATATTTGTTCGAGGGACATTTGATGATTTTAAATTAAAAGGGTGATCATTTAAACTTTGGTGGTTTGTTTAGTTGAAAAGTAACAGCCTTAAAATTCTCTCTTGTTTTTGGACGACTTTCTGCTTATTCTGTCTTACTGTCCCTGTCTCCATTGTAGATAAGCTGTGAAGGCTGTGAGCAGACAGCTGGTGGGCTGAGGCTTAGAGAGCGGCTGGCACCACAAACACACAGATTTTCAGGCTGGCTCCTTGAACTTGTGCATTTGGGTTTTTTTTTGTTTGTTTTTGTTTTCTCTGGCGGTAGAGAGAAATATGTCTTGGTGAGAAAGCTGGTGCTGTTCATGTGCAGTAGCTCAGTTTACATAAGGGTGGAGCTAGTCATGGAAACCCCTGCGTTGCTGGAATGTTTTGCTTGCTCAAGGCAAAAACAAGGTAGGCCACGCCCTTTTCGCCTTATCACACCTTTCCGGCAGATCCGCTGTCACCCTGAGACAGCGCCACGCCAAAGGCAATGTACGTATGGATGAGGGCAAGAATTCATTTTAAACTTTAGGGGCTCTACATTTCCAGCTTCCATTTCTGTCCGATTCTTAGTTTAACAGGTTAAAGCTTCTCCTCCTGCAGATCTAGATTTCTCAGCAACCTAATAAACCCCATCCTGTTCTCCTTCTCCTTTTTATCCGAGCCCACAGAGATCAACATGACCTCAACATCTGACTCACAGCTCTTCTGCCCTCTTTTTCTCTGCAGTCCCTCGCATCAACGGTCACTCTAAATCTGAGCGTACAGCGAGGGACTCGGCCATGGGTTACGACAGTGCCTCAGTAATGAGCAGCGAGCTGGACTCCAGCTCCTTTGTAGACAGCGAAGAGGATGAGGATGCCAGCAGGTAACATACTACATCACTTTAAAATACCTACTTCCAAACCCACAAACAAAAAAAACTTTGTGCTGAGATAAGAGTTTACAAAAGTAGTGTTTTTTTTCTCTCAATTTTTTTAAATATAAAAAAGAAATTAATATTAGACCAAGATAACTAGAAGAATATTATTTTTTAACCTCTCAAAACGGGTACCAAACGAGCACCAAAGCACAATTAACACAGCCACAACATTCAAGCATGCCTTTATAACTGCTGTTCAAAAAAGACCTATTATTTTCGAGAATTAAAAAAACTACTTTGAGTCTTGTTTGAACTGATGCAGCTTGGGCTTGATGCAGCTTGGGTGTTTTGCTCACCCAATTTTCATGTATAAATTCAGAAACTGGAGGGTGTTAGCTTTCAAATAATGTATCACACATGTAATTTGGGCTTACAGTCCCTAAGTTATTTGCTTTTCCATTTGGGTATGCAAATTAGGTGAGAATTTCCCAAAAACAGGTGGATATTAAGAAGATCAATAATTTATGAACAATTTCATTTAAATTTAGGAGCTTTCCAGAACAACCTGGTCGTGTATAAAAAGTAGTTTTCCCCCAAACCTAAGTTCCTGAGCTAAAGGCAGCACGACAAATGTGGAAGAATTTACCAGAGGATTTTTGTGATATGAATAGTCATGCCATTATTTCATCTGGATTTAAATCCAGACTAGGTCTCTCTTAAATCTTTTTTTCTTAGCCATTAAGAAGTAAGCCTGGTGAAGCTCTTCAGATCATTACCCTAAATCCAGGTTTGGGTCACAAGCTGATAGTCAAACATTCTCCTTCAGGGTTTTCTACTAAAGAGCATAAATCATGGATTCATCAGTTACAGCAAACTGCCGAGCTCTAAAGCAACAAAGCAGGCCTAAACATTCACACTGCCACCATCCATGCTTAACTGTCTAAATATGTTTTTCTGAAATGTTGTTACTTCTGCATGAAATGTTACTTTGTTCATATCTTGCAAAAGTTACCCGTTTTGTTTTCAGTCCATGAAATATTTACCAAAAACTCACAAGGATCACTAAGATGCTAAACATGAGCTGGGCCTTTGTTGGTTTTTGGTTCGGCAGTGGTTTTCTTCTTGAAACATGAGGCCATTTTTAACAATCATAAACACTGACATTACTAAGACAAGTGGGGCCTGCTCTAGATGCCAACCTGTGTTCTTTTATTACACAACATTAGAGTTGTTGATGCAGTCTTGCTGTAATTTTGGTAGCTGCTTACTCTATTTGAAGGTTCACTAATGCTAATAATTTGTTTATAAAGACTTTATTAGCACTTCCATAGCGATAGATTCTATTGGCTTTGATTCTAATTTAGTCTTCAATGTATTTAGATACTTCATGTTGTCAGTTAGGTTCCATTTTAGTGATTTTTGTTAATACTACATGATGTTTAAATAGTTGAATTGATCTTAAATTTTCAGAGTAATATGGTGATTAATTACATTTGCAAAGAGAAAGTCCAAAGCCTGGAGTCCAAGGGTTGTGGTGTTCTCTCAGTGCATTTCCTGCATTCTCTCCTGGTCTTCTTAGTTACTCCTAAAATGAAAATAAAGCATCTTCAATGATTGTCCTGTGTGCATGCATGTATAATTGTCTTAAATGTCTCCATGTTGCCTTGTGAAGGATGGACGGATGAGCTGTCCAGAGCTGGTGTAACATTTCTTACACACTGTAATTGTTTTTTAGGATCATCCAAGTTTATTGTTTTCCTGTGGTTTCTTGCAAACAAAACATTTTCATATGTCTCCTCACTATTGCCTCTCCCAATTATGTAATGATGGATGGAGTTTGCTCAGATACAAAATGTAGCTTAGGGACTTTAAACAATCTTAGGTTGACTTGACTTTTTCTTTTCTACTTCAACCTTGGTTTGAATCTGCTCCATCCAAACCCCCCCCCCCCCCCCCCCCCCCCCCTCTTTTTAACCTACTGTTTTCCTTCTGTGTGTTTCAGGCTCAGTAGCTCCACAGAACAAAGTTCTTCTTCACAGCTCATGCGCAGACACAAGCGACGCAGACGGAGGCACAAAATGGCCAAGATAGACCGGGTAGGCACTTCAAAGCCCATAACTGCCTGAGCAGAAATGAATGCTGATGCCGAGCAGCGGAAACAGATGAGAGAGTTGATCGATATAGACTTCATGCCGCTTTTTATTTACCCTGTTCTCACTGCAAACCTCCTCTGCCCTTTCTAGTCTTCATCCTTCAGCAGTATCACAGACTCCACTATGAGCCTCAATATCATCACTGTTACACTCAACATGGGTAAAATTAGTTGTGTACTTTGCCTTATTTCCCCACAAGAACTTACTTCTTTTTATTCATACTTGTATTTCTTTTGCTTTTTGCAGAAAAATACAACTTTCTGGGCATCAGTATTGTAGGTCAAAGCAATGACAGGGGAGATGGAGGCATTTACATTGGCTCCATCATGAAGGGAGGAGCTGTGGCTGCTGACGGCAGAATAGAACCAGGAGACATGCTTCTGCAGGTATGCTTCTACATTTACAAATTCTGGTCAAAAGTGCAAAATTATGATGAATACCAGCGTTTTCACGAGTAGGGATGACTTTTTTAGCTGTCACTGTTAGTGCGTCACAAAAGAGACTAGAAGATACTAGTTTGTCTCTGCCTGTGGTTTCTGAAGCACGTCAATAACCACATCTTATTCGCTTCCGTCACTAGACTTTTATGTTGAAATTTTCCTTTGTGCGGTTTTTTGATCTCTGTGTGACAGTTCTATTATTACACCTCATATGAGGCACGTGAAGGCTATTCGCATTTTCTGTGATCACTGCATTTACGTGCATTTGATACAAAAAGGTTTAGATTTATAGGACCTGGAAGTCCCTATAGCTCTGTAGAAATGATTGTAAGAAAAATAACAGCTTAGACATTTCTCTAACTCCATTAAAAATGATATCAAATTTCTAAAACCTATACAGTGTAACCTGACCATAATGTTTCTGTATGTAAACCAGGTAAATGATGTGAATTTTGAGAACATGAGCAACGATGATGCTGTGAGGATCCTGAGAGAGATAGTTTCTAAAACGGGGTAAGAGCATCAAAGTCACTCAGACCGGTTAACATTTGAAAAGATCACAGCACACTGTTTTGTTTGTGCTTTGTAATATTACATCTTAAAGACTACATTTAGTATAACAGGTTGCAGAATATCTACTTTGTCACAGAAAGTTTCATTAAAAAAGTTGGAAATGCTTTAATGTCAGCAGCTATGTGTCAGATTGTCATATTTTGTTATTTTTCAATACTTCAGTTGTCAGCAGCTTTATGCCACTTACATATTTAAGGCCAAGATTAAGATTTTGTTAAAAGGCTTTAAATTATTTCATCTTCCCTCCAAGCCTCTTGTTTTCTGTGCAACATGGCAAAGATAAATTTATTCTGGAGTTTGTAAGTTCCAGATATTTGAGCAGTTTTTTTTTTTTTTCTTGGAGCCATCACCTTATTCATCAAGATCTCATGTGTTTTTTGTTTTTTTTGTTTTTTACCGATATTTAAGAGAAATATATTTTGGTGTCCCACCATGTTTGTACCCTTTGTAAACCGTAAACAGTAATTTCCTTGAAACTATGATCCAAAAAGAAACATTTAAGTATGAACACAAAAAAAAGTTTAGTTATGTTTGGTTTATAGGAATTGTTTGAAGTCTAAATAATTTCAGCATCATAATTTTTCCAAAATTTTCTCTATAATGATTCTTCAGTCTTAAGTTAAGGTTGCAGCGGTAAGAGATGGATTTTTTTTTTTGGAAAAATAAATATGAAGGGAGCTGTTAGTTGATAAATCATTGCAGTTTGTACACTAGAACATTTTAAAGAATATTTTTGCAATTTACATGTCGTTATACTTAAGCTAATAATTGAAACGCCTTTTAAAAAGTATTTCATTAATGAGGAAACTTGTATGTTAATGCAGAATACTGTTGGGTTTTTTTTTTTCTCCTGCATTAATTTATTCTTAAACTCTTATTTTTTAGCCCCATTAGTCTTACTGTTGCCAAGTGCTGGGATCCATCTCCAAGAAGTTACTTCACTATCCCACGTGGTAAGAGCTTTTTCAGTCATGTTGGGGGTGATGATCATGCACTTCTGGCAAAAGTATACTCACTCCTTGAACTTTGTCACATTTCAACCAAGCAGTTCATTCATCTTGAATGTACAAAGTAAAGGATAAGTTAAGTAGTAGCAAAATAATGCAAACAATTCCAAATTGGGTCAATTCTGGTAGCTGTTTGGTGGCACTGGAATTTAATTAGAGGTAATATAGTAACGTGGAGTTAAAAAGAAAAATCATAGTTTTTCTACCGTGTATCATCACCCACTTTATGCTGGTTTATCATTAAAAACTCCAACAATATATATATCAAAGTTTTTGGTTGTATTGTGACAATATTTGAAAAAGAGGTGTAAATTCAGGCTACTGTATCGGATAAAATCTGAGCTCAGCAATGTTAGTGTCTGTCACCTTGAGTTTCTTATTATTTATCTGTTTGCTCATTGTTCCCAGCGGAGCCAGTAAGACCCATTGACCCTGCAGCCTGGATTTCTCACACCACAGCCTTGACTGGACCATATCCACATTATGGTAAACACTGCCAGAAACTTATTTACCATTGTATGACAACTTTGTGTCAAATTCTGGTAGATTTTTATTCCCTCCTCCTTTTTCTCAGAATTCGATGACCTGCCTCTGTCTGTTGGTAAAACAGACATGGCAACCATTGTAAAGGTGATGCAGCTTCCTGACTCAGGCCTGGAGATACGGGACAGGATGTGGCTGAAGATCACCATTGCGAATGCAGTCATAGGTGAGGAAAGCTGAGCAAAGCAAAATGTTGCAAGCACACACTTTTGTGGTTTTAAAGGCAGTTTACTGTAAGTCACACAGAAATGCAGTAGGTATACGCAGCACTCAAAGCTGGTGCCTTTTATGAGCTGGGGTAGTATTATTATAGTGCTTGCACAACGTGTTTGCTTGTACCTTTCTGAGTCACCTAGTTGTGTAAGCAGTTTTCCCACCTTAAATGTGTGTGTTGCTGTTTAGGTGCTGATGTGGTGGACTGGCTTTACTCCAGAGTAGAAGGCTTTAAGGATCGACGAGACGCAAGGAAATATGCCAGCAGTCTACTGAAACATGGCTACCTGAGACACACAGTCAACAAAATCACCTTCTCTGAACAGTGCTACTACACATTTGGGGATCTCTGCCAAAGTACAGACCTTTAGTTTGTGTATTAACAGTTTATCTCATGTTTTTTCATATTTTGTTATGCTCATATGATGCTCTTCTTCTTTAAGACATGGCTTCTCTAAATTTGAATGAGGGATCCAGTGGTGGGGGTTCGGAGCAGGACACTTTAGCACCTCTACCTCCCACCACCAACCCTTGGCCTCTGGGAGGGCAGCCATTCCCATACCCGCCTTTTCCATCTGCGCCCCCCTGCTTCCCACCGGGATACTCCGACCCGTGCCACAGTTTCCACAGCGGGAGCGCCGGCAGCCAGCACAGTGAAGGTGAGCAGCGAGGAAGGCGCAAGACGGGCCCCCTGGTTTTCCATCAACAAATCATGAATTAATGTAATCTGACTCAAAACGGCATCAAACCGTCTGTCACATGACATCAGTGTTAGCAGAGTGTGACTCACGCTTAACGTTAGCTGTTCTGGCCCTTTGCTTTGGATTTCCTTTTCCATCATTGAGTTTGTGTCTCCTAAAACGCATCCTGTTGTTGTCAAGGTCAGTCATGAGCATGTTGAGTCACGCAGTGGGCAGCTCTGCAGTACTGGGTGTGTAAAAATACTAAAAGACATCTGATTAACCATGTGATTTGGAATCACAAGCAGTCCCATCTCCTCCCCTATTAGTTTTCAGATGATCTTTTTGTCATTTTATTTTAAGTCTACATTTGACGGTGCTGCATGGTTTTTGCTTTGAAGCAGCGTTGAAAGATTGGCAGGGTTAAGTTATCAATTTGTGTTTTCATCATTGTGAGTGACTCATCCAAGCATGGCCACATCTTGCTTTCAGCCATTCCTTTCACCAACCTTTGCGAGGAAATAGATGGAAAAAAAAATGGTTTTAAAGTAAAACCCAATTTCTTCAATTATTTGCATGTGATCCTTTTATTGGAATATAAGCCATCCATTTTATTAAGCTTGATAAAAAAAGAAAATGACAAAAACGTGTGTTAGTTTTAAAGGTAATAGAGCAGGTTCAGAATGTCAGTCAGTGTGGGGACATCTGGCCTGGGAGGTGTGTGTAATTCTGTTGTTCCCTCTGTTTCTGCTGGGCTACGGTAGACTGAAGGAGGAGGTAGTCCCAGGACACTGGGGGAACCGGTAAGCCTGCTAACCCCCCTCTCCTCCTCCTCTGCTGCTCTTTTCTTTTCACTCACCATCGTCTCACTGTCCCTCTGTGCTCTCATCTATTTATCTTGCACTCAGCATTCTCCACCTATCATATCGCAGCTTTAAGGTTTCTCCTTTTCTCGTCTCCCCCTGTCTTTTGCCAGCTCCATGATTTTTTTTTTTCTGTCTCTGTGTATCCCTAACAGCCGACTCTCCCCCTCTGCACCTTTGGGCATGTGTTTGTACTTTGCTTGGAGGTGCATGATACAGGATGGTCAATCTTAAGGCTTGTGCTCATAGGGTACAATCATGCACCACTTTACCCAGTACTGTTGGGCTCATTGCAGAAGTTAAAATGTGTGTTTTGCAACTTTTGTTACACCTCCATCAGATACCACGATGATACTGAAACCGCCTGTTTGATGATTGACTAATATGTTTTTGTGTAATTTTACCAATATACATTTTTCTGATGCTGGTGTATTCTGTCCACATGTGCAGTAGCTTGCAGATGTATTCAAACCACTTGGACATATTCAGGTTGCATTACAGCGAAAGAGAGAGAAAAAAATAGATTTTACCTGAAAAAAGTAGCAATAAGTAGAATATAACTAATTAGGGATTTTCAGTTTTGAAGGTGTTCATTGAGAACATCAACCTCTGAATTAATACTCGGTAGAACCCTTTTTGCTCCACTTCCCGTACTGAGAGTCTTTTAGAGTGTGATTCTAGTGTTTCTATCAGCTTTTGTTTTCTAGAAAATGTATTTATTGCCCTTTGTTCTTTTCAAAATGGCTCATTAATATCATTTGGAAAGTATTTCCGTACATCAGTTCTCCAGCCTTGCCTCAGATTTTCATTTGGCTGTAGGTATGGATTTTGACTGGGCCATTCTAACACACAAGTATGCCTTGATCTAAACCATTCCTTCTTAGATGTATGTTTAGAGTTGCTGTCTGATTGGAAGGTACTCTGGCCCCTTTCTAAAGGGTTTTTAAAATTTTTCTATTCTGTATTCAGCGCTGACCACCTTCCACCACAGCACTATACTGCTGCCATCAAGTTTAAACATGCAGACAAGGGTAGTGAGGATGGTTTACTGTTTCCATCTCTGCGAAAACATTATTTTTTCATCTCATCTAATTAGAAAACCTTTTTTTGCATCAGTTGTCTCTACCTCTGGTACTTGAAAGCATTTGTCTAGATACCTTTAGATGCAGCACTGTTTTGATACACTGAGTCTCTCATTAAAAGGCCACTGCAGAACTTTGTATCAGCAGTTTGATCCATGTGTGTTGGAGATGGGATCATCTAGAAATCATAGGACAGTGGCTCTCAAGGATTGGGGCTGAAGCCACCTTTTTGTTTGCATTTTTCGGTTTTGTCTTCTTCACTCTTGCTGGATTTATAGAGCACGTATCTAACAGCTGTTATGTTGATAGAGTATCCCACCTGCGCTCTGAATAGTTGCAGCTCCTCCAGAGTTACCGTGAAAATTTGTATCATTTTCAGATGATGCATTCTAAAACTATTTACCACTTTCTCGCCATTTAACGTAAACTCATAATAAAATACAATTCGTTTTTTTGGTGGGAAATGTAACAGTATGTTAAGAAAGTTCGAGTGGTATGAATATTTCTCCAAAGCTCTGTATTAGCTGTTAATGTTTTGGTGTAGAAACATCAGTTGCAATATGATTGTGATTCTTGCGGTGGATCTTTGACTTAATCATTTGCAATCATGTTTCCTGACTGGTGGCTCTTTTCTAGATTGCTTAAGAAACAATCTGGTCACATCTTAAACAAAAAGCTTTAACATATTTTTTCTATGCATTATTCAAAGGTCTTAATGTGTCAGTTTTAGAGTTACAGTTAACTAAAATTCTGTTAAGCTATTGTTTAATGTGTGACCTTTTACTTTTTTTCCTTCGATCAGTTTCTGGTTCTGAGTCAGCTCTGGTTGATCTGTTGCAGCTGCTCTCAGAGTGTTTTTGGGTTGACTCTGCAAATGCTGCAAAAGCTCTAACTGATTCAACCCTTTTTTTCTTATTTTTATTTGTTTGCGTTGTCAACAGGAAGCCGAAGCAGTGGATCGAACCCCAGCGCAGGCAAAGACAGACACTCCCCACAGGAGAAGGTTCAGAAGCCAACAGGCCGCGAATCTGAGTCGGGCTTCCGTGGAGGGAAGCGAGGGGACAGGTCCATCAGCCAGATGAGCCATCACAGCCATGCTAGGTCCAGCCTCAGTCACAGCCACTCACACAGGAGCCACTCGCTGCCCCAGAGCAACCATCCCTCCTTCAGCTACAGCCACACTCCCTTCACCCAGCCGGGGCCGGGCTCCTGCACGCAGAGCGAGAGAAGCCATGCCTCCTCCTATGGCCCCCCAGGCTTGCCTCCTCCGTATTGTCTAGCTCGACTTGCCCCCAAAACCTCAGTGAGCAGTAGCACACCCCCTGGAGCCCCTCCCGGGAGGGAGCTGGCGACTGTTCCTCCCGAGCTCACCGCCAGCCGGCAGTCGTTTCAGCACGCCATGGGCAACCCTTGTGAGTTCTTTGTGGACATCATGTGACAGAACAGTGCCTTTGAAAACAAAGTGAGCACAAAACAATCCTGCTAGAACTCACTTGCATCTTTTTCTTCTTTCTCCTCAGTCTTTTGAGCACCCCCTAAGTTCAGAATGTAGATACTACCTGGCCCCCCTGTAGCCCTCTGCTCTACCTACGATGTCCACAGAAAGGAATACAGGCTGCTTTAGCACAAAGGAAGGATTCCTCTCAATCACAAGCACAGGTGCTCCACCTGAAAGCCTCTTTTTTTTACAGACATGTACAGTTTGTGAAACGTGAGTGCTGTTTGGTGTGGTGATGTCTTTGAAGCTGCCATGCAGACATTCTCGGGTACATCGTGGATATAATCTGTTCAGCAACACCTTTAACTAGGCTGGAACTGGATATCAATCCCCCAGACCCAGACTGAAAACTCTTGTCAAAACTCCTAGGCCCCTTTCTCCACCGGTTCTGGGGCTTTGTCTAAGCTCTTAGTGCCAACACTAACCCTGATCTGTGGATTCTTCAGCTTCAGGAGGAAAACCCCATCGCCTGCTGCCAGTTTTAGCGAGGCTGCACAGTGCATGTCTGAACTGCTTTAAAGAAATTTTATAATTTAATTTGTTTAAAGTATTAACTAAACCAGAAGAAGGAGGCTCCCTCTCGCCAATGTTCTAAAGGATAAATCCGTACACTGGATGATTTTGTGATGTTATTTATGTGGTCTTGTTGCGTCTATGATGTTGTCGCAGTTTGTCTCCTCCGGCTCCCTGACAGACAATCAGACGTCATCATTTGTGTGTCAGAGGCCAGTTCCTGCTCTCTCAGCTGTTCACTGTCAAACATACAGTGGATGTAAAAACTCAACACCCCTCTGGTAAATGACAGGGTTTTGATTGATATAGTTTTGATAACGTTTTCTTCCTTTATTTAAAATATTTCCTCTTTATTATTCAAAGGTAAAACAAATATGTTAGAGTGGGGAAATATACACATGAAAATGTCTTAAGAATAAGAGCCTGGCTGCATAAGTGTGCACAACACCTGTAATCAATTTCCGCTTTGCCTGTAGGATATTCCGCACAAATTTCCATCCTTTGGCTAACACAGCAGCTTAAGGAGTGAATAAAAAAAGTTAAAAAAATATATATATCTGGGTATAGAGAAATTAGTTAGGAGAGGAGTACCAAAAATTATAAAAGTATGTTTACTAGCACAATAAAGAGTTTGTAAAGTTGGTAGTAGTTGGAGAATTTATGGAACATTTATGGAGCTTTTCTAGGTGCAACAATAATGTCCTGTTTTTGAATGTCTGATCTAAGAAGAACTGAAAGACAGAAGCCTTTTCTCAAAGACACATCAAAACAATTAGTGAATCTACGCAACATTTGTTAGATTAAATCAAATTAACAATCTCTAGATCTAAGTGGTGGTGAAAAACACAACTGTACACCAAAAACCATTTACAGCACAATACATTAGTCAATTGGATCCAAAAACTTTAGGTTTCTGTTTTGCAAAAGCTGAACGAAGATTTCGTTTTTTTGTCTGTTCTGAGTTCAAGCATACATCAAAGTCAGAAATTAGTTTTAATTTGGAATGGCTGGGCCAAAAAAATTTAACAGGGAGGTGGGCGTCATCTGAAGAAAGCTATGAAGAAGAAATGTCCTCAGAATTAGAGAGATTTGGAGAACTTTTTCTAATATAATATTCACTATTACCAAAGAAGATCAAACCCTAAAAGATGCATTAGCAAAGTATTGCTTTCAGGGTGTGCACACTTATGCAGGTTGTTGAGCCTTTTAGCTTGAAGTGTTAAGGAAGTAAGTTATATTTAAGATGGAAAACATTTGGTAGTTGTTGATCATATTTTTTCTCTAAATAACTGAAACCTGGCTCTTTGCCAGGGGTGTGTAGACTTTATATCAAGTACCTCTATTCCCATCAGGTTAGCTGAGTAGCTGAGCTGATAACACTTTGATTTGCACAAAGAACATTAGCAAACATGTAAGCACAACTATCAGACTTAATGTGTCAAACCGGCTGTGAGAACATCGTGATAATTCAGTGGGAAGGAAGCCAAGACCTCATTTGTCATGGATCTTTACCCATGATGTCGGAGCTCTTTATATTGCCCTTTCATGTTTTCTGTTTTTTGTTTTTGTTTGTTTGTGATTGTCATCCGTTTTTTGTTTTTTTTCTCATTTCACGTAAGGTTAAATTACCTTCAAGGGGAATCCTGTCCAACAGCACAACCTTCCCCTTGCAAAACGACAGCAAACCCCTGTTGTAACTATTTAAGGAATAACTACAACAGGGAAATAACACTCTAGTTTTATGAGCACTTTCCCATTTTGTCTTTCCCTTTAAGTATGAAACACTGTTTTCAATCAAAGCTTTCTCTTTAATTTTGTTTCATTACAAAAGAATAAAATGTACATAGAAATTTATTATATATAAGAATTAAAAATATATCTGTTCCAACAGTTTGTCTTTATTGGTGGACGCTGTGTCTTTTAATGTTCTGCCCATAAAAAGCAAATCACTGGAAATCTCATCACCAATAACCACTCTGCCTTCAGGATTGTTCATGTCCCAACCAATTGGTCTAAGATTAAAAACAAACACATTTTCACTGCTAGAACAGACCTTATTCTTGTTTCCTAAATGTATCAAAACTAAAACTTCCAAATCTGAATGAGTTTAAAGCAATTACAGATGAATACATTTAGAGTGGGGCTTAGTAAAAATACAATAAAGACTAACTGCTAAATAAAAGCAAGGTTTAAAGAGATTTTGTCTGTGTTATTTCATTATTTATAACTGAATCAGCAGAGGACTGTTTTACAAGAAAACAAGATAATGGATGAAGCCATCAATTTACAGACGTTGCTTATTAAAGCCCGGACTCTTTCACAAAAGCACTAACATAAATCACAAAGGTGGTTTATTCTATGCAGCTAGCCTGCTCCAGACCAGGTTTAGAGCCTGGTTTAGTTAATCCAGGTACCGTAATTGCTGAGTCAACATCACACAGATCATATACCAAAATATATGTTTATGAAATGTGTGAGTATTCCGTTTTCTTATGTTTTCTGCTGCAGTAAAATACCAGTAAAACATATTATTTAGTCAAGTACTCTAAATATTTTAACATTATAATGGTAGTCTCTACCATTATTGTTTAGTTATCCATGTGAACATCGTTACTGTTGGATTATTGTTTTAGACATTTTGGTTTAAGTTGGACAGAAAGGCATTTAATAGACTATCACGTGTGTTGGGGCCGGTAATAGATAAATAGTTGATAAATATGCAAAGGTGTCCATTAAGGCAGGGCATAAAAGTAACTCCAAACACATGTATTTTCCTTTACAATGGTGGGTCTGCTTTTGATTTTTTTTTTCTCAAATTACCAGCAGGAAAATTACTGCTTTTCTTGGGATAACATCCACTATCTACAGACTGCTGGATACCAAGATTCAGCAATGCACTAAACAAAACCCTGCCTTGAGTGTTACACAGATGATCTCTATTGGGTGTTTTTTTTTAGCTATTTGTATGCTCCTGTATGCAGTAGGATGTGCTGAAAAATCTTAACAAAGCCACTATTTGCTGTAGCAACAGAAAATTAGCTACATCATGTAGGGATTCTACAATATGATAGGTAAATGGATTAGGGAACATATCACAAGCAAACTTAACACTGGCAAACTTTTCTTTTTTATTGATCCATGATTCCCAAATGTTAGAGGTGTTTTGGACTGCAAACACATTTAAAATAAAGGTGATTTTGTTAACAGAAAACCCCAATGATCAGTAGTCAACTTCAAAAATTTATTAAGAGCATATTGTTACCTTGTTGTTACACCTTATTGCTTTAGGTGATCTGTGATGCTCACTGCATCTTCAGAAGCATCAAGGCAAACTGGCCTTCCTCAAGCTATGACACTGACCTGTCCCCTCTATGACAAGCCTTCTAATTGTTTTAAGTTAAGGGAAAGCTTTTCTACCACCCCTGGTGCCAGACACATGAGCCTTTTTTAAAACCTGAAATAAATTAGATAATTAAATATGTGTGCAAGCACCATCTAAGTCATTAGTACAAAACATTTGTACATTGTGTTTAACACTTTATCCAGATATTACCAGTCTGTTCTGTATGAAAATTGACAGGATGTGTGAAAAAAAATAGTGATGAGTCACCCCCATTGCTTGACAAAATTTTATAAAACCACTCTTGACATAACTAGGATTTAATCCTGAATCCTGCACATTAAAGACAGAGACTTAATCACAGGAGAATTGAATGCCAAGTCATAATCTATCAATTGTCACATTTGAGCATGTTACAATACTAATTTACATGGTTAGCTTTTGTTTACAGTTGTTTATTTCAGAAAATGGCAAGCAAGTCCTTGAATTATGGTGTTTTCAGTTAAAAGAAGAGTTCAGTTCAGTTACATTTATTTTGATTACCTATCTGTATATGAGCCATAGTGGACCAGATAAAGTCAGGATGCACTGTAAAGCTTGGCTCTATCTCTTATACTTGATTTCTTAATTCTGCTTTTGTTATCAGAGAAAACTGGGAGAATAATCTAAAAGCTTTTGGGCCGTTAATTCATCAGTCCCGCCCTTGTTGCTGGTTATTCGAGGCTGTGTTGTCAAGGAAGAAAACCTAGATATCTTCATCCCCCAAAATACTATCAAGCTTTCTTGGGGACCTCAGGTGTTTCCATGCCAGAGAATCCAGACATCCATAGCAAACCTCCATGCACAGGCATCCTAGATGACCAACGGTATTTAGATGTGAGCAGATTATGCTAAAGTCCTTCTATAACAGCTCAAGTTAGAAAGGCTGATCCGGCAATTTATATCCAGGATCTTGATGAACATCTAATAAACACTAATGAGCATAAAAACAGATGATTTGATAAGCGATGAGATTTCTTCACATCACTGCAGAAGAGGCCCCACTGCAAAGAGTGATTATGATTATTTCTTTATTAGATGACATGTTGTATATATATATTAGTAAAAGGAAATTAGAAATATAAAGATTTATACAAGTTCAATGTTTGATGGAAGGATCTGAGCAAATGATGACTCCTCAGTAACATAAAAGCTGTTTTCATCTTGCTCTTGTTAGTATGTATAAAAGCTGCTCCACCAAAGGTACATTACTAGAGTTATGGCTGTTTTAATCTCATTGATACCTGGACTGATACCTGGATTGTCAATGAGCTACACTATATTTTGCGATTTGGCCAAAATAACAACCCACTACTGCTCGCATTGGTCTAGATAAATAGCTAAAGATGTTCTGACAAAAAATTACCAAAACACACACCACATTACAGCTTCCTTTTGTATGGATTGCAAAATCCCATACCACATAAGGTGTCTACTTTGATCCCTAATATTTCCCACAAATAATAACTTCTGCTTGCCATCGTTTGAGAATTTACTTTCTCATATATTTATTTCCATACTCAATTAATGCATTTTATTTCATACTCTCTTTCAAGCATATTTTCATGGATAGGTTGGCTTTAGAGGGGCACCAAAAATTCTAAGATCTTAGTCCAGTAGATCTGTAGGATCTAGAGTCTAGATCCTACAGATCTACTGGACTTAGATCTTAGACTTTTTTTATCTAGACCATTTTAGAATGGTCTAGATTCTAGATCAACATTGGATTCCCATTTTTATACCATTTCTCAGGGCTTAAAGCAGGGGTGTTCAACGTTTTCCAGGCCAAGGACCTCCAAACTGATGGCGAGATGGAGCGGGGACCCCCTAGTTATTTATATTGTATGAAATTGTGTTATATTAAACTGGTCCTATAGCCACTCTATTAAAAATTTTAGTATTGTAACGAAAGTAATTCCGTGCTGGGATTATTAAAGTATTTCTGATTCTGATTCCTGGTTGATGGGACAGGTGTTGTGAATGAAACGGTGCCCAGCTTGAAAGAGCTCCTGTGTGTCACTGAATGTGTGCATTGATGACTGAAAGACATCTTCTGCCTCCATTTATCTGCTTACTACATTGTGTTGAAGTCATGTTAATGTGGATTTAAAGACATTTCAATTAGTAGAAAAAAATAGAAGGAGGAATATAAAAAAAAGCCTAATAAATCAAAACTTTTGCGACCCCCATGCAGTACCCCCAAGGACCAGGGGTCACTGACCCCCTGTTGAAGACCTCTGGCTTAAAGGATTAATCTTTGTCATTTTGGTTCCAGAAACTACAACACACCTCAATGGGACCAAGGAGCGATGTAGTTCGCATTATCACCACTAGATGGAGACGTTGAGCGTTACGAAACCAGTAAAATAATTAATTTTAACAAATTTGTTTTGGGGGTCTTTAGAGGGTTATTTCCATTTGACACTGATCTAAAACGAATGGATGATTTATTTATGATATGTCATCAACTGTTGGTCAAAAAGGAGGCAACAATGTTCTCAAAGGTTTGACGTCTGAAACCGACTGCGGATAAAATGGGGGTTAAAAAAAAAAAAAACGTGCCACAACACCAAACTTGTCATCTTCGACAGTTCACGTTAACGCCCCCTGCGTGGAAGTTCCGAACATCAGCGACGTGTACTTTCCCAGTGGGTTGGCAGACGTTACTTTCACAATAGTCAAACAACACATCGCAAACTGACAGACCCCCAGCTCGGCTTGACCCCCCAACCACACACACACAGACACACACACACACACACACAGCTTTACGGAAGGTAACTCCACGCTCCCACTCAAGAGGGGCGTCAGAGGTCAGGAAGGAAATGACGTCAGGGCCCAATATTTTACCTCTGCTGAGGAGGCAGATTAAACAGCACATCAGAACATCAAAAACGACCTATTTAAAATGTTGCCTCTGAAATGAAATGCTCAAATAAAGAGGATGTCTATTTCTACAAATCATAGATTAAGTCTCTAACTACCTACATGTAGCTGCAGAGGATCATTTACCAGCAGGCTAAATACAGTATTACTGCTGCCTACCAAACCAGAGAGAAGTACTTCCCCAAGATGCATGTTAATTTGGAGGGGAGGGGGTTACATTCCCTTCATAGCTGCAGTCAGCTTTGGGTTGGGGGCGTTTAGGGGTAAGTGTAGGAGGTGTTTCTTGGCCAAGTGTGTTGGCATGCAGACCTTTGACATCATATATTTGTGTAATCTGTACAAAGTAGGAGATGAATCAATACTTGTGTGTTACTTTAGAAGTTCAAATAAGAGCCACGCTTAAATGTCAGGGAAAGGTTCTATGATGATATTACCTTGTGAAAATGACACAAAGGTTGTGTTGCAATTAAGGCAGTTTGCCTGGTCATGAGAGCTAGGATGAGCTAGAATATTTTTTTCTTATGTGATTATAAGTCAGTAAATTTTCCCAAACTAAGGGCACTTACTGGAAGGAAGCAGTTCCCCTTTCAGAGGAAATAGATAAACATTTGTTTTGGTTAGCCAAGCAAAGATTACTTTTCAATTTAAACAGAACGTGTTATTATTTTCAGTTTTGTTATTGGCTCCACAACATTATTTGTTTGTGATGAAGAAAGAAGATGGAAAGTTTTGTAACTTTTCAGAGCCCTCCAGCATTAATCAGTTACACAATGTTAGGAGCAGAGGTTGTTTTTTCTTTTTCACATGGCTAACCGGGATATATATTGTATATAAAAAGACACTCACTATATATACAATTTTATTTATTTTTTTTTTTTTTTAGATCTGTTTGATATTTTTTATGAAATTAAAGTCTTTAACTGCCTGTTCACCCAAATGGTTGACCATTTGATTAAACGCAGGCTGCAGGTTGACAAGGCAGTTAAAGAGTTAATGCAGTTGGACAGTTTGCAGGTCCATAGCCATAAAACATGGACCCATCCCTAACTCATACCTGAAGATAAGTAAGAGAGAATAGGGAACCAAGCAGTCATGTGATTGGACATTGGGAGGAGGCAGGTGAACTTTAAACTTTGTTTAAAGGAGCAGTTTAGGCATCCCAGCAGCAGGAAAAAAGCTATGTGTAGGCAACAGAATTATACATTTCTAATTGTTTTAGATTTCAATTATCTACAGTAAAACTAAAAGTTTAAGACAGTTATTTTTAGATATAAAGTATGAGGTGACTTGCGACCTGTCCAGGGTGTACCCCGCCTCTCGCCCATGCTGCTGGAGATAGGCACCTGCACCCCTCGCGACCCCACTCGGGACAAGCGTGTCAGATAATGGATGGATGGATGGATGGAAGTATGAGGTGGTAAGTTTGTCAAGTGAGTTCAGTAAATAATAATCAACAAAATAGGCTGAGATCGTAAATGCAACCTATAGTTCCAGGTATGCTTTTGAGGATAATCATCATAACAAGTGAAAACACAGTCCATTCTGGAATCTGTGTGATAAAAACTAGCTAGATACCAATCAAACGCTAGGCTGGCAGAGAACTATACTACTTATGTAATTAGCCCCACATCTAACATGATGTTAGATGTGGTTCTGTTAAATTGCTTTCTGGCATGACTGTTCTGCATGCATGGCTGTTTGCTTTAAAAGAAAATCTAACTGAAGTTTTATCTCAGGTCTCATCTTGGGGTAATGAGCACCATAAAGCTAAATAACAGCTCCAGGCTCTGAGTAATGTCTCCTGACAAATCTTAGGTGATCTCCAAGTGGTTTATGCAAAAGCAGTAATCTTATCATTTAGATAAGAGGTATATTTGATGCACTCAAAAGTCTTTTCATCTGAGAGCCAATTATGGTTTTATTACGATTTACAATTCTTGATGCACTTAAGTTGAGTTTTTTTCTATGTGGTGACACACAGGAATGTGACATCGGAACTTTCAGGTTAAATTATGCGAAGCTTTTATTTCACTGTAAAAGACTTGCAGGCAATGAGATCCTACATCAAAAAGATTAATGACCACTTTCTGAACTTTCCGGATGTTACAGGATACACAGTGAAACAATATCCATGCGGGAAAACCTGGAAGCAGAGGAAACTGTAAAAAAAAAAAACGTAATTTAAAGTTATAAGATTTGTCGCAAAGAATATGATCAGAAATTAAATTTCTTTTGACTACCATTAACCCTGCAGGCTGATTTGCGGTGATCTTTGTTCTGCTTTTTAAACTCCAACAAAGTTAGATATCTTTATGACTTTATTGGATTTTAACAGAAGGGGAGAAGAATTTAAACATGTTCAAACAAGTTACATTTCTTTTTATCTTATTGTCTTTTGGAGATTGAACCCTGTCAACCACAAAGGATACGCCCCTTTTGAACAGAAACTATGTAAAGCAAGTTCAGCTGGTGGTGAGCAGACTGCATGTCTGAGCATAGAGGCGCACAACTCAGACAAATGCTTGATTGCAGCTTCATCTTAGTGACAGGAATTAATTAAGCATCATTGTTAATTTAAATGACTTAAAATCTGATCTAGATAAACAGATTTATTCAGTAACAGCAAGGAATTTTCTCTGTTGATCTCCTGTATTATTTCTTGGATTTCCTCTCTACCTCTGAGGATTGGGAGCTTATAACTGAGGATGGCTCGGATCTTCTGGATGATGGGTTTCGTTCTGCTCCCTCAGGGGTTCTTATATGTCCTTGGAGAAACTGGAGTTGGCTGCAAGAAATGGCGTTCAACTGATGAAGGTGTTTGCTGCGATGAATGCCATCCTGGTAAGTGGAACATCAAAAAATTATGAATTATGTAAATTATGAATATAACAGGAATCAGGCTCTGAACAGTGAAACTTCCATATAGATCACATTTAACATTAAATGTATTGTAGATGTAGAGTTTATAATCTATCTATTCTTAAATATGTGTCAGGTTTGACTGATGATCTCTGCATAGGGATTATTATATACGCCAACCTATGTGTAATTAAAGGCGATAAATCCAAATGCTGAGAATGTTTGATGAATTTAGTAAAAAAAGATGAAGTTCGTCTCATACTTGAATTGTTCTGTAATCTTTAACTTTAAAAATGAAGTAAATACAAAGAAGAAGAAAAAAAACAGAATTCCTGCTTTGGGGAGTTTCTCTGTGGTGGCTGAATGCAACCGCTTATAGTTTCAGTGGTTTTTCATCTAATCCCACAGCGACACTTAGCTGATACAACTGATTAGTCCACTCATTCACAGTCTGGGATGGCTATGTCTGAGAATTTGGATACACACCAATTTTACAGCTATGACTACTTTAATTGCTCACAGCCATCATAGTTCTGGTTACAGCTGATTCACTGGCGCAGACAACCAGGAATGTGAATGCTACAGTAACATGAGTCAAGTTTAGAGCTTTCCGATTTTTGATGTATGGATTTCTTTGCAGGGAATCGTGTGGTGAAAAGATGTGGCCCAAATCCAACAGAACTCTGCACTCCATGTGAAAGGGACCATTATACTCTAAAGACTTTGTCCAGCGCATGTAGCATTTGCTCTCAGTGTGTTGGTATGTCATAGTATTGAGCAACAAAACCTTTCCTTTGTAGCCCAAACACAGCCTAAACTTACCTGTTATCTTCATCTCCATCCTTTTTCAGGCGCTCTTGTCCAATTGAAAGCGTGCACCCGTACAAGCAACACGCAGTGTGGGTGTCCAAAAGGACTGCTATGTGGAGACAACCCCTGTACCTTCTGTGTGGACGAGTGCTCCAAAGGCTTTGAACCTAACATATATCGTATGTAAATCTGCAAATATTTGATTGTTGTATTTAGAAAGCTGAGTGTATCACACATCAGCTTAACATCTCCTAAACTCATCACAGGTTCTTGCACTCCTTGCCCTAACGGGACCTTTAATGACAAAATTCATCAAAAGTGTAAACCTTTGAGTACCAGGTAAGTGATCTTTCTTTCTAGAACTATTTTGTTCTTTTTTTATTCAAGACAAATAAAAAACAAAAAACAAACCCAACTAATTCTTGTTTTACTTTTAATCAACCCCAAAGCTGCAAAGATCCAAACCATGTTATGGTTTTCAAAGGAAATGCTTCTTCAGACATTATATGCAAACCACCTTCAACTACAACATCTACAAAAACTCCACCTCTAAACAAATCCAGGAGACCTGGTAAGAAAAAGAAATGTGGCAAAGTTCAAAGTTCATCAGCTTTATAATTGTTTTCATGAAGAGTGATGTGCATCCTTCTTTTTTTAAGTAGAGACAACAGAACAGGGATGGCCAACAGTGTTATTTGTGATCATCGGAGCATTTATGATGTGCCTCATCATCTTTATCACCCTTGCATCTTTCCTAATTCATCACAAAGGAAAAAAGGAGAAGAAACAAAGAACTCTCTCGAAAACCCCTATAATTGGGACTCCTACAGGTAATGATTAAAAACTAAGAGCGCAAACGTTATTTTCAAGCCAATGTCAGGCAGCAAATCGCAAATCCGATACAGAGAAAGTACTAACTGTGTTTAATTTACTCCTCTTATTTAGATGATCCAAGGACACTGATTGCCATTGAGTGCAGTTTTCATGAAGCTCAACAGGAACAGGGAAACAGCACAGAATCATTAATCTCCAAGGACTCTGGAGGTACTGTGTAAATGGAATCGAACAAGACGGAACATGACATCGGCAGCTGAAGAAAACAGATTTGTCCAAAAGATGGGATTCTGCATTTTACTGAGCCATGAGCTTAAAGAGGCTTTGTTCTTGCATCAATGTCCCTGGTTCCTAATGCAGGAACTGTGATGCTCCTCTACTGTTTGCTTAATAGTAATCCTTTGATGTCTCTGTACACATAAACAGGAGGAAGGGGAATTCTGTGATGGTGGAAATAACCAAGTGGACTTCATTGACTTTGTTCATCATGTAAATGACAGCAGCCACTCTGTTCTTCCCCCAAATTACCAACCAAGCAGAGTTCACATGTTTTAAAAGGTCATATATGTTCAGTATGAAACACTTACAGTATTAGTATACTTAGTAATAAGTAGGAATTGTACATTTACTGAAGCAAGTTACTGTATTAATTATTATTTTAGTGGGAAAGAGAGTTAACGTGTTCTAGAGTGTTGTTCACATTGAAAGTACAGTGCAAGTGGGTTTTTCAGCTTTTAGTCATTTGTCATTTCAAGCCCACATACGCCTCCTGGTGCAAGCGCTAGCCTTTACCTTCGTTCCAATGTTCAACCTAGTAGTTTTTTTTTTTAAGTTTTCTTTTTTTTTTTTTTGCTGAGTGTGTTGAGCAAATTGTGTGGTTATTTATAGTGTGAGTACATAAATGAGGCCAAGCAAGAGAAGCGCTGCTTTCGGTTAGTATTTAAATATCTTCTATAAAAAGACAAGACTATTTTCTACAGCAGCCTGACAACGAAAGGAACATTTCTTGTTTTAGGTCAGTCAGGGTTGTTAATGTGTTATATATGTTAATGAGAAAATGTGTTCTTTTATGTGGCACCAAGATTCTATTTAAAGTATGAAGAATTGTTTTAAACAGTCAAGGGAAATCCAGATAATGACGGCAGGGCTCTGTCGGTTTCTAATAGGTTGACTCTAAGCATTTCAGGTGAATGGAGGTATACTTGTGAATGCCCTGTGAAGGATACCTCATACAGTAATTTATTATGGAAAAAAAAAAATCCAAGTCATCAGGAAGAGAATAATGAAACTTCAATATCGAAAGAAATCAGACAGACTTCACACTTTTGGAGCAAATGAGCCTTTTAAGAGGACAGAGGACCAAAGTAATCCTGTAATTACCTACAAAGTAGCTTATATACAAGAAATCGGTAAATCCCAAGACCATGATCTTAGCCCCTTAATTGAGGTGTGAAGAGAACCTAGAATGTGTGAATGTGAGCAGGATGATCTGCAATCCTCACTGTTTTAAACTGTGGAAAGATGATCGAAATGTTTGACCCAAGACAAAGTTTTAAAGCCACCTCTGCCAAGTATTAATGAAATATATGTATGCTGCAAAGTAAAACTAAAAATTTTTCTTACCGTCTGGCCTTAAATTTGAAATTTAAGGTCAGACGGTAAGAAAAATAAGTTATGTCTTTTTAAAACAATATCTGGTTTCATCAGTACAACTTGAAGACATTGTGTTTTTAATATAACTCTGAAGGGGTCAAATAACTAACTGTGAAAGTACTATTGTAGCTTGGTTTTATAAGCAATTGGGCAGCTTTGCATGTGATATTGATGAAATCTTGAGGGATTTCCCTGCTGTTGCCTAATGGGTCAAGAACAAAAAACAAAAAAGGCCTAGAAAAGGGTTTTCCCCAGTGTTGGTATTTTTATTGGTAAACCAGCAGGGATTTACTTAGTTGTAAGAGAGGAATTAAATAAGCAGATGTTCAAAGAGGTGCTTTTAAGCAAGCTGAGTCATGCCTCTTGCACAACTCTAAACGCCACAGGGCTACAGAGAAACCTTTAATAGCGTGTTTTCTGTGAAACGTATTTGTGCAACAGTTCAGTGGCCTATTGAGATAAGACTAGCCGGATGTATTATTTTTGTTGATGAACTGTAGCAGGCGTATTTCTTTACAAAATGGAACAAGTAAGAAGTATACAGTGTGGGCTTATGGTGGAAAAGATTAGCCCACATCTATTGTGATTTATCATACAAGCATGTGGACAATGAGTCACAGCTCACAGGTGTCATCCTGAAAGCAGCTAACAAAAGCATGACTGTAGCACTTTATTTTGTCTACCATCTGCTACCTGAAGCAAATGACACACTTGTTTGAAGAAACTTTTAATGTAAATGTATTTTGTTTCTGAACTGTGTTCAAAGTTTTACATTTTAATTTCATACATGTTTTAAACAGCTAATAAATATATTTTTTAATTGTTGTGCTTTTATACAGGACAGCTACAAAAAGGCTACACTCCAGCAAAGCGGTGGCATTTGACATATGTAAGAAAAAGAAAGGGAAGAGGAAATAAAAGCATAAAGCATAATCAGATAAGGAAAAAAAAAATAAAAAATTCCAGTCTTATCATCAGGATGAACGTTATTGTTTGGTATGAGGAAATTCCCCCAACTGATACGACTGGAGCTTATCCTGAGAAAAAGTATTTTCACGTTTCTCATGTTAAAACCATAAAAACATTAAAGCATGTTGAAGATATTTTACGAGCAAATAAAGTAGCATCTCAAGATATAATCTCCCCTTCACCTGGAAACTATGAACTCAATGGATTATCTGTAAAGTGTAAACTGAGAGCATGTTAAAGTCAATATACACAGTAGTCCCATTTTTATACGTCTTAATGCCACATCTGCTGTTAGTGATCTGGTAGAAATAAACTGCCACTCCCAGTCAAACGCCGGCTGAATGGCAGCCCTCTTCCCTCCAACTCCCAGCGAAATCCCCTCCGACTTCAAGCCACTGGAGTGACCCCTCTTGCATATTGTTTTACTCTGACTCCAGCCTTTCACTGAATTACAGGATCTGACCAGGAGATGATGCTTCTCTTTAGATCTTAATGTCCACAAATAAACATTTCAGTACAAATATAGATGTTTAAAAAGGAATTGTAGGGGACCAGCCAAGGGCCCATCAAGGAAAGTGGGGAAATATCGAATGACTACTACTGTGAAGTGCTCTTTTCAGCTATTGGTCCGCTTTTCCTGGCTCTGCTCTCTTTAAGCCTTCCTGATGGACTTGTTGCTGCTCTGCTGATGGGCCTCATCCATCATTTTTACTTTTGTACATTTAAGTTTTTCTTATGTGCTCTTTCTTAGCTTTTCTTGTTTGCCTCATTTCTACTAAATGCTATCCACCTTTACTTGTGGCATTGTCTTCCATTTTTGTTGCGATATTTGGTTTGAATCATCAAACCAAATAACATACTAGACCGATCAGTGACAAAAGTTGTGGAAAAGTTTAAAACAGATTTCTCCTGTAAAATAAGAAAACTATGAACATGTCAAGGGGCCGGATCTATCAAAGGTTTGCGTGTATAAAAACGTGAGCTATTTCACTGCGCACGCTAAAAAAATGTACAAACTGATCTATCAACAGCGTGCTAAAAGGATTTGATCTTTTAAACGTGCTAAATAGCGCCTCTTATCCATTTAGTACTTTTTCTGCAATGAATATGCAATATGGGGCGTTTACATGCAAAAGTGCGTCTTGTGGGAGGAGAACATGTAAATATATAAATTTAGCACTCGCAAAGAGATTTATCAAACCTGAAAGCAATTTTGCTAACGCTATCTGACTCTATATTTAACACGTTTCAAAAGAAGGTGCAAATGGTCTGTATGCGTAATTGCGCACACATGGTAGCGGTTATTGTCGCAAGAAGGAGACATCGGGCCGGATTTATCAAGATCAAATTTTGCGTGCAGTAATTTGCGCTCGCAAACTGGAATTTTGCGCGAGGGGCTGAACCATGGTTTGCGGGTGATTTAACAAGAGCGATTGCGTAACTGGTGGCAGGTGCAAAACTGTTGGAGACGCCCTATTTAAATGATGGTTTTGCGCGTTTGGTGGTTTGCGGCATGACGTGTTTGGACAGCAGAAAGCGCAAAAGGAAATTCGACCCCATGGAAATGGAGGTGTTGGTGGATGAAGCCAACAAACATTTAAGTGAGCTACAGCAAAAAAATTGTGACTGTCACACAGAGGAACGATATATGTGAACAAATCTGTAATAAAGAAAACGCTGTTGGTGAAACCTTGCGAACAGTGGATGAAGTATAAAGAAGATACCAGGATATTAGAAGGCGAACCAAAGAAAAACTGGCATATAACAAAACATCTGCGAACAAAACAGGACGGGGCACAGTAGATGAGATGCCTCTGACCAGCATTGAGGAACAAGTACAGCTGACGCTCTGTGAGGAGCAAATCACTGGAATTGCAGCTCCAAAATGGCAATGCTGGATAAACGATATGTTTTGATGATCGTTTCCTCGTTCATTCCAAAAATATTCACACGGAGTGAAAAAATGCGTTCTCTGCGTCTCCTTGCTTTATTTCCATGTCTCCTTCTTGCGACAATAACCGCTGCCATGTGTGCGCAATTACGCATACAGACCATTTGCACCTTCTTTTGAAACGTGTTAAATATAGAGTCAGATAGCGTTAGCAAAATTGCTTTCAGGTTTGATAAATTACTTTGCGAGTGCTAAATTAATATATTTACATGTTCTCCTCCCACAAGACGCACTTTTGCGTGTAAACGCCCCATATTGCATATTCATTGCAGAAAAAGTACTAAATGGATAAGAGGCGCTATTTAGCACATTTTAAAGACCAAATCCTTTTAGCACGCTGTTGATAGATCAGTTTGTACATTTTTTAGCGTGCGCAGTGAAATAGCTCACGTTTTAATACACGCAAACCTTTGATAGATCCGGCCCATCGAAATGAAGCAAGGAGACGCAGAGAACGCATTTTTTCACTCCGTGTAAATATTTTTGGAATGAACGAGGAAACGATCATCAAAACATATCGTTTATCCAGCATTGCCATTTTGGAGCTGTTGGGGGAACTCCGAATGGATTTGGAGCCAGGCACAAGGAGGACCCACGCAATACCAGATATCACGAAACTCCTTGCAACATTGCACTTTTTTGCATTTGGGTCATTCCAGCGTACAGTTGCAGCGAGAGCTGGGATCTTTTTCAGAAGTGCTGTCCGACGGGGTCGGGGTTCTCCCCCTGCGCCTGTGGAGCAACGTGCCAAATGCTGCGGGGATCTCATCCACAGTCACAGGCCAATACAAAACACCTGTTTTTTTTGTTTTTTTTTTTTTTTACTGCAGCACATACCACCTTAGGGAATAAAGGTTGTTAATTTATATATATATATTTTTTATTTTTTTTTGTTGGGGGTCACTGTAAGATTTAAATTTCTTAATGCACTAGTTTGTACAGACTACAAACTACTTTGCCACAAACCACAAAACGCGCAAAACCATCATTTAAATAGGGCGTCTCCAACAGTTTTGCACCTTCCACCAGTTACGCAATCACTCTTGTTAAATCACCCGCAAACCATGGTTCAGCCCCTCGCGCAAAATTCCAGTTTGCGAGCGCAAATTACTGCACGCAAAATTGGATCTTGATAAATCCGGCCCAAGGAGTACTGTTCAGTCAGTTGACTGAAAACGAAAGATCATGGCAACATTGCAAACCTACAAGGACAACAACTTCCTCTTAAACTGACAGGTCAGGAAAGGAGAGCATAAGTGAAAGAATCAAAAATCAAAAACGATAACTGAGGGAGCAACAGAGATCCAAAGCAAAGGTGGAAAATTCTGCTTAAAATGTAACTATCAGTTGTGTATTTCTGGCATCTTGCCTGGTTGTGCAGCACAAGAATGTCAGACAAGGAAAATGGCCACATTCAAACAGGACAACACTAAGGTACAGTCAGAGCAGGAACAGAAAGCCCTGTATTGGTCTGATGTATAGGATCAAACTAAGCATTTAAATCCAACTGCAAAACAGCAGCACGACTTTCAAGCTACAGCATACAGCAGCTTTCCATCAGATCTGCGCATGAGCTCTAGATATGTGAAAGATAGATGGCAAGGATGTATCAACTCAGAGGGGGGTAAAGAAAAATGGAAGGAATACCTTATAGGTTTGCATTTGTAAAACTTCCAGAAAGCTATGCATCATTTCATATCAAAATCGCAATAAAAACAAAGACTTTAGTCATGCCATCGAGACAAAAACCTAAAAATGTTTTAAAGAGGTACGGATACTTCTTTATAACATTCTATTTCAAGACAGTTTAATGATAATTTGTATTTTATTTTCATTTTGGGCAAATTTGTTTGATTGTCAATATACCATTATAAACAGTAAAACCTGAAACAAAGGTAGGTTGTTGGAATAAGTAAAACAAGCTCACATGCCATCAAAATAGTGTCACTTCTCTGTTCTAAGCAAATGGTGGGTTTGAAATAGACGGTGCAGTTTCTGGTTTTCTGAGAACTTCACAATGTTAATGTTATT